GGGTATCGGCTACCAAATGGATGAAGACAAGCTCTACATGTTAACCTCAGTTAACTTTTCCAAAAGGAAAAAGAAGATGAGAGTTGGAAAAAATCTTCTCAAGGAGGAGGTGAGAACTGAGACACCTAACCCACTGACTAGGAGGGCTCTCTTAAGCCAAGTGGCTGGACTGTACGACCCAATTGGCTTAGTTACACCTGCCAAACAGAAGGGAGCAATTCTTGTTCGAAAAGCATTCCAAGAGGGAGGGGGTGGGAAACTAACCCAAGAAACCTGGGACCAACCTCTCTCAGAAAGCCTCAGAGAAGAAGCCATCCAGCTTTTTGAAGAATATGTGCAGCTTGGAGAGGTGAAATTCCACAGGAGCCTCACACCAGCTGGCTGGGAAGGGAAACCTTGGGGCATCACATTCTCTGATGGAAGTGACAAAACCTATGGAGCTGTGATGTACTTAAGATGGGAGACAAGTCAAGGCACTAAAGTTCGATTTGTTGAATCAAAAGCCAAGCTGACACCCCTGGATCAGAAGGGAGAAGCTGTAAGAGCTGAGATTTGTGGTGCTGTCTTCACAGCCAGGATCAGGAAGTATGTGGAAAAGCATGCTCGACTGAAGATCGAGAGATGGTTCCATCTACTTGACAGTCAAACGGTCTTGGGAGCCATCCAAAGAGTCAGTTATGGGTACAAAACCTTCTTTGCAAATAGAGTGGGTGAAATCCAGAAGGCTGGACAAGTGCAAGACTGGTGGTGGATCCGTGGGGATCTAAACATAGCTGACATCATAACAAGAGGGGGTGCTCCTGAAGATTTGAAGGAGAATTCCACATGGCAAAATGGACCAGAGTTCCTAAAGTGGCCAGTGGAGGAGTGGCCTATAAAATCAGCTGGAGAGGTTGCAGCTCATGCCAGGGAGAGTGTAAACAAGCTCCAGAGGAAGGCATTCTCAGGTGCATTAACAAGAGCTCAAGCAAGAAGTAGTCAGCAGAAAGAAGACCTACAAGGCACTCAGGAAAGTCCAAAGAGTGAAACTCAAGAGGGAATACCTGTGGTAAAACCAAATCTTCTTAGAAGGAAGCCCACTGGCTGGGTTAAAGATCTTGTGGAAGTAAGAAGATTCAGTAGCCTGTCCAAACTGGTGAGAGTCGTTGCCTGGGTTTGTCTAGCAGCCAAGCAGTGGCTGAAGAGGAAGGGCCGGGCCCCTAAACAGGCAAAGAGGGAGGTAAGATCACCCAAGCAAGCTGTGCTGACTGTCAAAGAACATGAAGATGCACTCAAATACCTTTTCCTCGCAGCTCAAGAAGGTACAGATTTTTCAGACACAACTCTAAGCAGACTGACAGTGTACAAAGATGTGAACTCTGGGCTGCTAGTTTGTGGAGGCAGAATTCAGACATTCAACGAAGATAAGACAGCAGTGCCAGTTTTACCCTTTGAAGCATGCGTGTCTACACTGCTGGCACAAGAATCCCACAAAGCAAACCACGAGGGAGTGGCGGGAACCCTTCTCCGGATGAGGAAGAAAGCCTGGTTAATAAAAGGCTGTAGACTTGCCAAGAAAATGGTTGACAGCTGTGTGGTCTGCAGGAAAAACAAGGCAAAACAGTGTCAACAAATCATGGCTGACCTGCCTCTAGAGCGAACAGGCCCAGCTGCACCTTTTGAATTCACCACCATGGACCTGTTCGGCCCTTATGAAGTGAAAGATGAGGTCAAGAAGAGAACTAGACTCAAAGTATGGGGAATAGTCTTCTGCTGCATGGCTTCCCGAGCCATACACACTGAAGTGGTGAGTGACATGTCATCTGAAGGATTCCTGCTAGCCTATCAAAGGTTCACTTCACTGAGAGGACACCCCAGGAAACTCTGGTCAGACCCTGGCACTAACTTTGTGGGAGCCAAACCCGCACTTCAAAAATTCCTTAACCAACTAAACAAGTCTGAACTTGAAGACAGCTGCCAAGCATGGTACAGAATGGTCATGGAAGATCCACCCTGCAGACTCTCCCCATAGGAATGGTGCCGCAGAGGCAGCTGTCAAAGTAGTGAAGCGGGCGTTGAGCAACCTTGGTGGAGATGGTGTTTTCACGTGGGGAGAATTCCAAACTTTTCTCTTCATGGCAGCCAACCTTGCTAATGAGAGACCCATTGATGCAAGAACTCAAAGCAGAGAAGATTGTGTAGAGTACATCACCCCGAATTCTCTGCTTTTAGGACGTACCAATCCAAAGGGAGACCCTGGAGATTTCCAGTTTGATGGCTACCCTTACAAAAGACTTAAACATATTCAAGCAGAGTTAAGCCATTTCTGGAAGAAGTGGAGCCAATTGGCTGGACCTAATCTGTTCATAAGGAACAAATGGCACACCAAAGAGCGAAATGTTGCTGTTGGAGATGTGGTCTGGTTGGCTGACCAAAACGCCCTAAGAGGACAGTACAAGCTGGCTAGAGTGGTCGGTGTCAATGCTGACAGCAAAGGCATCGTAAGAGATGTGCTTGTGAAGACTTTTCCCAGCTATCCTGTTCACATCACAAAGTCAAACAGCAAAAAAGGGCCCACAAGAGCAAACGGTGAAAGAACGAAGAGGCTTCAAACCAAAATCCCAGCCACAATTCTTCATAGAGATGTCAGACGCCTTGTCATTCTACTTCCCATTGAAGAACAAACAGAGGTGGGAAGGGCTTGTGTGACCTCTCTGGATTTGAAAAAAACAGGAGCTCAAGTGGGAGGTGTTGAGCTGAATCTCAGGAGTGAGTCAAAGAACTACACTTCCCAGAGTGCACCAGCAGCAGCAAACCGGCTGCTTGTCACCTGATCAGTCATTTTCACTGATTTGGAGCACCTGTGAAGGCATGGAGGGGCTCAGTCATTCAGAAGAACAAACTTCAGAGAGAAGACTCCAAGTTCACTCACAGGTTCAGTCCAAAGACGCCAATGGTAAAAGGCTTAAATGGTTAATTCATTTAAGTTATTTAGAATGTTTATTTAAATGTTTAAACTAATTTAAGTTCATTAAAATGTTTAATTAAAATGGTAACTTTTTGTTCTGTCTTTAAAGGTTTACAACCTAATTTGCTGGCTAATTTACTGGACAGACCAATCAACTGAAAGCAAACAAACAAAAAAAAAAGATTGAGTCAGAAATTTGAGTTGTCCCTGTGTCCTTTGGATGGTGAACAAGAGGAGGACTTGACACTACCTGTACTATTAGTTCATGTATTTCCCTTGTTAGTCTTGTCTCTTTAGCCAGAAACTGCTTTTTTATTATTGATAAATATTGAATTGAATGACCTCTGAAGGTACATTTAAAGGTATCCCAAACAATAAGGGGATTTGCTGAACCTATATTGTACTGGAAAAATTCAGTTATAAATGATTTTGTCTTAGTTAAAAATAATAATAATTGTACTCCAGTAAACTTTGATTAAATTTCCAATATCCCTGTCCACGTGGAAATTCTATAAGAGTTATGTGAAGGCCAATTAGATGATGATCGGATTGCATTCTGTCTCCTATTAAAACTTTTTAAACCGTTGATGCAAGAGAGAAAGAGACAAGAAAGTAGTCAAGACGACTAGCTTGATTAAGTCTCCTCCACGTATATTTCACTAGGTTGGGGTTTTTTAGTCTCCAAATATCCACTATTTCTAATGTGTCCATAATATTTGTGATTTCCTTAAGGACACGTTGATGATAGTTTGTAGAGTGATTCCCTTTACGGTCCATTGAGGTACTTAACACTGTGTTATAGTCTCCCACCATAACGATTTGATAATTTGTTGCCTGTAAGTTCAATAAATTTGTATAAATATTTTCGAAGAAGTATGGATCATCCTGATTTGGACCATATAGATTAATGAGCCAAATCTGTTTTTCATCCACTTTCATATTCAAAAAGATCCTTCCTTGCGAATCATTCCTGACTATTTGCACTCGTAACAACCTAAGTACACTCGTAACAACCTAATCATTACGAAACATATTTGATCAAATAAACCTCACGTAGCAAATAAGCCATTACATTTGTTGTTGATCAAATTCGACACTCATACAAAAACTCCTCGCTTGGTGAGCGAAAGAAACGAAACAACACCACCTGCTGGAAAATACAGATTTTTCGCCCAGTTGTCCCTCTCCCTTCTTCATCGCTGAAGTATTGCAATCAAAGACAGTACAGTATGAAGATAGGCAGAAACTGCTTCTCCAATAGAAATCCCGATCACGCTTGTAGGCGATGTCATGGCGACGTTGGCACGCTAAGCTCATGCGCAGAAATACGTCATCAGGTCTAACGATGGTCTCGCGCCGAACTGCGCATGTGCAGGCTTTCAACTCAAAGGCACTCCTTCAATATAAAGTTGTTTTTAACATCCTCAACTACTTAAGACTTTGTCTCAAATCTAGGTTGTGCCTTTAGATTTCGAGAAAATTAACAGCTAAGGAAGAAATGTTCAATTCCCTAATTCATTTATCAAAGCCCAAACCCCAGCCTGGTCTACATGGTCAAAATTTTGTCGGAAGTCTCTGGGTTTAGAAACTCTGTGGTGCTAGCCTTGTCTCATAATCACCCAGAATGCACCGCGCGGCCCATTGACGCTGCATGGGCAACGTACACAATGGAGGTAATACGATTCCAATGGAGTTTCCCATCTCCTCAAAAGTATCTCGGACTGAACACTCCCCAGCACTACTGGATATGCCCCGCCTCTGAAAAAAAGTGGCACGGATTGGTCAAAAGACCAGCTCGTGTTCATTTTGACAGCATGAGAATCTCGTGAAACTACTCCTCTTCACCATTACCGTGCATGTATTTAGCTGAAAATTGTTACTTGGCCCCTATGACAAGACACAAAATGGTACCAGTTTCAGCTCTGTGAAACCCATTGTGGAATAAAAGAAGGGGTAAAACCGTTAGCTGGCAGGACAGCGACGTGCGTGCGTGAAGCATAGACTCTAAAATATAGTGACGTCTGCATCCCAGAATGCAGTTTGGTAAACAGACATGGAAGCACCTGGTAAAGACCTCCACAGTCAGTGAGCATTGCATTCGTTCTTTTTGCACGATCTCCATACTTTAATATCCGCCACATTCAACAGATTTGTATCTGTCTGCCGTCACATTTGCATCCCTAACGTCCAGGACCTTGGTAAGTGCAAATACATAATGTTTCTATGTCGGCTGTTAATGACTTCTGCCAGCTTCATTGGAAGACATGGCTGGCCAGCTAGCTAGCGCTAATGCTAGCTAGCTAGCCACTCCTCGATTGACTGCGAAATTATCTACATTTTGGTGAAATGGGCACAGAGTTTCTAAACCAGAGGCGCAACATCGCGAGACTTCCGGGAATGCCTATGAAACAGACCAATCAGACCAGGCCGGGGTTTGGGGTTTGAGAAGTCAATGAGTGAAAAACTAAGTGAAAAATTATCAACTAAGAAATAATTTTTCTCGAAGTCTAAAGGCACTAGCTATGTTCGAGCAAATGTCTTAAGTAGTTGAACATGTTATTACGCCAACCTCGTGAAAGTGATAAACTGACACGTTTTCATCTTAGTCAAAAACATATTGTCTTTATATCGAATGAGCGTATTTGACGGCCTGCACATGCGCGAGGCGACCGTTAATGGTCAGTGCTACCCGGGATCCTTGGGACATCCCTAACCATTTAGTCATTTAGCAGACGCTTATCCAGAGCGACAACCTTAACCCTTACCCTTACCTTAACCCAGCGTTTCCCCAACTCGGTCCTCGGGACCCCAAGGGGTGCACATTTTGGTTTTTGCCTTAACACTACACAGCTGATTCAAATGATCAAAGCTTGATGATTAGTTTATTATTTGAATCAGCTGTGTAGTGTTAGGACAAAAACCAAAACGTGCACCCCTTTGGGTCCCTGAAGACCAAGTTTGGGAAACCCTGCCTTAACCTTTTTTAAATTTCAACTTCAGTGGGGTGGGGGGGATCCCGGATAGCAAGGACCACCGTTAGACATGATGATGTGTTTCTGTCCATGAGCTTATCTAGCCAACTTCTCCATGACATCAAATTATATTTGCCACATGCGCCGAATACAACAGGTGTAGACATTTGAAATGCTTACTTACAGCCCTTAGCCAACAATGCATTTATGTTTTAATAAAAAAGTAAAATAAAACAACAAAAAAGTGTTGAGAGAAAAAAAGCAGAGTCAATGTGCGGAGGCACCGGCTAGTTGAGGTAATATGTACATGTGGGTAGAGTTAAAGTGACTATGCATAAATAATTAACAGAGTAGCAGCAGTGTAGAAAGATGGGGTGTGGGGCAGTGCAAATAGTCCGGGTAGCCATGATTAGCTGTTCAGGAGTCTTAAGGCTTGGGGGTAGAAGCTGTTGAAGCATTTTGGACCTAGCGCTCCGGTACAGCTTGCCATGCGGTAGCAGAGAGAACAGTCTATGACTTTGGTGGCTGGAGTCTTTTTGACAATTTTGAGGGCCATCCTCTGACACCGCCTGGTATAGAGGTCCTGGATGGCAGGAAGCTTGGCCCCAGTGATGTACTGGGCCGTACGCACTACCCTCTGTAGTGCCTTGCGGTCGGAGGCCGAGCAGTTTCCATACCAGGCAGTGATGCAACCAGTCAGGATGCTCTTGATGGTGCAGCTGTATAACTTTTTGAGGATCTTAGGACCGATGCCAAATCTTTTCAGTCTCCAGAGGGGGAATAGGCTTTGTCGTGCCCTCTTCACGACTGTCTTGTTGTGTTTGGACCATGATAGTTCGTTGGTGATGTGGACACCAAGGAACTTGAAGCTCTCAACCTGTTCCACTACAGCCCCGTCGATGAGAATGGGGGCGTGCTCAGTCCTCTTTTTTTTTTCTGTAGTCCACAATCATCTCCTTTGTCTTGGTCACGTTGAGGGAGAGGTTGTTATCCTGGCACCACACGGCCAGGTCTCTGATCTCCTCCCTATAGGCTGTCTCATCGTTGTCAGTGATCAGGCCTACCACTGTTGTGTCGTCGGCAAACTTAATGATGGTGTTGGAGCCGTGCCTGGCCATGCAGTCATGGGTGAACAGGGAGTACAGGAGGGGACTGAGCACGCACCCCTGAGGGGCCCCCGTGTTGAGGATCAGCGTGGCAGATGTGTTGTTACCTACCCTTACCACCTGGGGGCTGCCCGTCAGGAAGTCCAGGATCCAGTTGCAGAGGGAGGTGTTTAGTCTCAGGATCCTTAGCTTAGTGATGAGCTTTGAGGGCACTATGGTGTTGAACGCTGAGCTGTAGTCAATGAATAGCATTCTCACGTAGGTGTTCCTCTTGTCCAGGTGGGAAAGGGCAGTGGGAGTGCAATAGAGATTGCATCATCTGTGGAGGCGGTATGCAAATTGAAGTGGGTCTAGGGTTTCTGGGATAATGGTGTTGATGTGAGCCATGACCAGCCTTTCAAAGCACTTCATGGCTACAGACGTCAGGTTATCTTAGTGTCCTTGGGCACGGGGACTATGGTGGTCTGCTTGAAACATGTTGGTATTACAGACTCAGTCAGGGACATGTAGAACATGTCAGTGAAGACACTTGCCAGTTGGTCAGCACATGCTCGAAGTACACGGTAATCCATCTGGCCCTGCGGCCTTGTGAATGTTGACCTGCTTAAAAGTCTTACTCACATTGGCTACGGAGAGCGTGATCACATAGTCATCCGGAACAGCTGGTGCTCTCATGCATGCTTCAGTGTTGCTTGCCTCGAAGCGAGCATAGAAGTGGTTTATCTCGTCTGGTAGGCTTGTGTCACTGGGCAGCTCGCGGATGTGCTTCCCTTTGTAGTCTGTAATAGTTTAAGCCCTGCCACATCTGACGAGCGTCAGAGCCGGTGTAGTACGATTCAATCTTAGTCCTGCATTGACTCTTTGCCTGTTTGATGGTTCGTTGGAGGGCATAGCGGGATTTCTTATAAGCGTCCGGGTTAGAGTCCCGCTCATTGAAAGTGGCAGCTCTACCCTTTAGCTCAGTGCGGATGTTGCCTGTAATCCATGGCTTCTGGTTGGGGTATGTACGTACGGTCACTGTGGGGGCGACGTCATCGATGCACTTATCGCCTACAAGTGTGATCGGGGATTTCTATCGGAGAAGCAGTTTCTGCCCATCTTCATACTGTACGGTCTTTGACATGAGTGTCTTCAATGGGCATATTTTACAATTTGTTTAATTAGTCTATTCCACAGTCAGATGAGATATTTAGGGTTTTAGTTATGTCATGTTATTCATTTGGTTTTATGTGATGCAATGTGGGAATCCAACATTCCCAGAGCTAACTTAGCTAGCCAACTGTTAAGTTGTCCATGGTGACAACGTCTGAGATTCAAATACAGTAGCTTATACCTAGTTACCATTATAGCTATGTTGTTTAGTTAACTTCACATAGAAATCAATAACGTTAGCTACTGGCCTACAAGCTTTTTAACCGTTATCATATTTTACCAGCTTATTCATTAGCCTAGTACACATGTAGGTTAGTTAGACAAATTGTTGAACTTATGAACAATCGTTGAGACGTGCACAGTGCAATGACAACACACATAGCAAATGAGAGCCATCATCAGCTGTCAAATGACAAGTGTCATTCCACCCCCCCTCGATAAGCCACTATCAAACATAATAATGGCACCGGAGGGGATGGCTGCCGTTTTACAGGCTCCTAACCAACTGTGCTATTTATTCATTTGTTTTGCATTGTTTGTAACTTATTTTGTACATAATGTTGCTGCTACCATCTCTTATGACCGAAAAGAGATTCTGAACATCAGAACAGCGATTACTCACCTCGAACTGGACAAAGATATTTTTTATTTAATGAGTCCAACACGAATGATATACTGCTTCCCGAGACCAGGCCCAAATCCCTGTCATTCGCATGAAGAAAAGACAGAGATACAGGGGGTGGAGGTCAGGGTGCCTTGTGAGAATTTGTCTTAGTGCCACAAACCGATGCTTGCACTAAGACCGCACTCAACGAGCTGTATAAGGCCATAAGCAAACAAGAAAATGCTCATCCAGAAGCGGCACTCCTAGAGGCCGGGGACTTTAATGCAGGCAAACTTAAATCAGTTTTACGTCATTTCTAACAGCATGTCACATGTGCAACCAGAGAAAAAAAAAAACTCTAGACCACCTTTATTCCACACACAGAGACGCATACAAAGCTCTCCCTCGCCCTCCATTTGGCAAATCTGACCATAATTCTATCCTCCTGATTCCTGCTTACAAGCAAAAACTAAAGCAGAAAGTACCAGTGACTCGCTCAATACGGAAGTGGTCAGATGATGCGGATGCTACGCTACAGGACTGTTTTGCTAGCACAGACTGGAATATGTTCCAGGATTCATCCAATGTCATTGAGGAGTATACCACCTCAGTCACCGGCTTCATCAATAAGTGCATCGACGACGTCATCCCCACAGTGACTGTACATACATATCCTAACCAGAAGCCATGGATTACAGGCAACATCCGCACCGAGCTAAAGGCTAGAGCTGCTGCTTTCAAGGAGCGGGACACTAATCCGGACGCTTATAAGAAATCCCACTATGCCCTCAGACGAACCATCAAACAGGCAAAGCGTCAATACAGGACTAAGATTGAATCCTACTACTCCGGCTCTGACGCTCGTCGGATGTGGCAGGGCTTGCAAACTATTACGGACTACAAAGGGAAACCCAGCCGCGAGCTGCCCAGTGACGCGAGCCTACCAGACGAGCTAAATGCCTTTTATGCTCGCTACGAGGCAAGCAACACTGAAACATGCATGAGAGCACCAGCTGTTCCGAATGACTGTGTGATCAAGTGTGAACAAGACCTTTTAAACAGGTCAACATTCACAAGGCCGCCGGGCCAGACGGATTACCAGGACTTGTACTCAGAGCATGCGCGGACCAACTGGCAAGTGTCTTCACTGACATTTTCAACCTCTCCCTGACCGAGTCTGTAATACCTACATGTTTCAAGCAGACCACCATAGTCCCTGTGCCCAAGGACACTAAGATAACCAGTCTAAATGACTACCGACCGTAGCACTGACGTCTGTAGCCATGAAGTGCTTTGAAAGGCTGGTCATGGCTCACATCAACACCGCCCCAAACAGGGCTATACATCTCATAAAAGGCTTCATTTTCACCTATATAGTCTATCTTTGTAATATTGTTGTCATTATTCACATTGTGTTGAATTGATGAGAAGCCTATAATGGTAAAACAAAGGCAGAACAATGGTTTAAAATTCTTTAAAAATATATATATAATCTTTGAAAGGGATTATTGGGCTGCAAACTGCAGGGCTCTGGAGTGGTTAACCAGGGATAGTGCTTATTGGATTGGATTACTCTGCTGCGGCGAGGAGCTCCATAAGTAGCTCGTGCTAGCGTGAAAGCTGCGGAGCCACAGCCAGATCCACCAGGAGAATGGGAGGTGGTGTTATCTTCCAGACAAACAACCCCGTAATTCCCTAAACCGTGATTACGGCATCAAGACAAGGAAAACAATGAAGCTGATACTAACTTTTCCCTCCCGTCTCTTTCTCTCTCTCACCCAGAATCCTTCCACAACTTGTGTGGGGCGACCAGCCATCACCCAAACTGATGAGGTTTTACTGATCCAGTTAAGATTGAGTTCCCTTTTCCACATTTGACAAGGTAAGGGTTCAGTGAGCACAATTATCTGTTTTTCTACTGAAATTCTAACCATCACTGGTTCCAGTTTTGAGGCTCACTCCACAGTCCTGCGACATAGCTACAATCAGACTCTTCTCTCAGGACTGCAGTTTTTCAGCGGCCATTTCATTACAAAATTTCATAAGATATTGATACTTCATTAGTAAGTGTAACGGAAGTGGTTCGATGGCCAAACTTGCATATGAGTAACCTAGCCTGAGCCCTGAAGAGTTGGGCCTTGACTTAGTAGGCTAATGCGCTCTTCTGCTGCACCATAGACCTGGGTTCGAACCCTGTGGGTCACATTGGTTCCATGACCCGGATGGGTCTCTGTGAGAAGGAGGAAGAAGTAAAAGCGGGGTGAAGTGTAATGGAGGTATGCTTGATACCTGAAGAGCTGTGTTGGCACCCCGAGTCAGTTGGCGCGTTCGAGCAGATCACTTCTGTCAAGTCGCCTTTCAAAGTGTGTTGCATTATGGGGATAAAAAATGGTCCAACTTGCGCCTACATGTCAACTGCATGAACTTTACAAAAACCATGCCATCAAAGGTTATGAAGTTTTGACTGCTGTCGACTGCAAGTTTCTGCAGTTGCGCTTCACAAACAGCCATCGCCTGCATTGTGGGAGGCGCTATTGTCAACCAATCATTAAGGTGTTTTTTTACCAACATGACCAAAGACCTGACTGACAGGAACCAACTTTGCTGTGATTCGTGTATACAGTGGATATGTACAAATTAATGTGATATTTGAGGATCTCTCACCAATTGATTGTACAATGTACACGCTTAAAAATCCTTCTTTAACCTGTCTTCTCCCCTTCATCTACACTGATTGAAGTGGATTTAACAGGTGACATCACTAAGGGATCATAGCTTTCACCTGGATTCACCTGGTCAGTCTGTCATGGTGTTTTGTACAATCAGTGTAGATTTTCAGTTTGTGAGTGTGTGATATGGGGGTCAGAGACATGTTTATTTCGACATTATAAAGAAACACTTTTTATAAAGCATGGCAGCATTGCCATGTTGCACTGAGCCTTGCTGTTGGAAAACCACATCAGTGTCAGACTTTCAGCTATCGCAGATGCATGTCACCTTCCCCGTCTTCACTCCTAGACTTTTGTCTAAAGTTGGTTGCTTTAGCCTTACCACTCAAACGAGCCCAAGTCCTTCTGATGCACAGAAGACCCGTTGGTCACATAAGCAGGAGGCCTAAATACATATGGTATATCAGCTGCATAGACCACCATTGAAGTGTAATATTTGTCATTTAAAAGAATAGCCTAACTTTATTCTTATGTCAGTCTGTTAGATGCAGAACATTTGCCAAGTAATATGTCGATTTTATAATTGATTAGTATACTCACACGTAATCAATCATGTAAACAATGACTTTGTTTTTGTAATACGCTGCACTATGGGCCCTGAGTCTGGCCTAGCAGTAACACTCTCAGCTTCAGAACCATATATATTCCCCCAAAACCAGATCCCTCTGTCTCAATACCTCTGTTCCTATCCTTTCACACATAAATAAAAATACGGAAGCGGTTCAGAAGTTTGTTCTCCTTTAAAAATAAATGTTGCACTGTACCACGATACAGAGAAAGGTGAGTGTATAAGGTATAGAACCAGAGTGCTGTTTGGAGGTAGTTTAGTTAGGCTTACTATCCTTATCTATGTATGCTTTGATAGCTGCATTAATGTGTTGTATCACATTTTCATTTTTGGATCCACAAGCATCCCTATAACCAAAACAACAAGATGCAAAGTTTTTATATTTTAGAAAATGTGTCTGGAAACGAATATGCCAAGAAATGTTAATGTGTCTAGACCAGGGGTGTAAAACTAATTCCATACAGGGCTGAGTGTCTGCTGGTTTTTGGTTTTTCCTTTCAATTAAGACCTAGACAACCAGGTGAGGCGAGTTCCTTACTAATCAGTGACCTTAATTCATCAATCAAGTACAAGAGAGGAGTGAAAACCCGCAGACACTTGGTCCTCCGTGGAATGAGTTTGACACGTGGTCTAGACTCTTAACATGCCCACAAGTTAGCTTGAGGCGAGGGTTTTTGCTCTCTGTCATATAACCTAGTAATTTGTGTACTGATTAGCTGTCATTTATAGGGCCATTGTATGCCTATTGTAATAAAATAAAAATAAAATAAAATAGCCATTTAGCAGACGCTTTTATCCAAAGCGACTTACAGTCATGCGTGCATACATTTTTGTGTATGGGTGGTCCCAGGGATCGAACCCACTACCTTGGCGTTACAAGCGCCGTGCTCTACCAGCTGAGCTACAGAGGACCACATGGCAGTAGAGGTATGGTGCTTGAATTTTGGTGGATGCACTGAAAATGCATTTGGTAATTTCTGGTTACTGTAGCTCAGTTGATAGAGCATGGCGCTTGCAACGCCAGGGTTGTGGGTTTGTTTTTCACGGGGGGCCAGTATGAAAAATGTATGCACTCACTAAATAATAATAATAATAATAATATGCCATTTAGCAGACGCTTTTATCCAAAGCGACTTACAGTCATGCGTGCATACATTTTTGTGTATGGGTGGTCCCGGGGATCGAACCCACTACCTTGGCGTTACAAGCGCCGTGCTCTACCAGCTGAGCTACAGAGGACCACACTAACTGTAAGTCGCTCTGGATAAGAGTGTCTGCTGTGTTGTTGTTTTTATCGCACTGCTTTGCTTTATCTTGGTCGCAGTTGTAAATGAGAACTTGTTCTCAACTGGCTTACCTGGTTAAATAAAGGTGAAATGAAAAAAATAAAAAATAATAATGACTAAAATGTAAAAATGTTACTGCTGGTAAGCATGATTGAAAACTGATAATGGTTGTGTAGGATTTTACCATTTATTAACATGTAACATTCACTTAACTTAAATCCAGTATGGCAGGTGATGATACAGTGTACCATATATGTTACAGATTGATTCTGCCCAACAGTATCTTGTGTTGTGATGTTGTGCTGAGTTGCAAACATGAGATAATATCTGAAGACATCCTGGCTCATCCCTCTCACTCCATGTAAATCAGAATCCCATTTGAAAGTAAGGGATAATTCCTTTAGGAAATGTTTCATTTCTACAAACTTGAAGACATTAAACATGAAAAATGTTGCTAGGCTTAATCTACAAACTCTTATAGAACTGTACATCGGAATGAAGTGTTTTAGAAATAAAACAGTGATGGGACTGACTTACTAACGGGAGGACTATAGCTTTCTATCTGCTTGTTTTGTGAATAAAAGTGTTCCCAGTTCCTAGATTATGGATGTGGGAATTTCATCCATGCGCCACATGGCACTGACGCAAAAGGTTGTGAGTAATATGAATCGATTTACTGGAAAGCAGTCGCGCTTTAAGGAAGTAGAATATTAATGTATATCTCCTCCCCCATCCGGCGACAATAAAACAAAATCTCGGTCATAATTTCTGCACTTTTAATAAGCGTTTTTATATAAATGAACTGTTCGGGCATAGGCTACATACCTTCGATTCTGAAGTTGGGAGCGAGTGATATTCTGGCTGTCATGAAGTGACACATGAATTTTCTCAATATTAGGGCATTATAACACCTTTTTTGGGTCCCTATAATTTGGTTGGTTCTCATTCACAAAACGGCTTTTTCGATTTAAAAAACGAATGCCTACAATGTGAACTGTATAAATTTGGTATAGGCTACATTTAAGAAGGTGATGTGGGACTGCATGATTTTAAACGTATATGCTTACCTATTGTATTGTATCTAATACAGTTATGTTGGCAACATATTGTTGTAACACCCCTTGTAAGTGACCTGGATTTCTCACGTTTCAAGCACTCAGGGAGGTGAAGTTATGTTTCTCGTTTAAAGTTGTATCTATATCTGCGATTGCCCATAAGGTTGGTATGTGGCCTCGCACACACATCATGCTCCCGTCAAAAAAAGTGTCACTCCCTCTAGCTTCTGAATACATCAAAGGGTTTAGCGTTATCCAAACTTGCGTTTGCCCGAGTCGATCAATGAAGGAATCCTGAGAACACCACCTCAACGCTGACTGCTGTTGTGTTACATTGTAGCGGAAAGAATGTCGGAAAGGGCCGATGATGACGTCAGGGGGGAACAGCGCAGAGCCGCCAGGCAGCTAAAGCAGCAACAGCAGCAGATACAGCCGGGAGAAGGCTCCACAGCAATGGCGACTGTTGCGGAGCGCAGATCCCTGCCTAGTCCAGAAATGATGTTGGGACAGCCTTGGAGCAACTGGGTCGATGCTACCAAACTCTACGGCAACGACGGTGAGTGCTCGTGCGTACTGGATGTGTGTGTAGAATCGAGACATGATCGTTAGCTTTTTTGCCGATTGCGTACAGTTTTGGGAATATGAAGACACGCTACTGGTAGCAACAGCAGAAGCAAGCAAGTGCAACTATTTATGTGTCTGTGTATCCGATTGCCTTTTAGGTGCTGAATCGGAGGAAAGTTTGAAGGAGTTCGGGAAAAATCGAGAAGCCATGCGATTGTGCAGAGATGGTGAGTGTTCTCTCTTTTGTCAGAGCCAATTAGTGTTTTGGTGGGTTGCACACACACTTCACATGCACCAGTTGAAGTCTGGTTGTTCTGTTAAACAAGTGCACTAGATTGACCTGTGACAACACAAGTCTGATCAATCAATGATATAGCCCTGGAATCTATGGCCACTAGTTGACATCTTGAAGAGGGGACTTCCTCTGTCCCTAAGTAGGTGCACACCACAGCTAATAACCAGCCAGGGCTTATTCAGTGAGATAGAAAGACAGAAATATAATGTGATAAAGCTGACATGATTGTTGATTATACACAACAGATCATTATTATGTCTATTTTACACAATCATTTCTGTCTGGCTGTTCTGTATCATTGTGCCCACCTGAAATGCCCTGATGTGCACCGTTAGGGGAGGTGTACACTCAGTGTGGTGACAGCAGTTTCACAGTTAAAATGGGAGCAACGAGTCTGTCATTAAGAATAACTGCTACTCTTGATGGTAACTGCTTGAAACCTCAGATGACTTTCCTATGTGAGTTGAATATTTATAGTGCTACTAAACACTCACATTTGTTTAGCACATATTTTTATTAGCACAATCAATAAAGAGCTCTATATTTACAATATTAACAACAAAGAATGGCCTTACTGTTTTGTTTTGTCCGCTATGATTTATAATTGATTTATTACATGGGTGTTGTCAGTGATCTGATCAAGACTGGCATGAAATGTTTAATTACCATGCTATACAAATGGAGAAGACAAAGGTTGGAAGACAATTACATTAGGCCTCCTGTAGCTCAGTTGGTAGAGCATGGTGCTTGCAACGCCAGGGTTGTGGGTTCGATTCCCACGGGGGGCCAGTATGAAAAATGTATGCACTCACTAACTGTAAGTCGCTCTGGATAAGAGCGTCTGCTAAATGTAAATGTTTTGAAACGTTTGGTGCCAATGTGAAAGAGTTCGTATATATTTTGTATTTATTTTATTTTACCTTTATTTAACTAGGCAAGTCAGTTAAGAACACATTCTTATTTACAATGACGGCCTACCAAGAGGCAAAAAGCCTCCTGCGGGGACGGGGGCTGGGATTAAAAATACAAATGTAATACATACAGTGGGGAGAACAAGTATTTGATGCACTGCCGATTTTGCAGGTTTTCCTACTTACAAAGCATGTAGAGGTCTGTAATTTTTTATCATAGGTACACTTCAACTGTGAGAGACGGAATCTAAAACAAAAATCCAGAAAATCACATTGTATGATTTTTAAGTAATGAATTTGCATTTTATTGCATGACATAAGTATTTGATACATCAGAAAAGCAGAACTTAATATTTGGTACAGAAACCTTTGTTTGCAATTACATTTACATTTACATTTTAGTCATTTAGCAGACGCTCTTATTCAGAGCGACTTACAGTTAGTGAATACATTTTTTTTAAATACTGGCCCCCCGTGGGAATCGAACCCACAACCCTGGCGTTGCAAACGCCATGCTCTATCAACTGAGCTACATCCCTGCCGGCCATTCCCTCCCCTACCCTGGACGACGCTGGGCCAATTGTGCGCCGCCCATGAGTCTCCCGGTCGCGGCCGGCTGCGACAGAGCCTGGATTCGAACCAGGATCTCTAGTGGCACAGTTAGCACTGCGCCACTCAGGAGTATAATTACAGAGATCATACGTTTCCTGTAGGTCTTGACCAGGTTTGCACACACTGCAGCAGGGATTTTGGCCCACTCCTCCATACAGACCTTCTCCAGATCCTTCAGGTTTCGGGGCTGTCACTGGGCAATACGGACTTTCAGCTCCCTCCAAAGATTTTCTATTGGGTTCAGGTCTGGAGACTGGCTAGGCCACTCCAGGACTTTGAGATGCTTCTTACAGAGCCACTCCTTAGTTGCCCTGGCTGTGTGTTTCTGGTCGTTGTCATGCTGGAAGACCCAGCCACGACCCATCTTCAATGCTCTTACTGAGGGAAGGAGGTTGTTGGCCAAGATCTCACGATACATGGCCCCATCCATCCTCCCCTCAATACGGTGCAGTCGTCCTGTCCCCTTTGCAGAAAATCATCCCCAAAGTATGATGTTTCCACCTCCATGCTTCACGGTTGGGATGGTGTTCTTCTACATCATCCTCAGGTCTGGAGTGTATTCTCTTCTCTTTCTCATAGCACATTGTCATTCAGGCCCAGCCCTGTGAAGTGGGGGGTATTATGGCTTACCCTGTGGATGACTACACCTCTACCATGACTCACCACATATGTCCCTGGTGGAACAGACATTTCTACATGCACGCACACACATGGACACACACACACACGATCCAGACATGACACACTCACAAGAGCCATAATTGGAACGTGACTGAAGGATTCTCTCCTCTGATCTGCCCCGTGTTCATTCACTCCCATTATATCCCTCTGACTCCCCTTCACCCATTTGACTGATATAGCAGACTGAGAAGGGGAACTGGGAAACGTAGTGGCTACAGGTCAGAGTTTGCTGCCATGTGTCTGTGTGCCTCCAATAGCTGCTACTACTCTACCCTAGATCATTCATCACTGCCATTGAAGAGGAAGGTGAAATTAACTGCACTCTCCTCTTTCTCTCTCTCATCTCCATACCACACAAGAAAATGGAGAATGAAATGGCACATGGAGTTTCACCACTTTTAAAGTTGGACGCTTCAACAGTGCAGTGCCACTGCCAATGTCCTGAATGCAGAGTGGACTGGTGATTCAGCTGGTGCTCATTTAAGAGACCAGTGAGACCTGTCACTAACCCTGTGTTTAGTACAGGTCGGCTTGTTAATTCCCCCATCCCCAGCAGCAAATTACTTTCCTAAGAGCACAGGTAGACTTTTGTGTGGACTTGAATAGCCAGAGCCTCGGAGACGTCGGTGATGTTTCAAGTGTCCTCAGCCATGTGTTGGAGGGCCTTGTCTGCTACGGCGTGTGAGTGATCTCTTAATTAGACCCTTCATTAGCTCTTTGTCGTTCTCCTTGTGAGGGTAAATGTTGATCTCTCCTCGTCTCCCAGTGTGCCCCTCTGATTTCCACGATGGAGCTTTCATCAAAAAAGGAGGGAGTCTTGTATTTGTATTTATTAGGGATCCACATTAGCTGCTGCTCTTCCTGGGGTCCAAACACATTAAGGCACTTACATCACACACAAAACAAAAGATAAAACAGTGCATCATATAACATTATTACACCACTACATATCTACAATACAAAATGTATAATACCACCATACAACAATATTTGTGACTGGTGGTGTTGAGCACATTAATGAATCCACCAACCAACCAATCGGCTCTGTTAAGTATTTAACTAACTCAACGACTGAAGGAGGTTGAACATTTTAACTTTAACCACATTAACTGTGGAATGCAGTTTTCTGGTCACATAAGAAAGTAATATGCCACATGCATTCCTGTGAATGATGGTGTTCTTTTTTGGCTGGATGATTTTGTCGATTTGAATATTTGCAGGTACGGCGCATACTTCAATTTAAAAGCCCAAGTGACAGTCTCTGCCTCAGTTGCTCTCCATCCTCTCTTGTTTATTTGAAGTCACAGATCATTCACAGGCTCTGCCACTGGCTGTAGTTATCCTGCCTGCTTCACACCATAGGTGTGTAGCGTGTGGGTAGCCTGTCAGTGTGTGTGTTTCTGCAGCAGTTAACCTTTGGAGTGCTGACTCTGTCATCTCCTTGTTCTTATCACTAGGCGTTCTCCTGTACTGTGAAATGGGGCTTGTGTGTGTGTACTCTGCGCATGTACAATCTGTTTTTCTCTGGAATGGTTGTTCTCACACCCGTATCAACCATAATTATCCTAGAGTATTGAAAGCTTAGGTGCCTAGGCTTTATCGCCCTCCATAACACTGCATGGTTTCAAATGTTTCATTCAGCAACTACCTGTGTCTACCTCCTACAGTTTACATTAGATACTGGTTGTCTTCATCCTGTTCATCTGTGTTTCTCTCTCCCCCCATGGAACCACAGACATGCCCATATTTGGCCAGTGTCCGGCACAGGACGACTTCTACCTGGTGATGTGCAGCCACTGCAGTCAGGTGGTGAAGCCCCAGGCCTTCCAAGCACACTACGGTAAGTCTCTCTCTCTCTCTCTCACTCACACACACACACACACACACACACACACACACACAAACCGAGCTGATCCAGGGTTTGGTTTAATCGTTTTTTGTTTTATAGCTCTTATGAAGGTTTTGGGCAGGGAGAGCATATTCTAGACTTGTGCATTGGGGAACCTGCTCGGCACTAATCTCTGTCAGGATGACACATCTATAGAGTGTGCGTGTGCGCGCATGTTCAGACACTATCACATTCAAAAGGATTAAAAGCACCCCTCCCATTCTCCACCTCTGCACTCTCTAACGTAACATGAGAAAGGAGCGCTCAGGCTTTTGATTTCCACCGCCTGAGACTTGTGTTTACAATTCTCCTGTTAATATTTGATGTGTTCCTCCCGAGTCCACGCCTCTGTGTGAGTGTAGCCTAATTTATTGTTTTAGCGTGTTAAGCTGTCCCTGAGATCTCTGGAGATGTCTTAAAAGTACTACAAAGAGTAAAGGAGTATCTTTTTCCATCTCCGCTGTGTGAGTTCTTAAACTGGCTTTTTGGCTGGCACGCTGGGAAGAATTGATGAATTATGGATTTTAGAATCAAGAGATCGCTTTGCTGTGTATCTCGTTAAAACCAGCCTGGTGAACCCTCTGTGCACGCACTCACACACTTGCGGCACACACACTCACTCTCTCTCACACACACACATACACCCATGTGCTTCAGTGCAATTATTAAGAGAACTGCTCTCTCCACAGACAGTGCACACCTATGAGCCAGTGAGGCAGAGGGTTAGATAAGGTGGTGTAAACTCTCTCTCCCTCTCTGTCTAATTCGTCTCCATGATAGGGTGTTAAGCATCAATTGGCATGTATAATCTATTTATTACAGGTGTGGTGTGCTTTAGGTTAAAGTTTGGAGACCTTTCTAAATATATTTTAGTCTCTAAAATGTGTAGGCCTCCCTCCACCTACAGTTATCATTGATACCTCTAGTAAAGAAGAGCAAGGTATTATCTGTTCCTTGAGCTGTTTCATTGAAGGATTACATTTTTTATGAAATTGCGGAGTCTAAACTGGTAAATAACCCTATGTTATGGGTCGTTCTTTAAGAATTTTAATGTGTTTTCTCACACATACAGTTCCTTCAGAAAGTATTCATACCCCTTGACTTATTCCACATTTTGTTGTGTTACAGCCTGAATTCAAAATTGATTGATTTTCTCACCCATCTACACACAATACCCCAGAATGACAAAGTGAAAACCATGTTTTTAGAAATGTTTGGTAATTTATTGAAAATTAAATACAGAAATATGTCATTTACATAAGTATTCACACCCCGGAGTCAATACTTTGTAGAAGCACCTTTGGCAGAGATTACAGCTGTGAGTCTTTCTGGGTGTCTCTAAGAGCTTTCCACACCTGGATTGTGGAACATTTGTCCATTATTCTTTTCAAAATTCTTCAATATCTGTCAAACTGATTGTTGATCATTGCTAGACAACCATTTTCAGGTCTTGCCATAGATTTTCAAGTAGATTTAAGTCAAAACTGTAACTCGGCCACTCAGGAACATTCACGGTCTTCTTGGTAAGCAACTCCAGTGTAGATTTGGCCTTTTGTTTTAGAATATTGTCCTGATGAAAGGTGAATTAATCTCCCAGTGTCTTGTGGAAAGCAGACTGAACCAGGTTTTCCTCTAGGATTTTGCCTGGGCTAAGCTCCATTCTTTTTATTTTTCTATCCTGAAAAACTCCCCAGCCCTTAACGATTACAAGCATACCCATAACATGATGAAGCCACTACTATCCTTAAAAATATGGAGAGTGGTACTCAGTAATGTGTTGTATTGGATTTGCCCCAAACATAACACTTTGTATTCAGGACAAAAAGTTGATTTCTTTGCCACATTATTTGTTGCAAACATAATGCATGTTTTGGAATATTTGTATTCTGTACAGGCTTCCTTCTTTTCACTCTGTCAATTAGGTTCGTATTGTGGAGTAACTACAATGTTGTTGATCCATCCTCAGTTTTCTCCTGTCACAGCCATTAAACTCTGTAACTGTTTTAAAGTCACCATTGGCATCATGGTGAAATCCCTGGGCAGTTTCCTTCCTCTTCGGCAACTGAGTTAGGAAAGACGCCTGTATCTTTGTAGTGACTGGGTGTATTGATACTCAATTCAAAGAGTAATTAATAACTTCACCATGCTCAATGTCTTTTTTTTCTTTCTTTTTTGCCCATCTACCAATAGGTGCCCTTCTTTGCGAGGCATTGGAAAACCTCCCTGGTCTTTGTGGTTGAATATTTGTTTGAAATTCACTGCTCGACTGAGGGACCTTACAGATAATTGTATGTGTGTGGTACAGAGAGAAGGTAGCCATTACAAATTAATGTTAAACACTATTGCACATAGAGTGAGTTCATGCAACTTATGTGACTTGTTAAGCAAATTCCTACTCCTGAACTTATTTAGGCTTGCCATAACAAAGGAGTTGAATACTTATTGACTCAAGACATTTCAGCTTTTTCATTTTAATTAGCAAAATAAATCGAAAAACATAATTCCACTTTGACATTATGGGGGTAGGCTAGTGCCCAGAAAATCTCAATTTAATCCATTTTTAAATTCAGGCTAAGACACAGCAAAATGTGGAAAAGGTCAAGGGGTGTGAATACTTTCTGAAGGCACTTTATGTTTGACATGTCAGTGTCCTCACGCATCGACAGAGGAACAGTGTTCTAATGCTTCAGGCATGCTTTTAGGAGCTTTAGTCTGGATCCTTCGGTCTTTAGAACAATTTTTTTTGTAAAATGCCATGGAAGCAGTTTGCGTTTTAAACTTAATTGGAATATTCACTTGATATCTCCAGTTTCATAGTGTAAACCTGGTGAGCCTCTCAAGCCTTTATTCTTTTCCTTTAGGTGTCTGAAAACGAATGCTTCAATGGCACTTCCTTCTGTTTCTACTCTGGCTGGTCACTTGAGTCCATCTGTGTCCCAATATGCACACTAGTGTTGCACTGTATACTGGTACCACGGTAATATCACGGTACCAAAATGTAATGATACTTATGACACCAACATTTTTGAATACCGTAGTACCGTTTCATATGATACTACCACCTTTTTTGGCCCTACCGATCTAAAGAACCCACTGGCTGGCGCATGTTATAAAATGTTTAAAGTCAGTTTGGTTTATAAATTTAGTTTAAAAAATGTAAGCAACAACAGCTAGTCTCTTGTATGCGCCGGTCCAATACTGTCCAGTTCCCTTTCATGCGCATATCATGTGTGGCAGCGCTAACCCGCCAGCCGCATCCCCTTCCAGCCATCACTCACCTGCACAAGGCAGTCTGAGTAGGGTTTGCAAGTTCGCTGTCACGCAGCAGTGCCAGAGAGGAAAAACGGCTTCGCGACAGGCATGCTAGCAACTTTACAGCAAAGAAAACGACTTGTCTCTAGCTTAAACAGTAAAAGAAATATGACTCGATTCCGCGCACATTTGGTAAAATTTCACAAACCAAGTCACTGGCCGTTTTAAACTAATCCTGGGCCACTAATTAATTATTGGTCATGTTATCTAGCTAGCTAACAACCAGGTAACTTGACAGTAGGTCTAGGCAAATTTGATTGGCACAGTTAGAAAGGAAAAGGGTCTGCTACTCATGAGATGTGCTTCAAAGGTAGGAATCATATAGGCCTAATGTAAGCCTAAACTATACTGAACAAAAATATAAACGCAACATGCAACAATTTTAAAGATTTTATTGAGTTACAGTTCATATGGAAATCATTCAATTGAAATAAATCCATTAGGCCCTAATCTATGGATTTCCCATGACTGGGAATACAGATATGCATTTGTTGGTCACAGATACCTTTTTAAAAAATGGCCTCACAATGGGCCTCGTCACGGTATTTGATTAAATGCAATTGTGTTTGTGGTTTGTAGTTTATGCCTGCCCATACCATAACCCCATCGCCACCATGGAGCATTCCGTTCACAACGTTGACATCAGCAAACCGCTCGCCCACACGACGCCATAAGGCGGGTTGGACGTACTGCCAAATTCTCTAAAACAACGTTGGAGGTGGCTTATGTTAGAGGAATTAACATTAAATTATCTGGCAACAGCTCTGGTGGACATTCCTGAAGTCAGCATGCCAATTGCACACTCCCTCAAAACTTGACACATCTGTGGCATTGTGTTGTGTGACAAAACTGCACATTTTAGAGTGGCCTTTTGTTGTCCCCGGCAACTGTGTAATGATCAAGCTGTTTAATCAGCTTCTTGATATGGCCCAGCTGTCAGGTGGATGGATTATCTTGGCAAAGGAGAAATGCTCACTAACAGGGATGTAAACAAATGTGTGCCCACAATTTTGAGAGAAATAAGCTTTTTGTGCTTATGGAAAATGTCTGGGATCTTTTATTTCAGCTCATGAAACATGGGACCAACACTTTACATGTTGCGTTTATATTTTTCTTCAGTGTACAGTATCAGTCAAAAGTTTGGACAACTACTCATTCAAAGGTTTTCTTTATTTTTACTATTCACTACAATAATAGTGAAGACATCAAAACTATGAAATGACACATATGGAATCATGTAGTAACCAAAAAAGTGTTAAACAATCAAAATATATTTGCCTTGATGACAGCTTTGTATTCTCTCAACCAGCTTCGATGAGGTAGTCACCTGGAATGCTTTTCCAACAGTCTTGAAGGAGTTTCCACATATCCTGAGCACTTGTTGGCTGCTTTTCCTTCATTCTGCGGTCCAACTCATCCCAAACCATCTCAATTGGGTTGAGGTTGGATGGTTGTGGAGGCCAGGTCATCTGATGCAGCACTCCATCACTCTCCTTCTTAGTCAAATAGCCCTTACACAGCCTGGAGGTGTGTGTTGGGTCATTGTCCTGTTGAAAAACAAATGATAGTCCCACTAAGCGCAAACCAGATAGGATGGTGTATCGCTGCAGAATGCTGTGGTAGCCATGCTGGTTAAGTGTGCCTTGAATTCTAAATAAATCACAGACCGTGTCACCAGCAAAGCACCCCCACACCATCACACCTCCTCCTCCATGCTTCACGGTGGGAACCACACATGCGGAGATCATCCGTTCATCTACTCTGCGTCTCACAAAGACATGGCGGTTGGAACCAGAAATCAGACCGAAGGACAGATTTCCACCGGTCTCATGTCCATTGCTCGTGTTTCTTGGCCCAAGCAAGTTTCTTCTTCTTATTGGTGTCCTTTAGTAGTGGTTTCTTTGCAGCAATTTGACCATGAAGGCCTGATTCACACAGTCTCCTCTGAAGCTCAGCTGGTAGAGCACGGCGCTTGTAACGCCAAGGTAGTGGGTTCGATCCCCGGGACCACCCATACACAAAAATGTATGCACGCACGACTGTAAGTCGCTTTGGATAAAAGCGTCTGCTAAATGGCATATTATTATTATATTATATATTATTATTATATTATATTTATATATTATATTATTATATTATAACAGTTGATGTTGAGATGTCTGTTACTTGAACTCTGTGAGGTGCAATCTGAGGTGCAGTTAATTGACGATTTCTGAGGCTGGTAACTCAAATGAACTTATCCTCTGCAGCAGAAGTAACTCTTGGTCTTCCTTTCCTGTGGCAGTCCTCATGAGAGCAAGTTTCATCATAGCGCTTGATGCTTTTTGCGACTGCACTTAAGAAACGTTCAAAGTTCTTGATATGTTCCATATTGACTGACCTTCATGTCTTAAAGTAATGATAAACTGTCATTTCTCTTTGCTTATTTGAGCTGTTATTGACAGTATATGGACTTGGTCTTTTACCAAATAGGGCTATCTTCTGTATACCACCCCTACATTGTCACAACACAACTGACTGGCTCAAAACGCATTAAGAAGGAAAGAAATTCCACAAATCAACTTTTAACAAGGCACACCTTTTAATTGAAACGCATTCCAGGTGACCATGAAGCTGGTTGAGAGAATGCCATGAGTGTGCAAAGCTGTCATCAAGGCAAAGGGTGGCTACTTTGAAGAATCTCAAATATAAAATATATTTGGATTTGTTTAACATGATTCCATTTGTTATTTCATAGTTTTGATGTCTTCACTATTATTCTACAATGTAGAAAATAGTAAAAAAAAAATAAGAAAAACCCTGGTATGAGTAGGTGTCAACTTTTGACTGGTACTGTGTATCAAAAATCTATCTCTTTCTGGTGTTCTTTACATTCTGTTTGGTGCCTAATGTTTTTAAATTTGGGGGCAGTGTGTGCATGTGTTTGTGGGAGAGAGAGTGGTGTGTCTGTGTGTTAACTGAAGAGTAAATGTTTCATGCAGTGTTTTCCCCTTACTGCCACAATGACATTCAGATCATTATGCATCTATATTCCTTCCTCCAGCCAAATCACAGGTAGACCTTTGCAGATATGAGCAAAGTCACCATTCTATGCCGTATTCTATTATACAGTGTGAAGTTAAATTAAATATGTGTTGGATTGAGTAGAAGTGTGAATATCAGTGACAGGTTTTTTGTGTAGCACATGCGCATAACATTTAGAAAACTGGAACAAGCGTCGGGGGGATGGGCGAACAGGACATTAGGCCACCCAGAATCCCCCCCCCCCCCGTGGTATCGCAATACTACTCGGTGTCATGGTGCTTGGCCTGGTATTGTATCGTTAGTAAAATTATGGTATCGTGACAACACTAATGCACACATTACTACACTGTGTTTCATGCTAGTGTGGCCATTGGGATCCATACTATTTAAATCGACCAGTCAATGCCACGGGGCTTCAGTGGAATCACTACTCTCCTTTTACAATGTAGTTCGTTTTTTTCTCAAAGGAAATATTGAATAAACAGCTAAGCCTATAATATTTCATCACTGATTTGTTACTGGTTATACAGTGATCAGGATTGGCCACGAGGGAGACACAATAACACCCAAGTGTCATTGGGGACACTCATTGATCCTGTGGCAAGAGTCACAGCAATCATAGACTAATAGCAAATGTGAATAGAGTAGCAAATACAGAAGTTTGTACTTTCCACATAAATTGAGATTAGCCTAGTGCTGGTGTGGTTGCACCTGACTACTATAGCGTAGTTCATTAACCGGACTTCCACCTTAAATGTGCAATAACATTGAATCAGATCAGATGAATCTGTCTTAGATGTACCACATACTGCCTGTCAGTCTCATCTGCATAATGTCTCAGTGACTTGATAGGCTCGTCATTATGAAGTTCCATAGTAGGCCTGTTCATTCATTGGTTTTCCAGTGTACAGTATGTTAACGCAGGACTCAACAGTTCCTATCTGAAGACTACTGAACTTGTCTGGTCAGTGAAACACTAGTGAACTTGTCTTCTATAAAATATTGAGCTCATCTCTGCAAGGTACCACAGAGGGACCCTCTTGTTCTGCCCTGGATATGGTCTGTGTAGTTTTACATGACTTTCACTCTATGAAGCCACAGTGTTGCTGCTGGTAGGAAGGCCATTAGCTGATAGTCTGTTGAAGGTCAGTGCACAGTGATTCTATATGCTGTGATTCTACCATCTAAACTGTCTCACCTCATTCTCCTGTATTGCTTGAAGCCCATCCGTATGCTGTATGGTGTGTTCTAACTGTGGAGCCCCTGGGTGTAGTACATTTACATTTTAGTCATTTAGCAGACGCTCTTATCCAGAGCCACTTACAGTTAGTGAGTGCATACATTTTCATACTGGCCCCCAGTGGGAAACGAACCCACAACCCTGGCGTTGCAAGCGCCATGCTCTACCAACTGAGCTACAGGGAGCAGCTAGCCTGGCGCTGTGGGCAGGATTGACACTCCGGAGTATAAACAGGCACTAGGCATGCAGCTCCGCTCCGGTTTTATTCATTAATTTATGAATCCGGTCGCTGAACAAAGAACCCATAGCTATATGCTCGTACTCAGCAGTGACTGACTCTGAGACTACAGATCTGGGATCAGCACAAGTAGAGCTATAGTATGCTATGAGGAGAGCAAGCCTACACTGTTGACAGGACCATGTAAATCATTTTGATTGGGCCTAGCTGCTTTATGTGTAGCCTACACTGAGTGCGGTAGGCCTATGCTGTGCACCCATTTTCCAAAATGTACCCCAGCAAGCCTGTCTCCTGCAGGGATTCCCCAGCCCTCTAGAGAGACTACTGTTTATTTGCCAGTGTGAGAATAGACTGTAATGCTGCTCCTCTCCTCCGTCTCTGTTTTCCTGTTCTATTGGTCTGCCAGGACCTCTCTTACTGGCTGGCTGGCTCTCAGCATTTGGCAGGCGTTGTGGGAACGTCACGCTGGGGAAGCCTGCTTGCGCTTGAGTGTGGGTTATGCAGCGACGTCTGGCATGGACTGAGTGGCATCTATAGGTTGGGGGAGGTTGGCGAGAGGCTGTTGGGTGCTAGCCTGTTAGCAGGAAGGCAGTGGGTCATGGGTAGGAGGGTGGAAGAGGTGTGAAGCTCCAGCTTGGCTCAGGGAGGGGCTTTGTCATAGCACATAGGCTGGGCTGGTTTAGTCTGGGTGAGGAGGGAGAGGAAAGGGCCTGGAGATGTTGCTCTGTTAGCTAGCTGGGGTGGTGTGGGGCTGGGCGTGGCAGCTGTGCATTCTACCCTGCTCTACTGCTGCTCTCCCACTGAGACAGCCTTGGCATGCAGCCCAGACCTGCATGGGCTTAGCAGAAGGTTAGTTGGAGTTTCGTTTTAACTCCCCACACCACCACTAGCCAGCCAGGCAGACAATTTTTCACTAATCCTGCTCTGATCTGCTCTCTTTATCTATCGCTCTCATGCTCTCGCTCCATTCTCTTATTATCTGCCCTCTCTCACTGTTTCCTCTCATTCACTGATTGTCTGTTTGTCTGTCTTGACGTCTGTCTCTCTCGCTCGCTCTCTCTGACACACACAATTTTCTCCATGGATAGAAGATGCTGCTCTGCTGGTTGGGAGGAGGTAGTGCAGTCAGTGTCTCTGTTATCTGGCTGTAAAATGGTCAGATTAACCCTCTCAGGACTGGAACGGCATTCAGTTGCTTCGGCCAGAAGAGCTATACCTCTCGCTTTCTCTCACATGCTCTCTTCCTCTTTCTTCCTCTCTTGCTGTATAACTTTCATTCTCTGTCTTTCTGTCTGCTTTACTTTCACTTTCTCTTGTGTGTGTGTGTGTGCTTGTTCAGCTTGTGTTCGTTTGTGGTGTGTGGAGTGAGCACTAGAAACATTAGAAATAACTGTTTAGGCTAAATACTGCAATGCGGATTTGCCCTTTGTCCTGTTTAGCAGCTCTTGTTTTTTCCTCATAGTTGTATATTTTTTCTTCTCTGGTGTCAGTATTGTCTTTTATCAGTTTATAGTAAGGCTAACCGTTCCATTCAGTTTCAGACAGGAAATCAAGCTCTTGACCCGTATTTTTATTTCAGGTGAATTGGCCTGGATCAGCAAGGCTTTCTAGTCTTTGTTTTTGAAGCTGCCTGTTTTTGACTTTGTGTTTAGTACATTTTTGCCCACTTATAGAAGTGTTTATTCACACATTGATTCCATGCACATTTATTACAAAAATGTACCTGTCCAAAGGCCTGTTGTTTCTAGCTACTACCTTCTGATTTATGTGCCTGTGTCGATGCTTGTTGGTCATGTCTCTGTGTGGACTGTAGTTCATCCCTAACCTGCTTTTCCCCTGACCCCTAGAGAGAAGACACAGCTCGGCCAGCAATCCCCCCTCCACCTCGGCCCCCTCCTCAGCCTTCTCCCTGTCCGCTCTGTCTCGGAGCAAGGGCAGTGGGACTGGTCCCGGGGCAGGGGGTGTCAGTGGAGGGGCCATGGGCCGCTCCTCCAGTGGGACCAGCGCCTCGTCCAACTCCAAAATCCTCAAACCAGCCAAAGAGAAGCTGCCAGGCATCCAGCAGAGACCTCACTTCCCTCCCTTCCGGCTGCTCAATGACAAAATGTAAGCCATGTCTAACCTAGCCATACTGCTGAACCCCAGTAAAACGTGTTGTCATGTTGAACTTCAGCCCCCTGCCTCTGATAGCCCTGCATTACGTTAGTTTTGATCCTCTGTTACTTCTCTCTCTTCAAGTCCTCCTCTCGCTGCTTCTCAGAAGTCTAGCTCTGACTGAAGTCTCCCCGTTCTACCCTCCAACTAAATGAGCCCCTTAAAGAGTGTTAAAAAGAGATCCTTTATCAAACTCCATTTGCAACCACTCAAAACATGTTGGCTTTCTGCTTGGGGATTTAAACATATTTCAAACTTTACCTAAACCTGTTCTGTTGAAATGAAACGATTTCTTTGAGGTCTTTGATGATTTGCTGCTATAGATAAATTAGCTCCCTCCTCACGCCATCCCTCACTTTCTCCTCCTCTGTCCATCCCTCTCTTCCAGCCTGACCCCTGCGGTCAAAGTGGAGAAGATGCGTCTGAAGGTGGATGTGTGGGCCAAGCTGGTGCAGGCTCCCTCGGCCACCTCGTCGTCGTCCTCCAGCAGCACTGTGAGCTCCTCGTCACCCCTGAAGTCAGGCCTTAACTTTCCCTCCATACCAAAGGCTCCCTCGCTGGCCCCCGGCCAGATCCCCAATGGCAAGGGCCACATCTCCCTTTCTGCCCTGGACAAGAAGCAGGACACCAGCGCCAGTAGCAGACAACACCTCCACAAGAGACTGTCAGGTGAGAGGAGATGATGGGGGATTGTCTGTTTGCTGCAATAGATTATTATAACCTCAGTCATTTATTCAAGTACTGACATGTCATAGCCATACAGTAAAACATCTGCTGATTTTATCCCAGAAATGCCACTAACTGAATACTATGTTTTTCTGCTACCGCGCTCTCTCTTCCTTACTCCTCCTGTTCTCTCTCTCTTCCTTACTCCTCCTGTTCTCTCTCTCTTCCTTACTCCTCCTGTTCTCTCTCTCTTCCCCTTAAAAACTCTCCGTTCTCCTTTCTCTCTTCTTACTCCTCCTGTTCTCTGTCTCTTCCCTTACTCCTCCTGTTCTCTCTCTCTTCCTTACTCCTCCTGTTCTCTCTCTCTTCCTTACTCCTCCTGTTCTCTCCTCTTTCCTTACTCATCCCTGTTCTCCTCCCGCTCTTCCTTTACTCCTCCTGTTCTCTCTCGTCTTCCTTAACTACCCTCCTGTCTCTCTCTCTTCCTTACTACTCCTGCTGTTCTCTCCTCTTCCTTTACTCCTATCCCTGTTCTCTCTCTCTTCTTACTCCCCTGTGCTCCTCTCTCTTCCTTACCCGTCCTGTTCATCCTCTCTATTCCTTACTCCCTCCTGTTCTCTCGCTCTTTCTTACTCCTCCTGTTCTCTCTTCCATCAGAACGTGAGTTTAATCCAGATATCCACTGTGGGGTCCTGGATATGACAGCTCGGAAGCCATGCACACGATCCCTAACATGCAAGGTACCAAGCCCTCTCTTCTGCCCCCCTTCTTTCTGTTCTGTGTGGTTAGGAAATATTCCTTGTCACATTTCCTAGGTCTTTAAGCAGCCTCCAGACTCTGTGTGCAGCTCATCCTGACCTAACATACCCTTTGGCCTTCTCCCTCCCTCAGACACATTCCCTAAGCCAGCGGAGGGCAGTGCTGGGCCGGAGGAAGCGATTTGACACATTGTTGGCCGAGCACAAGAGCAAAGCGCGGGAACGGGACCTGCAACACCCCCACCCCCAGCAGATCCCCCCTCTCAGGGACCCCCACCCCTCCCCCTCACGACTCATCCCCCACCACGACACCCACCAGGTCGCTCAAGGCAACGGAGCTGCCGACGCCACCAAGCCTTTGGCGCTCGGCAAACCAAAACCTCAAAATCCTGGTCTTCCACGGTGAGTCACTCTGTGCTCTTCCTGGGTACAGCCAGTACCTGCATCCCTGATGTGTGTTCCTAAATCACTGTGTTTCCACTGCTCTCAGACTGAACAGCAGTATCTCTCACGGAGGTGGGGGTACCCCGGGAGACCCCTCGTCGGTCCACGAGTCGCCCCACCACTCTACGCCCACCCCCGACGGGGTCTCCCGCCTGTCCAGTGACGAGGGGGAGAATGAGGAAAGGGAGGAAGGCACAGACAAACTGGACTGTCACTATTCAGGTTACCAACCACGGCCGGCAGCTGTAAGTCCACCACAAGTTCACTTTATATTTGACTCTTACAGGAATATGCTCTACATTTATTGAGCCCTTAAATTCACATCACAGCAACAATGAAACAACAGCATAGCCAGATGCGCGAATAATCAGTCTTCAACCTGTTTTTATGGGCCCTATAAACAGTACCAACCTCCATTGAGTGGCAGCTTGTACCGTGCAGTGTGTGTGTGTGTGTGTGTGTGTGTGTTTTGGCTTGTTAGTGTGTCATTGTGTTAACAGTTTCCCTCCCTGCTGATCAGTACTGTACCTTTGGAAGTCGACTGTTTGGGAGTAGCTGCTACTCGTTTGACCGGCGCTGGGATCGAATGCGATGTGCTCTTACTGCCATGATGGACAAGCACGTCAATACTCAGATGTGGAAGTAAGTCTGTGTACATTCATTAGACCAGAGTTCCATAATACCTACCTAATTCACAAACCTATTACAAAATCACTGAGGCAGGGAGCAATAGTGTTGCAGGGTGGTGAAGGGAGATCTAGTGCTAAATGGGACACCATTAGGCTATTTATCTCCATTCCTGGAGGGCCAGAACACTTCTGATTTTCATCCTCTCCTAATTAGGGACTGATTCAGACCTGGGACACCAGAGGGGTATACTACAAAGCAGGATCAATGAGTTAGCCAGCTAACTTTGATGAACAAACATAAATAACTATTGATTTTCTGGTTCATTAAGTAAGCTGAACTTAGATATTTGTTTTTGGTTGTTGAGTCAATGAGAACATGCCCATTTCAAGCTTAACTTTTATTTGTTTGAAAGATATTTCAGAACATTTAGGCTGGCTAACTCATTGATCCTGCTTTGTATTATACCCTGTGTCTCTCCAGGACTGTCCTGTGCTGACTCCTCTCTGTGTAAAGCAGTTCCAGTTTCTATCCAGGACTGTCCTGTGCTGACTCCTCTCTGTGTAAAGCAGTTCCAGTTTCTATCCAGGACTGTCCTGTGCTGACTCCTCTCTGTGTAAAGCAGTTCCAGTTTCTATCCAGGACTGTCCTGTGCTAACTCCTCTCTATGTATAAAGCAGTTCCAGTTTCTATCCAGGACTGTCCTGTGCTGACTCCTCTCTGTGTGTGTAAAGCAGTTCCAGTTTCTATCCAGGACTGTCCTGTGCTGACTCCTCTCTGTGTAAAGCAGTTCCAGTTTCTATCCAGGACTGTCCTGTGCTGACTCCTCTCTGTGTAAAGCAGTTCCAGTTTCTATCCAGGACTGTCCTGTGCTGACTCCTCTCTATGTGTAAAGCAGTTCCAGTTTCTATCCAGCACTGTCCTGTGCTGACACTTCTGTATGTGTAAATGTTACTGATGGGGATGCTCATGGTGGTCTGTTTGTGTTATAGGAAAATCCCTTTGGCCTTGGAGAACTCCTCCTCTTCTTCCTCTGCTCCGGCCCACAGGACAAGCACAAACTCCCTGTCCTCATCCCACGGTAGCGCCCCTGCCTCAGACTTCCTCAGCCCCTCCTCTGCACCCCCTCCGCCCCCCCACACTCAGTCCTACGACAGCAAGTCTGTTCTCTCGTACGGGACCACCTTAAATGCCCGTGCCTCCCCCCATGGCACGGCCAACCACCCTGCCTGCAGCGCAGCACAGGCCAGACAAGTGTCTTCGTCGCCCCAGATGCCTTCAGCCCACTCCTCGGTCCCCACCCTGGCTTCAGGACGACCACTCAAGTCCAGATCCAGCGGCAAGTCCTTCAGACCCCGGGAGTCTTCTTCCACAGCCGCCATAACCAACTCCACCAGTGGGGGCAGCAGTGGAGGCAGCAGCAGCACTAGCCTCAGCTCGGGGAAGAAGAAGAAGAACAGCTCCCTCCTCACATCGTCTCACGCTACCACCTACTCCTCAGAGTCCTCTTCCTCCTCCAACCCCACCCCTTCCTCCTTCAAGAAGAACTGCATGGTGAACAGCGGCAGCTCAGGGAGCACGTCCCACCACGCCTCGCTAGTCCCCTCCTCCTCGTCTCACAGCGGCCTCCACAGTGTGGGACTTAACTGTGGCCCCAACGCCAGGACCAACTCCCTCAGTTTGAAGGCAGAGCCCTCGGGGCCAGCGGGAGTGTCGGGGCCTGGGGTCAGAGGCCCCCCCTCGGGCAGCCCAGCCGAGTCCATCAAGAGGATGAGTGTGGTGATGAACAGCAGTGACTCCACCCTCTCCCTGGGTCCCTTTGTCCACCAGGCCTCAGAGCACCACAGCAGCTTCAGCCATGCCCACACTGATGGCCGCCTGGAGGGGAAGAAACGCAAGGGCTCCCCCGCTGCCAGCTCCATCAACAGTGGAGGTGGGCCGGGCAGGCCCAAAGTGGCCAAGTCTCCAGCCATCAACAACATCCACGGCAAACATGGACGCACAATCCCAGGAGCCCAAGGGCTCCCCAACAACTCCCTCATCCATCAGGTGGGTTGGACCCCCACAGCCTCACACACTGGCTGCTAACGCTCCCTATCATCACCCAGTTTATCTCTTTATCTGTTGGGAAATTCACTTTGCAGTCAGGACTTATTTGACTTCAACATATGTACATATATTGACATTAGACAAAACATAAACTAAAAATCTCCAATGTAATCTATCATTTAAAAACCTTGCCACTCTCTTTCTCCCCTCAGCCAAAGGCCCGCCCCTGACAGCGGTGGCTGGGTCCTCTGTATGGAACTTAGGGGCGGATGATAAGGGTGTAACCTGTACACTGCTCTGGACTGCACGAGGCCTTCTAATGCCTTACTCTCAGCTTCCCACGATCCTCAGGGTGGATGTGATCTGGACAACCCCGTGATGTTGTTGTCTATAGTGGAACTATTTCTCCTAAAGCCATGTGTGGGTGCCGTGTGGAGGTGGCAGGCGTTAGCACCTGGGGTGGGTCACACCTGGCACCCTGTCTGTCAGTGTTGTCCTGAGGTAGGTCTTCCTATGGGGAGGAGAGGAGGGAGTTGCAGCCTTCCTGCCCTTTGACCTCATGTTGAAGTTCCAGAGATATGGAGGGAGGGTGAAGGGCTGGCACAACAGCCATGGCACCTCTATCATGATGCAGAGCCGCTGGGAGTGACTGGAGAGCCAACAAGCCGCAATCTGTTGGTTTCTGACGATCTCTTCCGTGTGTGTGTGTGTGTGTGTGTGTGTGTGTGTGTGTATGACTTTGTCACGTCAGATTCTACTGGACTACTGGAAATTCAAAATTACACCTGCACGCCTGAACTCAGAAGCCTTGAACGGAGCGGGCAGGAAGAGGAAAAACTGTTAGTTACAAAACTTCAAACACAATCACATTGTTTTTGTTTGTTTTGATCCTTTCACTACATTTTGTCGGTTGGTTTTAATCATTGTGGCGTGTGCGTACATACCGCCATGTTATGTACAGTAGCCAGAGATGAACGACATGAGGAGCAGATCCAGTCAATTCTATGAGTTCCATACATGACCCAAACAATTATGCAAGTGTTACCTTTTTATTTCTTATCATGTTTTCACTGAATTTAACTACAAAAGTCTATGTGGAAATGGTCAATTGTGCATGCATATGTGAAAAAGTATGCTTGATGTGACAATTTGATTGAATGGTTGTGAAAGAGGGACTACTGCTCTTGAAAGACAAGTCGAGAGCTTGGGACTATAAGGTTCTATCTGCAAAAAGATGATTGAGATAATTGGCTTTAAAGTTCTGAACCCTCATTGGTTTGAATGGTGTCAGCAGTTTTTATATTGTATTATTTTGAAATTTAGAGTACTATATAGGTAGAACATTGAACAGAACAAGGCTATGTCAATAACTAAATTGACAAAAATTCAGAGAACCTTATAGTCCCAAGCTCTGTTGTAATTCCTACAATATTTTAATTTGACTAATGAACAGCCACAGTAGACCTAGCCCTAACTGTGAACAGCACTAAACAAATACAGACACACTACTTGCTTTAGGACATTTAAGTTGTGCTTATTTGCCCCAAACTCTAGCCAAAGGCAGCCATCTGTTTCTCCCACCATAGTTTGTAACCACTATCCCAGCTATGGCTATTAGTTTCCATACCGGTACCTTCAGTAATGTCACAATACCATGTTTGTGAGTAGAGGGGTTTGTAATGACTGACATCACACTTGTATGTCCTTCGTCAAGCATGAAGTCTTAAACTGGCAATACTTCCCTCTGTCTCTGAGATGATGCTCTTTGGGAGCAAGTTGTGTTTTTTGGGGGGTGCGAGATTCATGGAGATGGCTTCAGAGTAAGTTATTACTTTTTTGTAACTCTGTACATTTCGTAAACTCCACTGATGTCAGGCAGCGATAGTATTTGAGAAGTTGTGTTTTTTCTTACTTTCACTTTTTCTTGTATGTATTGAACAAACATCGAAGTATCCCAATTTCAGAATACATATTTTGTTAACGAATTGTACATATTGAAATATGTATTTTTGCACAGGCATTTTCTTACACAATTTTTTGGTACAATTAAGATTATTTATTTAGGAATTTAAATAAGTTTAAGAACATAACTTATTTGAAGTGGTTCACTGCCAAGTCTATAACGCAATAGGCCTATAACTAGAGGTTGAAGCATCTCATGAATCATGTACTGGGATCCATTAAAAGGTGGTGTTTCCACTGTAGCATGTGTTTGTGTGATAGATAATGCTTTTTGTTTTAACTCTCCAAGGTGTCACTTGTGCTCTTTACTATTTTCAAGTTGCCTCTGAATCAAAAAAAGAAATGATCATTTTGTGACCCAAATAGCCTGATTCCGAAATGCCCCGCAGGCTGAAAGCTGTGCCCGTTGTCTAAGCGATTTCCATGGATTCACTCATTTACTTTGGCTGCATTCGCACAGGCAGCCCAATTCTGATCTTTTTCCCCCAATAATTGATCTTTTGACCAATCACATATTTTCACATCAGATATTTTTCAGCGCTGATCTAGTCAAAAGACCAATTAGTGAAAAAAAACTAATTGGGCTGCCTGTGTAAACACAGCCTCTGTAGATGTAGACCTAATAACATTTCATCATTGAAACACTTTCCTTTAAGGCTGAAGGGACTTAAGCAATCATTTAAAGCAATGTAGATGGAACACTTCAAACAGTGCATCTGCTTGCGTCATTGTTGCCAAACATAATTTGAAGCACAGCATTTTAAGGAAATTCTTAGTTTGCAGCTTTTCAAAATGTTGAAATAAGAAAGTGCCTGAATTTGTTTCACACTGACTGCTTGAGGACAGAGCTTTTTTAATTTGTTTTACCTTGACTGTTGTGTTTTAGGAGCTAGCTTTTAAAATCTGCCTATGAACCCTAAATGTGGTAAAATAAAGAAAAAAACCTTGTCAGCTAGCTGGTATGAAACACTTAAGTTTTGTCCTTCTGATTTATCAACGTTTTCCAGATGAGACGTCTGAAATTGGTGCAGACCAGGGGGTGTTTAAGCTCCCTGGTCGGTTATGAATTGCTTGTAACAGGTTCAGTAAAGTGTTTTGTTTACCCTCAACCTCCCACTGAAAACGCTAACCTTGTTTTTATGTGATGGAAACTTTGCAAAGATGTTTTTGTCAAGTACCACAGACTTGGAATGTGAAAGTGAGACAACACAGCTTGTGGAAGGAAAATATCCTCAGTACGTAAGAGCGTGTAGTTTTTTTTTTGTATACATTATCAGAATCATTTGATCAGCTGGACTTGTGTATTGGCTGCTATGTAATTCATGAACAAACATTGTAGGTTAGATTTACTTAATATTTAAAGAAAAGATTGTATATTCTATTTGTTTTGTAACAGGTTTCTGTAAATAAAAAATTATTTATACAGCTATTTAAACAGAAACTTGCGCCGCTTCTTTACTGATTTTATTTCTGTAAAATCGTTAACTCTTTCATTCAAGTCTGTATCAAAGGAAACCGAAGTCACCGAAAAGAATTGTATATACACAATATAAGGGTCACTTCTTCAGACACAATTGGTTTGGATACTGGTACAACAGAAAAATCCAGCTCTCCCACCCAAAGAACAATGGTAACACTGCCATCCATTTTACATGTTGATAACTCGAGACAGCTTCTGGACACGGTTGAGCAGCAGGTCCCCTTTCTTGATGGTCTCCTGGTACTGCCAGTTCTTACTATCAGGTCTGGAGGAAAGAAAATACAACACTGAGCTCTGCCACTTCGAATAAAGAAACCAATTGTTTTACATGTATGTGGGAATGTAATTCTTACCTGTTTGTTTCCACAATCTCGTTTACTTTGTCGATTTTGCAATGGAGGCGACCAGCAGCTATGAATCGTGAGAGTTCCCTGAGAGCGAAGGAAAAACAAATTAAGTTATCACAGTACCTTTTCTGTAGCGGTGTAATCAAGCGCACCAATTGTCTTCTGAAAGGTGGCGACATTCCTACACGACTCGCAGTCGTCAACCATCAGTGCAGATGAAGTCGTCTCGCTGTCTGACGTAAGACAATGGAGCACTAATCGGCATTGTGGGTATGGAACAAGAGTTAGACGTGAGACTCACTGGTCAATGAACTCTGTGCTGACTCCAAAGGCCTCAGCCATGTAGCCCAGGGTGAGTGAGCGGTATGACTCCAGGAGCTGGCTGTAGGCATGGATACGCATCTCCCTCACATAGTAACGGTAATGAGGGGCAAACAGCCAGTCCTTCTTCATATCCTGCTCCACTGTGGCTGCAAAGAGGGGACAGAGAAACTGGTTTACAAATAAGGAATGGGGGATAGTGAAACATGCATGTGCACTCACTGGCTGCGGACATTCATTCTTCAGCTTTACTTTTTACAAGACTAAATGAGGGGAGAGCAAAAGGGGTGTCTCACCCAGTGACTGGAAGAAAACGGAATAGCGACACTCATAGAGTGAGAAGAGGTACTGGCGGACAGCAGGGAGACTGTGCAGCACCTCCAGGATCTCTGCTCCCTTTATCACCTGAGGGAGAACAACACAGTCAACAGGAGATAGTCATGACAGAACTGGAAATCTGCCAGCTGTATAAAACATGTGTCCTCACTTGTCAAAACAAGTTTAAATGTACATGTTCTGACATGTAGAAAGTATTGTCTAAACAAATTCTGTTTCTCTGCAACCATACGTGTCTTAGCGTCTGTCAGGGTAAGTACAAAGTCTGCAAAACTACCAACTCTAGAATTACGTAAGCACATGAATGCCCTGTTGACGACAACACCACGTGGCTCCAGAATCTTCCTCTCCTGCTACCAACCTTTTCTCTGAGGTCAGGCCTCTTCTGGGCAATCATGCAGACGTAGACGGTGTATGTGACAAAGGTCTTGTAGTCCATGAGCTCGTAGGAGGTGAAGGTGGACACTGTGTCCAGGAAGAGCTCAGCAGCCTGTTTAAAGTCGCGGATGGCCACACAGTACAAGCCCTGGTACACCTTGAGACGGTTCCTCCTGTCCCAGTCACCCCCCTCCTCAATAAGGCTGTGCAGACACAAACAAGTAGAACATTGAAATGATGATGCTTACAAAATACGAGAATATAGAAAAACAACGGCTTACAATAAATAAGAGTCAATACAATGGCATGGCGGGCAAAATGTTGCTGGCTGCTATGAAATCGAAACCGTGCCAGTTACCACAAATATGAGACTTTAAATAGTTAGTGAAGGCCTTTAATGGCATGTCATCATAGAGTATTGAATGCAGAGAGAAGCAGTGCCTTTTAGCCAAACTACCTTTTGGCTTTCTCAGTGTTACGCGTGATGAGGTCACTGTCCATGTAGAACAGTCCAATCCTTAGCAGGTAGAACACAATGTCTAGTCGATGTCCCAGGGCCACAGTCTTATCAAAGGTCTTCCTGAAGGCAGTCAACGCTTCCTCCTGTGGAATTACACAGCAAGGAAAACACATATGATACGGGTGATGTGAAGTTCATGGGTTATTTGGTGAAGCTAATGACCTACATGCATGGCTAAGTCGGAATGGGGTTTTCTGGGGCAGATTCTTGCAGTTACTGTGTATGTATAGTGTGATACTGTGTGTATATTGTATAAGGTCCACCGTCCAACCATGGCACTACGACTGATAACATTTAACATGACTTCTGATTCATTGGCCTCTGCTCTGAATCTAACAGCTTATGAATGCAAAAGCACCTTATTCCCAATTCTGATGAGATATTCAGCTCTAGCCATCATTGCATCTCGAATTTCACTCTCCCCAAGGTTCTTCTCGGCATCTTCCAGGACGTCATCCAGGCGTTTCAGCTCGTCCTCGTTGGCCTTCTTCATCTTACTCAGCAGGTCTGTGTCAAGCTGCCACTTCAGGTCTTTACACAGGCTCTCGTAGTAAGGTGCCATATCTGTAACAAGAGACAATTCGTCAGCTACCACGTTAGTGACTAGCTAGCTAGCTTCAACTTGACAGTTGTAACCTTTGGCAACATTCTAGCTAGCTAGCAATTTTTCTTCAATATGTGTCTGGTTAGCTAGCTAATTTCATTTATTGAGTATCTAACTAGTTAGCTACTAGCTAACTGACTAAGTAGCAGTTTGATATGGATAGGTTTATGTTTGCCAGAAGATACCGACCCTACCGTTAGCTTGTTTACACTGAGCTGCACTGGGGTCGGAACGCAATCATGGGTCGGAAAACATACCTCAATGCCGGGATGTGATATGCCACTGTACTCCATACTGCTAGCTAGCATGAGGGCAAAAATTGCAGTTTTCCTGGAAAACTATCAGTATTTCAATCTTCTTAATGGAGCAGTGTGGATAAAGGTAAAATCTGAAGTACAGTGGCATATCCCATCCCGCCATTGAGGTATGTTTTACGACCCATATCTCGTGCTGGCTCCACGGTGTCTTAATGTAAAAATTATTGCGTTCCGACCCCAGTGCAGCTCAGTGTAAACAAACGTAACGGTAGGTTCGGTATCTTCTGGCAAGGTTTATGTCTGACAGTGATGCTAACTACACTGAACAAAAATATTAAATGCAATATGCAACAATTACAAAGATTTTACTGAGTTACAATACATAAGGAAATTAGTCAATTGAAAGAAATTCATTAGGCCCTAATCTATGGATTCCACGACTGGGAATGACCACCATTTGCCTCATGCAAATGCCTCATGGAATGTTTGCACCGCCATTGAGGAGGAGTGTGACAAGTTGCTGGATATTGGCGGGAACTGGAACACGCTGTCGTACACGTCGACCCAGAGCATCCCAAACATGCTCAATGGGTGGTGACATGTCTGGTGAGTATGCAGGCCATGGAAGAACTGGGACATTTTCAGCTTCCAGGAATTGTGTACAGATCCTTGCGACATGTGGCCGTGCATTATCATGCTGAAACATGAGGTGATGGTGGAGGATGAATGGCACGACAATGGGCCTCAGGATCTCGTCACAGTATCTCTGTGCATTCAAATTGCCTTCATTGTCCGTAGCTTATGCCTGCCCATACCATAACCCCACCATGGGGCACTCTGTTCACAACGTTGACATCAGCAAACCACTTGCCAACATGACGTCATCTGCCCGGTATAGTTGAAACAGGGATTCATCCGTGACGAGCACACTTCTCCAACCTGCCAGTGGCCATCGAAGGTGAACATTCGCCCACTGAAGTTGGTTACGACGCCGAACTGTGGTCAGGTCAAGACCCTGGTGAGGACAACGAGCACGCAGATGCGCTTCCCTGAGACGGTTTCTGACAGTTTGTTCAGAAATTAACCAGTTGTGCAAGCCCAAAGTTTAATCAGCTGTCAGGGTGGCTGGTCTCAGACGATCCCGCAGGTGAAGAAGCCGGATGTGGAGGTCCTGGGCTGGCGTGGTCTGCAGTTGTGAGGCCGGTTAGACGTACTGCCAAATTCTCTTGAGAAATTAACATTCAATTTTCTGGCAACAGCTCTGGTTGACATTCCTGCAGTCAGTATGCCAATTGCACGCTCCCTCAAAACTTGAGACATCTGTAGGATTGTGTTGTGTGACAAAACTGCACATTTTAGAGTGGCCTTTTATTGTACCCAGCACAAGGTGCACCTGTGTAATGATCATTCTGTTTAATTAGCTTCTTGATATGCCACACCTGTCAGGTGGGTGGATTATCTTGGCAAAGGAGAAATTCTCTGTAACAGGGATGTAAATACATGTGTGCACAACATTGTAGATTAACACATTTTGTGCATATTGAAAATGTGGGATCTTTTATTTCAGCTCATGACACATGGGACCAACACTACATGTTGCGTTTATATTTTTGTTCAGTGTAGTGTACCTAGTTAGCTATCCATCTTAACGCGTTAGTTAGCAAGTCTACTCTACTCGCTACTACCGACAAAGATGTGCTAGGCGAGTTAGCTAACTACAGTAGCTAGCTAACGTTAGCAATTTCAGCACTGGTTTTCAAGCTAGACTAGGATACGCTAGCTAGCATGACTTGCTAGGCCACGTAGTTATGTTGTAAACGAAATATATGGCTAACGTTACTATTTTCGGTTTATTAGCTTGGCAGAAGCCAGTAGCTTGCTACTTTGCCAGTACCGGCACTTTCTGGCTAACGTTAGCTACTCACTGTTTTCTTTTATTGAGTCCATGAGCTCGGTTTTCACTTTAACATCTTGTCGGTGACCATCCATCGTGAGCAAAAATTTCAGCTGTGCTATCCTAAGATCAGGGTTTTTAGGCAGACCCTCTTCTTCCAGATTTTCCAACGGCATTTTGGCAAATATAAACTTGGCTAAATAACAGATATATTTTATCTGGGACAACAACGGTCGGGGAAGGTATCTTCTGCTAGCTAACGATGACTACGGAAAACACTGGTATGCTCCTTCCGCTACGGCGCCAACGAGATGAGAAGAGAACGTCAGGGGTGACAAGATCAGATGGTACTGCCCTCCTCTGGCTAATAAGGGAATGTCCGCCGAACTCACGAAGTATGCCAATTTATCTCACGTCAAAGTACACAACATTTCACTCAGATGAAACAAATGTTGCCAAATGGCTTACAGGCTTTCTTACTTTCTACAGCGACGAGTAGGCCTACTGTGTCAGTGACAGTGACTCAGTGGTTGAAAGAAAGGTAAACTCCCTCTGAGATGTAAAAGATTAATCTTATTCCTGAAAATGTCTAACAGAGCAATTGTGAGGTGGACATGTAGACATAACTGTGTTACATGGAACGCTCAAGATATACAGAATGGAGACTTTGCTGAGGCACCTGGTAGGCACATTTTTATTATTGAAAAAAGTATATACTTTTTTCATATCTGAATGAGTAATTATTAGTTACAGTTTCCTGTTATTTGATCCAAAGGTAACATAAGCAAAAATGTAACTGTTGAAAAATGTAAAAAAAAAAAAAAAAGAAATTAGCTTCTTATTACAAACACGTTTATAGCTATAACATAATTAATTGCTGTATGAAAGGGTTATAAAATGACAATAGGTAAAAATTTGACACAAATCTATAAGCACAATGACTCAGCTAAACAGGGCAGAGAAGCAATGTTGAAGAGAGGTTACATAGTAGGCTGTCCATGCCTTCTCTGTGTCAATGTTTTTAAAAAGCGTCCACTATTGATTGAGATTATATACCTCATTGACATTAAATATGTGTAGACCTATAACTTTCATTGTAAAATGTTTACCCCGTTTATGTTCTCCATTCCAGACCCGTGGTAATGCTCTAGTCTTCATAATAATTTTGGGTATTGGCGGATCTTTTCAAAATGGGTTCCATGTTACTGTCATCAGTTCCCCTTCACCAGTAAGAGACATCAGCACATTGATTCTCCACACACTCATTTTTATTAAAAAGCATGATACTAAATATGTTTGGATGAGTGTGGAATTGACCCTCTACTTTTCCCATGGCAAGAAATACCTAGGAAACATAACATGGTGTTCAAGGTTTATGAATATCTTGTTTTCATCTCACACAAGTTAAATCTGCTTATTCAATCCTGCTCAAATGAACACCTAGCCTACTTCACCAGGCTTGTAGACTGTCTGTTTCCTTAACCATGTCTGTCTGCTTGCAGTACATCCGGAACTTCATCAATAGCAGTTGGATTGGGCGATATGAGGAAACCCCACCGGCACCGACAGTCAAACTCCTCTGGTCAGCTATAGTGTCTATGTACGCTGTGGGGGGTCTCTTGGGCTCTATGAGTGTCAGGTGCATTGCTGGGAGGTTTGGCAGGTGAGTTGCACTGATTTGTATCTGTATTTACCTCAATTTAAGTTTAATAGACTTTTTCATTCAAACTTTTCTTAAATTTTTTTTTCAGAAAGAGAGCCATGATATGGAACAATGTGATCAGCATTGTTGCTGCATTGATCATGTTCACCAGTAGGGGGGCAAACTCCTTTGAGATGATCCTGATCGCTCGGTTTCTGTACGGATTCACTGCAGGTAGGCCTATGCAATATTGCACCTTTAATTTCATGCAGATTAGTTTAATCTATGGATAATTTAGTCATGGTAAAATAGAATCACGGAATGGCCTTATGTCTTACAGTGTTGATAGCATTGATTTTTTATTCTTGTTTGTGAATCTCAGGTTTAGGAGCGAATATCCATGCAATATACCTGGGTGAGAGTTCACCCAAAAAGATAAGGGGCATGGTAACACTAACATCTGCTACCTTCGTCTCCATTGGTAAACTGTCAGGACAATTTGTTGGACTAAGGTACAGTGCTCATTTTGAATTTCAACATTTCACAAAAAAAAAGGCTAAAACACCAAGTATCACATTCAACTTATGGTTATCAATGTGTGCCAAATCAGACATCCTGAATATGCTCTGACGTGATGCTTTGTCTCAACTTTCTCAGGGGGATTCTTGGCCGAGAGGATAGCTGGAACATCCTACTGTGTGTTCCAACATGTTTCTCTGTGGTACAGCTGCTAACACTGCCCTTCTTTCCTGAGGCCCCAAGATACTCATTGATAGAAAAAGGCAATGCAGAGGCATGCAAAAAAGGTAGTTTGTGTTTCCTCATAGTCACCGAGATTGAAATTCTTGCTGTCCAAAGGGCTTCCATCCTAAGTAGCAACAATCATACTCAGAACATTGAGTACTGTCCTGTGCAAATGTAGACATGATGTACAATGCTACATTACACTGCATCTAAATACATAAACCTGTATTATTATACATAGCTGACAGATGGGCCAATGCCTGTATAGCTGGGTGCAAAGTTTATACAGCTGAAGAGATTTTACTAACTTGTTGTATCCTATTCAGAAACAATATCTGTCCCTGTGTTGGTGTGTGTGTGTGGTGTGCCAGCTCTGCAGAGTCTGTGGGGCGGGGGTGAGTACAAGCTGGAGATGACGGAGATGGTGTTGGAGCAGGCTGCCATAAAGGGCGAGGCCTCGAAGAGTCTCCTGGAGCTGCTGAGAGACAGGAGCATACGATGGCAGCTCATCACCATGGTGGTGGCGTACGGCTGTATCCAGTTCTCTGGCATCACCGCAGTAAGCACAGCCCCCTCTGTCCTTTATCTCCTACTGTACCTACAACTGTACATTCTACATCCTACTCCTCTTCCCTTCACCCTCAGATCAGTGTGTTCTCCTTTGACATCTTCAAGGAGGCAGGCATCCCTCTGGATATGATCCGCTACGTGACTCTGGGCGTTGGAGTGTCTGAGGTCCTCACCTCCATCACCTGTGTGAGTGCTGCTGGGGGAACATGGGCTACACTATAGGGGCTACACTATAGGGGCTACACTATAGGTGGTACACTATAGGGGGTACACTATAGGGGGTACACTATAGGTGGTACACTATAGGGGCTACACTATAGGGGCTACACTATAGGTGGTACACTATAGGGGGTACACTATAGGGGCTACACTATAGGTGGTACACTATAGGGGGTACACTATAGGGGCTACACTATAGGTGGTACACTATAGGGGGTACACTACGATAACACTCTGTAACTTCTACAATGTATGGTCGTCACTATGTACCTAGGCTAAAAAGGTTTAAAGTAGAGCCCTTTTTAATTAATGTGAAAATGTCACTCGTTAAGCGGTCATTAGGCAACCGTGATAAGGACTAATAAGCAAAAGTAATCAGTGAACAGTAGGAGAGTGACCATAGGGGAAGAAACACTGTCCCCGTGCAGGAATCCACCCCCTGTGCCTACCGTACAGAAGCTCCGCTACAGGTTGAACATATTTGTCACTAAGATGTGAATGCCCCTCCTGAGCTCCTAAACAATAAATCATGTGTGAGCTCCTCTGACTCTGCCATCCCCTGTGCTGCGGGAAGGAGGGAGTGATGGATGGGGAAGGTTCCGGATAAGTTCTGTTGTGTGCATTCATCCCCAGGGCCTGCTGATCGAGAGTGTGGGGAGGAGAGCGCTACTCTGGGGGGGCTTTGGGGCCATGTCTGCCATCATGATATTAATCACCATCACTCTCAATCTAAAGGTGAGCCCGTGACCTTTCAACTCTCCTGCACTGTGACAAATATACAGTAAGAGGACCTAAGTGATGATACATGGATGTGTATGACATTATAATGTGTCCCAAATCCCAGCAACAGTGGTGGTAGTTCCATGTGCATGTAAAACATACAATAAAATATAATTGATTCTGTTCTAACAATATTGTTATAGGATTACAGCTTCTGGGTTCCATACAGCACTGTTGGCTTGATATTCCTCTTTGTCATTTTTTATGGAGGAGGACCAGGTATGTTTAATATCAAACTACGGTATGGGTTAGTAATAATACTATAACAAAGTATAGACAAAATACTGACATTACATTGCTGTGATCATCAATGATGATTGATCTGATGCGTCCTTCCCTGTTGCCTGTGGTATTCCTAGCTGGAGTGTTGCCGTCTCTCACACATGAGATCTTTATCCAGTCGTGCCGGCCTGCAGCGTTTGTCTTCACTGGGATCATTCGCTGGCTTGGCTTTGCTGTGCTGGGACTAGTCTTCCCCTTTCTTATCGTAAGTCAATAGACCATTTTGGAATTAAGTGTATAATTAAGCAATAAGGCACGAGTTGGTGTGGGATATGGCCAATATACCACAGCTAAGGGCTGTTCTTATGCACGACGCAAAGTGGTGTGCCTGGATACAGCCCTTAGCCATAGCATATTGGCCATATACCACAAACCCCCGAGGTGCCTTATTGCTATTATAAACTGGTTACCAACGTAATTAGAGCAGTCAAAATAAATGGTTTTGTCATACCTGTGGTATACGGTCTGACATACCACGGCTGTCAGCCAATCAGCATTCATGGCTCGAACCACCCAGTTTATAATTAAGCCATAAGGCCAGAGGGGGTGTGGTATATGGCCAATATACCACGGCTAAGGACTGTTCTTATGCACGATGCAATTCGGAGTGCCTGGATACAGCCCTTAGCCGTGGTACAGTGCCTTCGGAAAGTATTCAGACCCCTTGACTTTTGCACATTTTGTTACGTTACAGCCTTATTCTAAAATGGATTAAATAAATAAAAATCCTTAGCAATCTACACACAATACCCCATAATGACAAAGTGAAAACTGGTTTCTAGAAATGTTTGCTAATTTATTTAAAAAAATAAAAAAACAGAAATACCATATTTACATAAGTATTCAGAACCTTTGCTATTAGACTCAAAAATTGAGCTCAGATGCATCCTGTTTCCATTGATCATCCTTGAGATGTTTCTACAGCTTGATTGGAGTCCACCTGTGGTAAATTCAATTGATTGGACATGATTTGGAAAGGCACAGTGCATGTCAGAGCAAAAACCAAGCCATGAGTTTAAATGAATTGTCCGTAGATCTCCGAGACAGGATTGTGTCGTGGCACAGATCTGGGGAAGGGTACCAAAAAATGTCTGCAGCATTGAAGGTCCCCAAGAACACAGTGGCCTCCATCATTCTTAAATGGAAGAAGTTTGGAACCACCCAGACTCTTCCTAGAGCTGGCCGCCCGGCCAAACTGAGCAATCAGGGGAGAAGGGTCTTGGTCAGGGAGGTGACCAAGAACCCGAAGGTCACTCTGACAAAGCTCTAGAGTTCCTCTGTGGAGATAGAACCTTCCAGAAGGACAACCATCTCTGCAGCACTCCACCAATCAGGCCTTTATGGTAGAGTGACCAGACGGAAGCCACTCCTCAGTAAAAGGCACATGACAGCCCGCTTGGAGTTTGCCAAAAGGCACCTAAAGACTCTCAGACCATGAGAAACAAGATTCTCTGGTCTGATGAAACCAAGATTGAACTCTTTGGCCTGAATGCCAATCGTCACGTCTGGAGGAAACCTGGCACCATCCCTACAGTGAAGCATGATGGTGGCAGCATCATGCTGTGGGGATGTTTTTCAGCGGCAGGGACTGGGAGACTAGTCAGGATCGAGGCAAAGATGAACGGAGCAAAGTACGGCGAGATCCTTGATGAAAACCTGCTCCAGAGTTCTCAAGACCTCAGACTGGGGCGAGTGTTCACCTTCCAACAAGACAACTACCCTAAGCACACAGCCAAGACAACACAGGAGTGGCTTCGGAACAAGTCTCTGAATGTCCTTGAGTGGCCCAGCCAGAGCCCGGACTTCAACCCGATCGAACATCTCTGGAGAGACCTGAAAATAGCTGTGCAGCAACGCTCCCCATCCAACCTGACAGAGCTTGAGAGGATCTGCAGAGAAGAATGGGAGAAACTCCCCAAATACAGGTGTGCCAAGCTTGTAGTGTCATACCCAAGAAGACTCGAGGCTGTAATCGCTGCCTAAGGTGGTTCAACAAAGTACTGAGTAAAGTGTCTGAATACTTATGTAAATGTGATATTTCATTTTTTTAAATATAAAAATTCTAAAAATGTATTTTTGCTTTGTCATTATGGGGTATTGTGTGTAGATTGATGAGGAAGAAAAACAATGTAATCAATTTTAGAATAAGGCTATAACATAACAAAATGTGGATAAAGTCAAGGGGTCTGAATACTTTCTGAAGGTTATATATCACAACCCCCCGAGGTGCCTTATTACTATTTTAAACTGGTTACCAAAGTAATTAGAGCAGTAAAAATAAATATTTGGTCTGATATACCACAGCTTTCAGTCAATCAGCATTCAGGGCTCAAACCACCCAGTTTATAATGCTTTTTATAACGCATGCAAAGTTTTATAATTCTTTCAAAGTTACCAATTGAGATGCAATGACATTTCCTGAGCACAAAGCACATTGTTCTTCACTATGACAGTTTGATACCTCGGAGATACCAGGAATACAGTTATTCCATACTTTAAACATTACATTGAGACTCTGCAATTAAAACCTTTCTCTATCATCTCAGTATTACTTTTGTCTCAGCCGGTCTGTGTAAAACAGCAGAGCTCTAATTTAGACATAAGTGGAATTATATAAAATTGAACAAGAAAGGTTTCCTATAGCCATGAGTAGAACAATAGGACAGGACTATTTAATCACAGGCTCTCAGCCAACTGTCCAAGTTGTTCCCCTGGTTATTGTAACTATAGGAACTCACCTGCCTGCCTCTTCTCTGTACCACAGGAGCTGCTCAAATCGGTCAGCTTTGTGATGTTCGCCTGCATGTGTCTGTTGGCATCACTCTACATCTTCTTCTACCTGCCGGAGACCAAGGGGAAAACCCTCCTGGAGATCTCAGAGGAGTTTAAAAACATCACACTGTGTGAAAAACCCCTCTCAGATGACAAGATCTTGGAGACAAGGTTATGAAAACTGTTGATAGCAAATTAACTGAGATTTATCCTACTCTGTCTGAGTTGTTTAGTTTGTATTATAGTATTGCCCATCATATCTTCATACAATGTGCACTCACAGCCATATCATATTCAATATAAAATAGTTTTATGCATCTGAATGACTTTTAGGGACCTATTGAATATAATAAAATTACTTTTCAAATAGTCTTTCATTTACTTTTGTGTTGTTTCCAACCTTGTTTACAAGCCATATGGTCTGGTCTGATGGTCTGTTTTCCTGAGAAGGTTCATATTATGAATTTTCTAGGACAAAAATGCACTCTCTTTATCTTTCATCATATCTCATACACCACATAAAATCCTCCCCAAATCTGACTTCTTACGGACTCATTAGTAAGAACCCTGTACACTTAACTGATGCCCATGGTCCACGTGGGGGACTCCCACAGCCTCTTAGCTGGCTCTTTGAGGACTGGCTCCCATAATGATGTGGCTGGGTCTTTGATGGAATTGGCTTTTCCAGTATGGTCCTGGACCTGCTGGCTTTTTGAGGGGCTCCTCCTCCCCCCCTTATCACTGGCTGCCAGGCACAGGGTCTTCATTAGCAGTTAAACGCGCGAGGTGCACAGCTCCCATTCGGGAATGGGGAGTGATTGACATTATCTTGGCTGGGTGAGATGGTGTATCGGCATCCCACTGTTGTGCGTTATCTCTAGAGGGGATTAACTAGAGGATTAATTAGAGGTACCATAGTGACGCCTAACCGTCTCTCCTCACAGACCTGCCTGCCTGGTCACTGCCTGGCAAATGGGCAGTTTTTACTATTTAATGGAAAATGCTGACTCTGAGGTAAATATCATGGACACATACAGTATAGTAGGTATTTCAGTCTGAGCATGTTTCAAATAAAGGGTTGGACTTAGACCAAACAATATTCATTACAAGTGCAATGTGGTATATTTCAACTGTTAACTAAACTGTGAATAATAATAGATTGATCTTGGGAAGATGAACGCTCAATATTGTCATATTTAAGCATTAGGGATAAGCCATATTGGTTTATTATTTATTGTGCTGTAGTGACACCATGTTCTCAACAGATGGCATATTTTATCTGCATTGTGAAAAATATCTTTAATTCAAGGCATGACAGCACAGACGCAGTGGCACTGTAATATACTGAACAAAAATATAAACGCAACATGTAATGATTTCAAAGATTTTACTGAGTTACAGTTCATATAAGAAAATCAGTCAAATTAAATAAATAAATTAGGCCCTAATCTATGGATTTCACATGACTGGGAATACACATATGCATCTGTTGGTCAATGATACCTTAAAAAAAATTGTGTACAGATCCTTGCAACATTGGGCCATGCATTATCATGCTGAAACATGAGGTGATGGCGGCTGATGAATGGCACGACAATGGGCCTCAGGATCTCGTCACGGTATCTCTAGGCATTCAAATTGCCATCGATAAAATGCAATTGTGTTCGTTGTCCGTAGCTTATGCCTGCCCATACCATAACCCCACCGCCACCATGGGGCACTCTGTTCACAATGTTGACATCAGCAAACCGCTCGCCCACACAACGCCATACAACGTCTGCCATCTGCCCTGTACAGTTGAAACCGGAATTCATCCGTGAAGAGCACACTTCTCCAGCGTGCCAGTGGCCATCGAAAGTGAGCATTTGCCCATTGAAGTTGGCTATGACGCCGAACTGCAGTCAGGTCAAGACCCTGGTGAGGACAACAAGCATGCAGATGAGCTTCCCTGAGATGGTTTCTGACAATTTGGGCAGAAATTCTTCAGTTGTGAAAACCCACAGTTTCATCAGCTGTCCGGGTGGCTGGTCTCAGACGATCCCGCAGTTGAAGAAGCCGGATGTGGAGGTCCTGGGCTGGTGTAGTTACATGTGGTCTGTGGTTGTGAGGCCGGTTGGACGTACTGTCAAATTCTCTAAAATGACGTTGGAGGTGGCTTATGATAGAGAAATGAACATTACATTATCTGGCAACAGCTCTGTGGGACATTCCTGCAGTCAGCATGCCAATTGCACGCTCCCTCAAAACTTGAGACATCTGTGGCATTGTGTTGTGTGACAAAACTGCACATTTTAGAATGGCCTTTCATTGTCCCCAGCAAAATGCGCACGGTGTAATGTTCATGATGTTTAATCAGCTTCTTGATATGCCACACCTGTCAGGTGGATGGATTATCTTGGCAAAGGAGAAATGCTCACTAACAGGGATGTAAACAAATTTGTGCACAAAATGTTAGCGAAATAAGCTTTTTGTGCGTATGGAACATTTCTGGGATCTTTTATTTCAGCTCATGAAACATGGGACTAACACTTTACATGTTGCGTTTATAGTTTTGTTCAGCCTTGTTCATACTAACATCTTTTGATGGAATCAGTGATAAAAATAGGTTTGGATGACTGATACTGCTTCTCAATGCGTCACAATACAACAATATATCTCTGAGGATTTATTTTAAGGACAACCATTAAGGTCAGTTCATATGATCACTAAAGAACCTTTTTTGCTGAGGTGAAAAAGAGAATATTATCCCAAAAGCACTGTACAAGGTCATACCATGAAAGATACATTTTAAAATGTCTTGTGCTATTTTTAGGACTTTTACTGCCTTCAATAAACCTCATGCCTCCGCACATAACGGAAAAGCCGGCTCCAGTAGTTGTTCCTCAGGGACACAGAGGTGAAATATGGGCCAATCGCTATCATTTACTGTTTTCCCTGCTACGCCCATGTTGAGCACACCTACAAGGCATTCATGGTAGTTCCGTAAAATGACCTTGTCACGACTTCCGCCGAGGCTGCCTCCCCTCCTTGTTCGGGCAGGTTTCGGCGTTCGTCGTCACCGGCTTACTAGCTGCTGCCGATCCATTTATCATCACTCCACTAGTCTTGTCTAATTCATCACACACACCTGGTCCTTATCCCCAATTAGTAATTGTATAAGTGTTCCCTCTGCTTCCTTGTCTGTGTGGGTGATTGTTTGTTGTGAGCTGTGTGTAGCTCGGTTGAGCTACCCTTACCTTGTTGTTGCCAGGGTAGATATTTCCCCTGTGCCTGAGTTTTATTGTCGCGTGCTTGCGCAACTGTTTATCGACGGAATAAACGTTCTAGATGCGTATTACTCTCCTGCACCTGACTCCTTCTATCACACGCATCACAGACCTAGTTTAGATGTATAGTATACGACTGCAACTTCCTGGCCACACTGATATACACTGAGTGTACAAAACATTACGAACACTTAATATTGAGTTGCACCCCGTTTTGCCCTCAGAACAGCCTCAATTCGTCGTGGCATGGACTACAAGGTGTCGAAAGCGTTCCACAGGGATGCTGGCCCATGTTGACTTCAATGCTTTCCACAGTTGTGTCAAGTTGGCTGGATGTCCTTTGGGTGGTGGACCATTCTTGACACACGGGAAACAGTTGTGCGTGAAAAACCCAACAGCGTTGCAGTTCTGGACACATTCAAACCAGTGCGCCTGGCACCTACTACCATACCCCATTCAAAGGAACTTAAATCTTTGCCTTGATTATTCACCCTCAATGGCACACATACACAATCCATGTCTCAATTGTCTCAATCCTTCTTTAACCTGTCTCCTCCCCTTCATCTACTCTGATTGAAGTGGATTTAACAGGTGACATCAATAAGGGATCATAGCTTTCACCTTGATTCACCTGGTCAGTCTATATCATGGAAAGAGCAGGTGTTCCTAATGTTTTGTACACTCAGTGCATAGTACCTCAAACTGGTTTGCATTGTGCAATGACAGTTTAGAGATAATTTTAAACCACAACCTGGGATGGGATCAAACAACGCAATGGCAACCCTGTATGAATCACTCTAGGTAATGAGTGCCAGCCTGGTGATGAATAAAGAAAAGTATGTCCTGGAATGAGAACATCAGCGACACTCTCTGCCTCATTTACATCTGAGGGCTAAAGTGGTCAACCCATCATGCTGTAAAAGAGAGAGAGGGGGTGAGAGAGAGAGAGAGGGGGTGAGAGAGAGAGAGAGGGGGTGAGAGAGAGAGAGAGAGAGAGAGAGAGAGAGAGAGAGAGAGAGAGAGAGAGAGAGAGAGATTTTGGTTGTGGTGATTTAGTGCAGGTGGCACACAGATGGGACCCCCTCTGGGACCTGGGACCCGTTAATGAGTTACTGCCAGAGGGCCTGGGGACGTGACACCATGAACCAGACGGAGCCCTCTATCATGGCGGGATAAAGGTATCTCCATTACCATGAGATGTCTCCCAGTCGTTTGATTTGTGGATTACTACCCAGCCCCAAACTGGCACAGTTTCACTGTGGATGTGGCAGATCGTAAAACTGACTATCCTACCGATCCTTGACTTCGGCGATGTCATTTACAAAATAGCCTCCAACACTCTACTCAGCAAATTGGATGTAGTCTATCACAGTGCCATCCGTTTTGTCTCCAAAGCCCCATATAATACCCACCACTGTGACCTGTACGCTCTTGTTGGCTGCTCCTCACTACATATTCGTCGCCAAACCCACTGGCTCCAGGCCATCTATAAATCACTGCTAGGCAAATCCCCGCCTTATCTTAGCTCATTGGTCACCATAGCAACACCCAACCGTAGTCTGCGCTCCAGCAGGTATATCTCACTGGTCATCCCCAAAACCAACACCTCCTTTGGCCGCAATTCCTTCCAGTTCTCTGCTGCCAATGACTGGAACAAATTGCAAAAATCTCTGAAGCTGGAGACACTTATCTCCCTCACTAACTTTAAGCATCAGTTGTCAGAGCACCTTACCGATCACTGCACCTGTACACAGCCCATCTGAAATTAGCCCGCCCAACTACCTCATCCCTATATTGTTATTTATTTTGCTCATTTGTACCCCAGTATCTCTATTTGCACATCATCTCTTGCACATCTATCATTCCAGTGTTAATACTAATTGTAATTATTTTGCACTATAGCCTATTTATTGCCATACCTCCATAACTTGCTACATTTGCACACACTGTATATATATGTATTTCTGTTGTATTTTTGACTTTGTTTTGTTTTACCCCATATGTAACTCTGTGTTGTTGTTTTTATCGCACTGCTTTGCTTTATCTTGGCCAGGTCGCAGTTGTAAATGAGAACTTGTTCTCAACTGGTTTACCTGGTTAAATAAAGGTTAAATAAAAAATAAATAAAAAAAATCAGGAAACAACATATTATGAAGGGAAATTCTGTATGCAATTTTAACCAGGATTCCAGAATATTTATACTACTGATGTAGAGGTGTAAATATATGTCATGACTCTCCCTGGGTGAGGATTAAAGGCCTCACATCAGCTTGGCAAATGGCTGACAACAACCAGACCCTCTTACCCACAGGGGGGCTGTGCCGGTCTTGACACCTTAATACTGCCATCAATTAGAGAGGAGGATAATCTATCTCTGGCATTCTAGTATGGAGAAAGGAATGCCTTTGTTTCAGAGACTTTTTGCCGCCCAAAAACTTCAACATTCAACAATGAACATTGGGACAATATATATCAACATCCAAACGTTGGGAATGATGAGAAATGGAATATGGAAAATTAATGTATATTCTGTGATGTCATAAAAAATGGTATAAAGGCGTTATAACGAAAACATTGTGACTTGAAGAGCTTTTACACTGTGTATATCATGTTTACATCCTTTACCTTGTGTAGAAAATATCAAGGAGGAAGACAATGTTTTCGTGAAGATAGGAATATGATTTTAGCTTTCTAACAAAATCATAGTGATGATAATACTTTTGCCTCGTAACTAGCCACGCCCGAGGGAGCTCAGAGAGCGTGTCAGTATGACGGAAACGCCCCTCTTTACCAGAGTGCATAAAAGATTGAGATAAGAATGATCAGATCAGACTAGACGGACCTCAAGCTGCAGCTTTTGCCCATATTGGTCCCGACCCAGAAAATCAACACGAGGTGAAGACGACAAAGTTGCCTCCACTAACAATCAATATTACGGCTGAGTAGCTGTTCTAAGTACTGTATCTAAGAAGGTGAATTTAAGTGGGACCATCCTGTTACTCTCTTCAAGCCATTGTCTACTACACTGCTCTCATCACCCCACAGGGGATCTTCGACACCGCTGATTAGCCGTCCTCAGAAGACCACTTCCAGAACGAGTGAAAGTAAACAGACAACTAAGAAGAAGGACATTGTGACCTCGTGGACAATCTGAGCCTTACATCTAAAAGGCCATCCGAAAGAGAAGGCCCAATCGACCCCTTCCCACGAAAGCCTGGGTCCAACAGAGATACACGACGAAGACCTCCAACGCGTAAATACATGCATTGCTTTTCTTCCCAAATGGGCGGCAGTTCTGGGCAAAGTATTAGGATTACTGTGAGCATAGGTCCATGTGTGTCCAAGTGTTATCTCTCTCTCTCTCTCTTTAACTCGCCATCTTTTGTAACAAGTGTCATATTGTGTTAGTCCACTAGGGACCCGTTTTCATTGTATTAAGTTTCTAATCCCTACCTATACCGTGTACGTGTTTGTATCTTGTGTCATAATTGTTAATTAGTTAGTAAATAAATAATTAAATCAATTTGTGTGGTACGATCATTTGAATGATCAGTAAGACCCGGGTTCGTGCAGACTTAAAGTGCCTACGACTTTCAGAATGAGACTGATATGAGGTAAGTGGTTAATAAATGACTGTTAAATGATAAGAGATATCTAGATAACTTTAGAGTTAATTTGGGAAATGGTAACTCGTTAAACAACTTTTCCCATGGTGCCCCAAATTCCTAATGTGTTAATTGTTACATGATTAATTTAATCTAGTAACAATTAAACATAAGATGTCATTATTCGATAAATAATAGTCATCACAATAATGAAAGTCACGTCACAACATATATATTATTATGCATGACATGATTGCAAAACGTACTATATGTTAAGAATGATCTAAATGTATGATATGTTACGAATTCTAGCTAGCTGGCTAATGTTAGCTAGGCTAGGGTTAGGGGTCAGTGTTAAGATTGGGCTAAGTTTAGGAGTTAGGTTAAAGGGTTAAGGTTAGGGTTAGGGGAAGTGTTATCTAAAAAGGTTAAGGTTAGGGTTAGGAGAGGGTTAGCTAAAACGGTTAGGGTTAGGGGAAGGGTTAGCTTACAGGCTAAGTAGTTGCAAAGTAGCTAAAAAGTTGTAAGTAGAAAAGTTGCTAATTAGCGAAAATGCTAAAGTTGTCCGTGATGACATTCGTAACCTTTTGATTGCTAGACATTCACGTTATATGCCTACCCATCCACCCCGACCTATTGTTGTTTTTGCCTTAAGTAACCATCTGTCTTATGTAACCATAACAAATATAACATACACTACCATACTAATTTGTGGTACCGAATTTACTTTTACTATGTTACGTCTAGTCGATGAGACCAGGCCGGTGTCATAGATTTACATTAAAATGGGCAAAATTAGCTGTCTTTGAGTGGGGAGGGAAAACTGAAACTAGCTGTTATTGGCAAAGTAACCTAACGTAGCAGGCGTAAAAGAAAGACCTGAAACTAGATCCTCTACATACTGGTCTTGACAAGAAGAAAAAAAAAAAAACTGTTGGGGGAGGTTCTCTTCTGCACTGTTCAACCAATCCAGTAAATGTGGAGGAGGAGTTAAGATAGTGTGTTTTCTTGTTAACCTCCAAAAGCAGAAGTCACAGGCTCTCTTTCCATTTCCCCTGAAAACTGGAACTTCTTGTTGTTGGGGACTCGAACCAGAGGCTATAGAGCTCGCCAGCTTGTAGTCCTAAAACCCGGAAATGAGTTACCTCTGGTTCGTTTAGCCATTCCTGAAAATGAATGAGGAAGAATAGGGTTTTGGGATATACAGGCTTAGGAGATCTTATATGTTTTGTTCTATGAGATAATATCCGTCAGTTAACATTACTTTTATGAATTATGAAGCTTTTGTGTGCTCTATGTGCTTTTTTTATTATATAAATGCTTCAAAATTCACAAAATGTGACATTAGCTGATGAAGATGATCTCATAGAACAAAACATATAAGATCTCTTAAGCCTGTGTTTACCACAGACCTTATTTTCGGCGTTTATACAAAAACGTTTTCCCATAGGATTCATCCAACAAACCATGGCGGAGTTAGTGCCTACAAAAATATGTAATTAATATTGTTCTCTATTGGCAGAGAGGTTTGGAACTCTCTTTATTATTGGTCTATTAACCAATTTACCGCATGGTGATGTCACCATGGAAAGCCGAAACTCCCGCCCATGCTGATTAGAAGGCCCTACAGAGTTTGGTGCAGACAGCCCAGTACATCACTGGGGGCGAGCTCCCAGCCATTCAGGACATACAGTACACACCAAGCAATGTCTGAGGAAGGCCCGAAAAACTGACAAAGACTCCAGCCACCCCTGCCATAGACTGTTCTCTCTGATTCCCTTTCGGCAGGCGGTATCAGAGTTGGACCAACATGTTCTGAGACAGCTTCTACCCCCAAGCAATGAGACTTTTAAACAGAGAGGGCACAATTCAGACTTAAGAAATGGTGTAATACGTTAGCCTAATACTGTTGCAAGCGATCCTCAGCAACAACCATACGAACGTGACAGAGGAAAGAAAGGTAAACTAACGATGTAATGGAATGATGCAAAATGTAAGGAAACTAACACTAAAGTCAGTGACAGTGACAAATGTATGTGGGTATAACTGAAGGTGGCTACCGATAGGGGCTAATATTTAACATGACACAAATTGTAAAAAAAACAGTGAAAAGTCTGTATGTAATTAAAACATTATAGAAATCATAAACCAACTCGATAGGTTTGGTTCTATACTGTCATTTGCACATGGCTACAGAAGCCTATAGCTTGGGTCTCAAAATTTCATCCCAAGTTATAAGGGATGTAGCTCAGTTGATAGAGCATGGCGTTTGCAACGCCAGGGTTGTGGGTTCGATTCCCACGGGGGGCCAGTATAAAAAAAATATGTATTCACTAACTGTAAGTCGCTCTGGATAAGAGCGTCTGCTAAATGACTAAAATGTAAAAAAATAAGGCCAGCATTTCATGAACTTCACTGTGGAAAAGGTAAATAAAAATAAATTGGTCATTTAGCAGATGCTCTTATCCAGAGCGACTTACAGGAGCAATTAGGGTTAAGTGCCTTGCTCAAGGGCACATCGACAGATTTTTCACCTAGTCGGCTCGGGGATTAGAACCAGCGACCTTTCGGTTACTGGTACAACGCTCTTAACCACTAAGCTACCTGCCGCCCTGGTGATATGTTGATATGCTTCAGTTTTCTGCCATATGACTGGTTTCACATTTGTCTCCAGCAATCATAAGGTAAAATATTGTCATTTATATTTACAATCCCCTTATCCAAATGACATTCATTTGCATGGAGAATGGTGCACTGTAATTTACAAATTGATTAGAGCTATTGATAAGAGCTAATTAGTGAGGATTATTAGGGTCGATTTATAGCACTACTGTGCAACTTTCAGGATGTATCAAACCACTGTATTTTTGATTTACAAATATATTTCATGCGTAAAGGCTCTCCAAACCTGTTTTTTTTTATTATTATTCATAAATACTTTCCTAACCTTAAATAGAGATCTGAGTATTTTTAAATCTACCAATTGGTGCTGAAAAGGAGACTAATATGTATGTATTTACATGGCTTTCTTTCATTGCTCCCTAATATTCTGAACCTTTCGCTCCATATATTCTAGTGAGTCTGTAGAGAAAATTTTAATGAAAGCTACAACAAATGTAAAGAGATGGCTTTAGATAAATGTACTGAAACTCCTGTTGAATGAAAAGTCCACGACAAAATACGTTGGCAAGCAAGTTGGAGGGTTTTCAGTGGTTGAATTCAATTTATTCAGCGTGTGCAAGGGAACCACGCCTGCAAAGTCCGTTACGCACCTGCATAAGGTGTCTGAATACCAACTACTGAGAAGTGCGTAGGAAAGGCGTGCGTCTGAATCGGGCCCTATGTGCACACTCACAGGTCTTCACTCACACACTCACATACGCCTACACTGACACACACTCACACACACCCACCCACCCACATCCACTCACCACCACGCACGCACACACCCATCCACCCACCACGTATGCTGCTGCTATATCATTTACCATTATTATTATTTATCCTGCTACCAGTCACTTTCTCCTAATCCCTGCCTACATGTACATATCTACCTCAACTACTCCAGTATCCCTGCACATTGTAAAATTGGTACCTGTGTATAGCTTACATTCTCCTGTTTTTTTCTTCCTTTCTTATTTCTTGTGTTTTTGTTTTGTTTTATTATTTTGATATTTATTACTGCACTGTTGGGAAGGGCTTGCAAGTTACACTTTTCACATGTGACAAATAAAACGTGAAACTTGAAGGTCCTGTGTAGATTGTATTTTCAACCAGCAACTATCAGGAAATAACACTGATCAAATGTTTTCACACTTTTACAGTGTTAGTTTCATCATTTGTTGTACAATATGAGTTAAAACACAGACATTTGACTGCACTGAGCCTTTAAAGCCTGGATTAAAGTGAGATTTAAAGCAAGGCTGTGGATGGAGGACAGTTTAAGGGCAAGGGTTGAGGATGAGGCCTGGGTTGGAGCTAAGCTTAGATTCATGTTTGGGGTTGAGTTGAGTTGAGGTCCAAGTCTTACCTGCTATGAACTTGATTGAGAGTTTTGGTATAATTCACTTAATTCATGGGACACTTCACAATTGCTCACCTTTGTATGTAGGTGGGTAGCTGGAATGAGATGTGGGTCCAGTATGTCCCCCAGTTTTTTCTCTGAAACTGGGTGAGAGTTAAAGCAGTAAGGGGTAATGGTGGGGGGATACCCAGTGTAAGTTGAGGTGTAGCAGATGGAGTTAATACCAAACAGAGGGATTACTGACTGTCACCCTGTATTAACACAACATCCTCAGGAGAGGGGTCAGGCTCAGGACAGCCAAAGGCACTCATGCACAACTTTGTGAGCCAGTGGGTCCCGTCGTTTAGGAGGACTCTGGGTGGTCATCAGAGAATGAAATCCCATCCTGCCTTCCTGAACCTCAGAGTCAGGATTCTGGGTCATATTGGCCAATTAACCAAAAACATCCGGCTTTAGTCAGCAGAATATAGAGAAAGCCTGCAAATCTCTCTGTATCAATATCATCTACATCTGAGGTTGACAAATTGCAGAGTTGAGCCTTTAATTGTTTTCTCTCTTCTCACCTTCTAACAGAATCATTTAATTCCATATTGATTCATCAATCTCAATGTCAGCTACTATCAAAGGTCAGGTATGAGGCTACCTTTATCGCTGTGCAGTGTGTGTATGTTTGGTGTGTGTGGACTGACTGTGTTGTTATGGTGATATCTTACCATGGTAATTGGACACAAGACGAGGGGGAGACAGCCAGTAAAAGCCTCAGCCATTCCTGTCATGTGTCTTCTATTCACCAGCTTGGGCCCCCGTGTGTGTATCCGTATGCTGTGTGTGTGTGTGTGGAGTGCGATAACACACCAGCATTCTTCAGTTGTAAATAACTGAATCAGGCTATTTCAGTCCCCTCTGAGTGGAGCTGTAATTTGGTGCCGTTTTGCTCTTAAGGACCGGTAATTATGGCTGTTAGGGACTTCCAAAACAGCTCAAGACCTTCACTTCTTTCTCCAAGTAGGGAACAAATGACATCTGTGCTGTTAGACATATCTGGACAAGGTGCTGTAAATATGAAAAGGCACATTTTCCAATGAAAACCCAGAGACCAACTTCTGTCCACATGCCTAATGTGATCTAATTCTCTCTGTCCCTCACACTCACGGGCCAGTTTATTAGGTCCATCTAGTACGGGGTCAGAACCCCCTTTGCCTCAACAACAGCCTGAATTGTTTGGGGCATGGACTCTACAAGTCGGAAACATTCCACAGGGATGTTGGTGGATGCTGACACAATGGCATCACGCAGTTGCTGCAGATTGGATGGCAGTACACCACCGCCACCAGCCTGTACCGTTGACGCCAAATCCTGACTCTGCCAACAGCATGATGCCACAGGAACCGGGATTCGTCGGACCAGGCGATGTTTTTCCACTCCTCAATTGTCCTGTGTTGTTGATCGTGTGCCCATTGGAGCTGCTTCTTCTTGTTTTTAGTTGATAGGAGTGGAACCCGGTGTGGTCGTCTGCTGCAGTAGCCCATCCATGACAAGGATCGACGAGTTGTGCATTCCAAGATGGCGTTCTTCACAGCACTGTTGTACTGCACCATTATTTGTCTGTTTGTGGCCCGCCTGTTAGCTTCATGATTCTTGCCATTCTCCTTCGACCACTGTCATCAACAAGCTGTTTTCGCCCATATGACTGCCATTGACTGGATGTTTTTGAGATACTGGATCCGGTGTGCCTGGCACCAACCATCATCATACCACACTCAAAGTCGCTTAGGTCACTAGTATTGCCCATTTTAACGTTTTGTTTGGTTACTACATGATTCCATATGTGTTATTTAATAGTTTTCATGTCTTCACTATTATTCTACAATGTAAAAAAATAGTAAAAATAAAGAAAAACACTTGAATGAGTAGGTGTGTCCAAACTTTTGACTGGTAGTGTATACGTTTACGGTGAATTATAAAAGTTATTATTTTGAGGACACTCAAGTGAATAAACGCATTCAGCACTCTCTACATACGTCAGATAGGCGCCTTCTCTGTGCTGGCCTTGAAAATCACTTAATAGCTTCTGACCTTCTTCAGCAGACAGGAGAATTGTCCATCTTTATGTCTCAGCTGATAGCCGTCCATCTGACCACTACCCATGATGTGCATACCTCCCAGTTAACCAAGATAGAGCTTAGTGTTGCCAGAACAGAACCGTCTCTGACACACTACAATAGGAAGATGTGTTCTGTGTGCACCGCTGGACAACATGGTAGTGTTATCTAGTCATGGTCATGAAACAGGAACAGCCTCTGGGTTTCAGACTCTCTCTGGGTTTCATCCTATGAATCCCTGTCTGCTAACTTTAGCGTGATCACATGACCCTGAGTTCCTTGCATGCCTGGGCTAATGGAATGTCAGGAACATTGGTTAATTTACTGTCACATTCTACAGACATTCTATTTAGAATAATCTGAATGCTCTTCATGAGCCCTAAACAGACCACGAGAGACTGACAGTCAGAAGCACAAACAGATCAAATCAAAATCAAATCATATGTTATTTGTCACATAGACGTGTTTAGCAGATGTTATTGCGGGTGTAGCGAAATGCTTGTGCTTCCAGCTCCGACAGTGCAGTAATATCTAACAAGTAATATCTAACAATTTCACAACATATACCCAATACACACAAATCTAAGTTAGGAATGGAATTAAGAATATATACATATATGGACGAGCAATGACAAAGCGTATTGGCCTAAAATACAGTAGAATATTATAGAATACAGTATATACATATGAGAAAAGTAATGCAAGATATGTAAACATTATTAAAGTGACTAGTGTTCCATTTCTTAAAGTGGCCAGTGATTTCAATAGGCAGCAGCAGCCTCTAATGTGCTAGTGATGGCTATTTAACAGTCTGATGGCCTTGAGATAGAAGCTGTTTTTCATTCTCTCTGTCCCAGCTTTGATGTACCTGTACTGACCACGCCTTCTGGATGATAGCGGGGCGAACAGGCAGTGGCTTGGGTGGTTGATGTCCTTGACAATCTTTTTGGCCTTCCTGTGACATCGGGTGCTGTAGGTGTCCTGGAGGGCGGGTAGTTTTCCCCGGTAATGCTTTCGGCAGACCGCACCATCCTCTGGAGAGCCCTGCGGTTGCGGGCTGTGCAGTTGCCGTACCAGGTGGTGATACAGCCCAACAGGATGCTCTCAATTGTGCATCTGTAAAAGTTTGTGAGGGTTTTAGGTGCCAAGCCAAATTTCTTCAGCCTCCTGAGGTTGAAGAGGCTCTGTTGTGCCTTCTTTTCAGTTTGTCAGTGATGTGTGCGCCAAGGAACTTGAAGATCTCCACCTTCTCCACTGCGGTCCTGTCGATGTGGATAGGGGGGTGCACCTTTCCTGAAGTCCACAATCATCTCCTTTGTTTTGTTGACATTGAGTGAGAGGTTATTTTCCTTGCACCACACTCCCAGAGCCCTCACCCCCTCCCTGGAGGCTGTCTCGTCATTGTTGGTAATCAAGCCTACTACTGTTGTGTTGTCTGCAAACTTGATGATTGAGTTGGAGGCATGCTTGGCCACACAGTCATGGGTGAACAGGGAGTACAGGAGGGGGCTGAGCACACACCCTTGTGGGGCCCAAGTGTTGAGGATCAGTGAAGTGGAGATGTTGTTTCCTACCTTCAACACCTGGGGGCGGCCCGTCATGAAGTCCAGGTCACAGTTGCACAGGGCGGGGTTCAGACCTAGGGTCTCGAGCTTAATGATGAGCTTGGAGGGTATTATGGTGTTGAATGCTGAGCTATAGTCAATGAACGGCATTCTTACATAGGTATTCCTCTTGTCCAGATGGGATTGGGCAGTGTGATGGCAATTGCATCGTCTGTGGATCTATTGGGGCGGTAAACAAATTGAAGTGGGTCGAGGGTGACAGGTAAGGTAGAGGTGATATGATCCTTGACTAGTCTCTCAAAGCACTTCATGATGACAGAGGTGAGTGCTGGTCTTTTGAACAATCATCTGGCTGGACCGATTTCGACAGAATATCCAGAGAGAGCCATGTTTCCTTGAAACAAAGTATGTTACAGGCCCTGATGTCTCTCTGGAAAGAAATCCTTGCCCTGAGCTCGTCGACTTTGTTATCCAAAGACTGAATATTAGCGAGTAATATACTTGGAAGCGGTGGGTGGTGTGCGCGCCTCCTAAGTCGAACCAGCAGGCCGCTCTGAGTGCCTCTCTTCCGCCGGCGATGTTTTGGGTCAGCCGCTGGAATCAGTTCAATTGCCCTGGGGAGAGCAAACAAAGGATCTGCTTCGGGGAAGTCGTATTCCTGGTCATAATGCTGGTGAGTTACCGCCGCTCTGATATCCAATCGTTTTTACCGGCTGTAATGATACAAAACACTTTCTGAGCTAATAATGTAAAAAAGAACACATAAAAGAGCTAGTCGCGAGGCCGCCATCTTCGTCAGCACCAGGATTGTCCTTAACAGACAAGCCTTTGTTAGCAGTCTTCTCAGTAACAGGTGGTCTATCACAAACTAAAGTGCCACACTTCTTTTCACTCTTTCACCTGCAGCAGTTTAGCTTCATTTGAAATATGTGATAGTCATTAGCTTAGGCATGATCAACTTCATTCTGCAATTAAAATGCAAATTGAAAGACACAAGCTGTTTTCAAGTTGTCATGCTTTGGATGTTACATACTTTGACTCACTCAGTGCTTTTCACAAGCCCCATACAAACTCCCTATGACAAACACAAGTGTAGAAGTATTCAAACCACATTCTCATAAGAATGTACTCTGTAAATATGACATGGATCACAACATTCAGTAAGACAAATAACCAGAGCCATATATGGGATGTGTGTTCTCTCCAGTGGGTGTAATCTCCCTGGAGTCAGCCATGCCCCAGCGGACCAGACCACTGTCACTGTCCTGCATCAACACAACTGCACTATCCCCTCCTCTACTCCTCTATGGCGCAGCCCAGAAAGCATATGGCCACAATTTGTGGCACCTCTGACAGCCTCTTATCTCTGCTTTAATTAAGCACATGGAAAAGCCACAGACTCACTCTCAGTGCCAAACCATTGACACACTGACTGACTGCACAACCCCTCTGTCCTTGGGTAAAGGCCTGCAGCGATGAGAAGATATGTAAACGAAATGAATGAATATGTGAATAAATATATGGGTTGGGTTGATGAAGTAAGGCTGTGTGCGCTGATGAGTTTTGAAACCATGTGTTCCGTTAGATCAATACCCAGACGACTGGAGATAGACAGGGTTGTTTTTTCCAGGACTAATTTCTTTGGAAACGATGTGACAATGTGCATCTTTGCGGGTTTGACTTAATCAATGGCAGTGGCCTAGGGGCTCAGTAAAAGAGGGGAAACAAGACACACACTCCCAGAAGAGAAATGTGTCGCACATGTTTGTGCAGCTGTTTTGGTCATAACAGTCAACAAAATGAGAACTCCTCTCTCACCCTTTGTTATTTGACCACAGCAAAATATATGAACAATGAAAGACATACCCTCTAAAGGAACCTACATAAACACACACTAATGCCCCCAACATGTCAATAGCATTGGACTTCAATCACTTTTAATCTAGAGAGTATAGTTAAATACCTATAGTTTTGAGACCTGCAGCAGAAGGGAGGGTGTGGAGTGGACACAGATTACGAGGGCCAGAGACCTAGCTAGCGTAATCCTCTGACCACATGGACATCAGACACAATCCAATTTATAGCCCTGCTACTTCACCTTTCAAACACAAACTTAACGTGGATCTCTTGTCTAAGTGTAAATGTAGAAAACGGGAGAATTAGATGACAAGAGAAGTAAACTACTCCTGTCATTTTGGATGTAAGGGTTGTATTAATTGAGGAGATAGCTTGTGAGTTACAAACTGCGCTTCAGTGAAGACCATAAGAATCCCATCAGCATAGTTATTAATGCGTTAATCCATAGAGCTGCATCAGCAGCACATAATTTATCTGGGTTTATGATTAGATCAGCTAGAGCTCACAGACATCTGTTTGCAAACAGTGCCACAAAGGCCCATGAATCACAATATTTGTAACACTTGACTCATGACCTCATGGGGGTAATGACATTTACAGAGAAGTTACTTTTTAATCAGCGCTTTTGCCATATTCTCATTCATTTTAGCATTTAGCAGATGGTGAGCATGACTGTTCAGTGGTAGACATAGCTTCACATGAACACACCAGTACCCAGTGAGGGAACGGACACCTGTCAATCTTTCTCTGAAATATTATTTTATTCCAATGCAGGACAACATCAGTACATAAACAGGCATGCGTTTCTATTTCTACATTATAGATATTCAATACATAAATGATTCTATACAAAATATAAAAATATGTGGGACCTCATTTACATAGTATTTACATTACTTCCTTAACTTAGTGAATTCATTAATTAATTTACTTATATACATCCTATAAACTTGAGTATAATGGTATATACCTAAATCACATTGCATGAAATAGCTGGACCTTACTAAACTGACTGTACCTTACTGTTGCTGAATGGAAATGACATTATTATTACGATTGCATGTTGGCTTTGATAAACATGGTGACAGACAAGCAGAGCGCAGTGTGAGAGTCAGAGAAATATAATCAGTACTCAGGATAACTTGTTTTGAAACATTAAATGGATAAACATGCAAAACATGCGTGCTGTCAACGGTTTACCCAACTGCATATCAAACACTGTCAACCTCACAATACTCAACAACTTCAGAAGAGTGGCTGTTTTTTTTTCTGAACAGATGAACTATGTTAGTGTACAGTCGTGGTCAAAAGTTTTGAGAATGACACAAATATTAATTTTCACAAAGTCTGCTGCCTCAGTTTTTATGATGGCAATTTACATATACTCCAAAATGTTATGAAGAGTGATCAGATGAATTGCAATTAATTGCAAAGTCCCTCTTTGCCATGAAAATGAACTTAATCCCCAAAAAAACATTTCCACTGCATTTCAGCCCTGCCACAAAAGGACCAGCTGACATCATGTCAATGAGTCTCTCGTTAACACAGGTGAGAGTGTTGACGAGGACAAGGCTGGAGATCACTCTGCCATGCTGATTGAGTTAGAATAACAGACTGGAAGCTTTAAAAGGAGGCTGGTGCTTGAAATCTCTGTTCTTCCTCTGTTAACCATGGTTACCTGCAAGGAAACACGTGCAGTCATCATTGCTTTGAACAAAAAGGCCTTCACAGGCAAGGATATTGCTGCTAGTAAGATTGCACCTAAATCAACCATTTATTGGATCATCAAGAACTTCAAGGAGAGAGATTACATTGTTGTGAAGATGGCTTCATGGCGCCCAAGAAAGTCCAGCAAGCGCCAGGACCGTCTCCTAAAGTTGATTCAGCTGCGGGATCGGGGCACCACCAGTGCAGAGCTTGCTCAGGAATGGCAGCAGGCAGGTGTGAGTGCATCTGCACGCACAGTGAGGCGAAGCCTTTTGGAGGATAGCCTATTTTCAAGAAGGGTAGCGAGGAAGCCACTTCTCTCCAGGAAAAACATCAGGGACAGACTGATATTCTGCAAAAGGTACAGGGATTGGACTGCTGAGGACTGGGGTAAAGTCATTTTCTCTGATGAATCCCCTTTCCGATTGTTTGGGGCATCCGGAAAAAAGCTTGTCCGGAGAAGACAAGGTGAGCGCTACCATCAGTCCTGTGTCATGCCAACAGTAAAGCATCCTGAGACCATTCATGTGTGGGGTTGCTTTTCAGCCAAGGGAGTGGGCTCACTCACAATTTTGCCTAAGAACACAGCCATGAATAAAGAATGGTACCAACACATCCTCCGAGAGCAACTTCTCCCAACCATCCAAGAACAGTTTGGTGACGAACAATGCCTTTTCCAGCATGATGGAGCACCTTGCCATAAGGCAAAAGTGATAACTAAGTGGCTCGGGGAACAAAACATCGACATTTTGGGTCCATGGCCAGGAAACTCCCCAGACCTTAATCCCATTGAGAACTTGTGGTCAATCCTCAAGAGGCGGGTGGACAAACAAAAACCCACAAATTCTGACAAACTCCAAGCATTGATTATGCAAGAATGGGCTGCCATCTGTCAGGATGTGGCCCAGAAGTTAATTGACAGCATGCCAGGGCGGATTGCAGAGGTCTTGAAAAAGAAGGGTTGACTCTGCAAATATTGACTCTTTGCATAAACTTAATGTAATTGTCAATAAAAGCCTTTGATACTTCAGTATACCATAGTAACATCTGACAAAAATATCTAAAAACACTGAAGCAGCTAACTTTGTGAAGACCAATACTTGTGTCATTCTCAAAACTTTTGACCACGACTGTATACTGGGGAGAGGGAGGGCACTTTCTCTTGACTCTGGCCATGTGGCGAATGTTAAGAGATTATGCAATTCTTGCTTTTCCGGCGTTTGCGGGTGTGCAGCTGTCCCCCTCTGCCGCTCATTTGGTGCGGTCCGCCCACCCCCGTGGAGCTGTACTTGTGGAGGAGCTCCTGGCTGCTAAGGTACCTCAGCTGCACGGGCCTGGGGATGGGCTCTCCCAGGAAGTAGCCCTCGTCCTCTGACTCAGATGATGAAGAGCAGGTGGAGCACCACTCGTCCTCATCATCGTAGTCGTCCCATGAGTAGGGCCCGGCGAGGCGGCGGTGGGCACCCGGGTTCTGCAGGGTGAGGTCAGATGTGGTGCGAGGGCACTGCCTGAATGGCTCCGGCCCCCTGTACCTCCCCCCTGCGCCCCCAAACGGGTCCCTGGCGCCCCGGGGAGGGGGGAACTGGTCATAGTCCTCTCTGACTCTCAGCTTGGGCCTCTCCTGGGGTCTCTCCCTGCGCTCTGCGGCCAGGTGCAGGGCGTTCTCCGAGCGGGAGCGTCTGGAGCGACGTGAGCGGTGGTGGTGGTGTCTACGGCGCTGAGGGGTGTCTTCAGGGTCAGCCATGCCCGGGCCCTCTCCTCGTCTCTGGGTGCGCTCGCTGATGGGCGGGAGGCGTGCAGCATTGGCGCTGCTCACCAGGCTGACCCTGTCCTCCTCCTGGTAGGTGAAGCCGGGGGGCAAGCGGCCCATCCCCATGCCCAGGCCTGGGGGCTCACAGTACTGCAGAGGGTACTGCACCTGCACCTGCACCGGGGGCTCCAGCTCCATGTAGGGCTGGCCTGAGGTCAGGCTGCGCAGAGACTCAGAACTGTGGAACTGGACAGAGGAGTTGAGGGTGCCCATGTTGCTCTTCTCTGACACGTTCATGCCAGAGTCTTTGCTCAGGTCGGGCATGGAGAAACGAGACAGGTGCTTCTGGCGTTTCCCTCCTCCGTCTGCTGACGTTCCTTCAGAGAGAGAACAGAGGGGTTAGTCAGTGGTCAACTTCATCAGTTGTCCTTATTATTATCATTAGGGGTGTGCTGACATGGCCATACTCGTATTCGTAATCGTATCCATAAGTTGACAGTTGATAGTCGGATCGGATGATACTCGTGATCGGAAAAACTGAAGTGTTTTAATATGCCTAAATAGATGTTGGCAAAATACCTCCTTGCACGTTCTCACTGCAAAAAAGCTGCAGATTAGGAGCAGTGCGCAGAGGGGTGGGTGTGTATGCGTATGTGTCCTCAACTTGCAGTGGGCAGCCAAGTTTGCTGTCAGAATGCGCATTAGCGTTGTATATTTTTTCCCTAATCTTGCCCCACTTGTTAGATATTATGCACATTGATAGCTTGATAGCAAACATCCTCACCATGTGATTTATCATAGTAGCAGGCAGCAGCAATCTAAATGATCAGACCGAAAACATGCGAGGAAAAGTGATCGGGTGAAACTATGAAGCGAGTGGATGGAGAGATACAGCTTCACTCTATCCAATCAGAGCAGCAGAATCAACGTACAGCCCGCCCTTCACTTTACAGACAGGAAAACTAACCAGTTGAGTTATTTAGAGCACTCACATGAATTACATTTACGTCATTTAGCAGACGCTCTTATCCAGAGCGACTTACAGTTAGTGCATACATTATTCTTTTTTTAATTTTTCATACTGGCCCCCCGTGGGAAACGAACCCACAACCCTGGCGTTGCAAACGCCATGCTCTACCAACTGAGCTACCTCCCTGCCGGCCATTCCCTCCCCTACCCTGGACGACGCTGGGCCAATTGTGCGCCACCCCATTGGTCTCCCGGTTGCGGCCGGCTACAGCAGAGCCTGGATGAATGACTCAAAGAGAGTACCGTATGGTTTAGAAACTCTGACTGACTGACATGAGAAAGATGCTTGCTGGCATCTTTTTTTTCTCCTGATCACGGATAATGACAAAAAATATCCCGAAAATAACCTTTGATATAATAGACATTACACTCTTATGTGAACAATACTTTTTTAGTTAGCCCCAGATGGGTTGCAGTATTCAGTGAGAAATAAAATGTCCTGAGCAGTAAAATATATTGCTTCAAATATAATCATATTAATTAATCTTCACATGATGGTGAATTTTGAATGAGTTACCTGTAGCGTTGGACAGGGTGAGTGACTCCATGGAACCCCTGGGTGTCTGCTCTAGGGGAGTGAGCTGCTCTGTGAAGCTAAGTGCACTGATGGGATTCCTGCTGCGCCCCATCTGGGGAGGCCCCACCTCCTTGTCCCTGTCCCTCTGGTTCTCCCTCTGGAACACATGCAGACTGACTGAGCGCTTGTCAGAGAAGCCATTGTGGGGTGAGGAGCTGTGGGGTACGTCAATGCTTTGCTGGGGTTTCAGTTTGGGGGGGTAGTAGTTGACTGGGCCCTTGTGGAACCAGTTCTCATTCATGGAGTGGCCCTTCAGGGCTGAGATGGGCGGCCTCTTGGGGACACCCGTCTCCTTGGACCTGGGGTCTGGTTGGCCGCCCTGCCCGGGGGAGGTGGAGTTATATGCAGTCCTGACGTTGCATTGGCTGAGCAGCTGGAGTGGAGTGGGTGTTGCTGTGTGGTCTGATCGGCCCTCGTAGGGGTACGTGTCGCCCCCCTGTCCCTGGCTCTGCCATGCGGGCGGCTCACGGGTCAGACTGGGCGTCTGGCTGGACAGACTCAGCAGGTCCATCTGTAAGGAGAGAGGATCCACCTCGCTCGAAAACCGCCCCGCCTGACCCCCGTTCTTCCCAGCCTTGGAGCTGCGGCGGGGCTCTCGAGTTGAGCGTGCGCTCTGGAAGGCGGAGTCTGAGGAGTCTGACCCGTTAGGCTCCTCCCCAAGGTTGCAGGAGCGTGAGCAGAAGATTTGTCCCTGTTTGGGCAGGAAGGGGCGACCTAGGAGGGAACACTTACAGCGGGCACAGCAGAAACAGCCCTCTGTGGCATGCCAGTGCTGCCCGTCATACGTCATCTGGCCCTGGTCAATGCCTGCGGGAGAGAGGGGAAAGACTTGTTAGCATATAAGCCAAAATGTCCATGAAAAGGTCCCAATACATTTTACTATTTTGCTCTGTAATGCTCAGAGCCAATGCCTGCAACAGAAAACCATCAAGACTAATCATTGTAGAAACACTGTAGGTGGGGAATGTGAAAGAGAAAGTGCTATAAGCAGCTTGGCAAATTGAGGCTAATCAAATACAAAACATGAGCTAAATATTCTAGAGGGAGAACTCATATCCGAATTAAAAGATAAAGATATCGTCCCTAAACTGGATTTTTTAAAAGTTAAAACTGCAGTAGGAAATTATAAGTAAACTTGAGTGAAGAAGCGCCCTGGGGCTACGACACTTAGCGGAGTTTAGGGGTAAACCCATTATGTACCATGCCTGGCACTGTATAAACACATTAGATTTTAAGTATGTTTGGAATTGCCGGGGAGAATGGTCCAAGGCTAATGGCTGCCATCTGGTTTCAATATGTTTTTTGATGGTTTCAATTTATAATCAGTTTTACTCAAATACTTTCTTTATCCTGTATAACAAATAATTATAGAGCTGCATGTCTGTCTGCTGAGGGCCATGCCAGATCACAGCTGGGGATCATGTTGAGGGATAAGCCAGCAGCTCTCTGGACTGAGAGGAACACACAGAGGTTGCACTGGGCCAACTGGTGATACGGCGCTGGGTTTACCCTCCAAAAAAAACACAGAGTTGTCCTGCTCAGAACGGGTTTGGTTAACCTACAGAAAATGATCTTATGAAAATGTATGAAACATGTATCTACTGAATACATTTGAAATTGAATTGATTTCACCCACTGATCTTTTTCCCCTTTTGAGAAAACAGTCTTAAGTTCACATAGTCTGTATTAAAGGACAATAAGGTATCTGCATGCTAGTGTTGCATTAAAACCTACCCACGGTTACTCTCAGCTAAAAGCAGGTCATATCTGCACCTTTTCATATTTCTCCCTGAAATGTTTCTCCAAGCTAAATCCAGGTCATTCCTCTGTTCCCTTAACATTACAGAAATCATGCAGCTGAAATAGCGTCCCATTCGTCTAGCTTTGCGTATTAAATCCAATCAAATATTATTTGCCACATGCGCCGAATACAACAGGTGTAGGTAGACCTTACAGTGAAATGCTTACTTACAAGCCCTTAACCAACAACGCAGTTTTAAGAAAAATTAAGTAAAAAATAGATAAGTAAAAAATAAAAATAGCAAATAATGAAAGAGCAGCAGTAAAATAAAATAACAGTAGGGAGGCTATATACAGGGGGTACCGCTACAGAGTCAATGTGCGGGGGCACCGGTTAGTCGAGGTAATATGTACATGTGGGTAGAGTTAAAGTGACTATGCATAGATAATAAACAGATAATGCCAGTGCTCTAGTGCTCAGGAGTAGGGCTCATGTGTTGGATCTAGGGCCTTGCGTTGGCTCTGATGGATGGGGCGGGTGCGTGGCATACCGATGTGTTCCCCACAGGAGTCACAGTACTCTGCATATAGGGACTCGAAACAGCTGCAGCAGTAGGGACGGCCCTCCTTCATAATGTAGCGCTGGCCGCCCAGCACCGTCTCACACTCGAAACAGCAGAAGTGCTTCATGTGCCAGTGCCTGCCCTCTGCCTCCGTGCACTCGTCCGCAAAGATAATCTACAGACGGAGAGAGGGAAGAGGGATGGGGAAGGTATCATTTATCATGCTGCTTTTCCTCTGAGGCAAGGCCCTGCTCACCCAATTACAGAGAATGACAGGACAAAGACTTCAAGGCCTCGCTGCCTGCTACTGCAGCCCTCTCCCTCTCCCTCCCTCATACTGACAGACACTGTCCTACTGTATTACACCATCCACTCTGTCTCACAGTCCACTCTTTGGGATCATGTGTATGGAGATCTAATTGAAAACAATGCTTTATTATTCCCATATTATAGCAGTATATTTCAAGAAAACGCCATATAGGCCTCTTCTGTTTATCCCATCACTAAATCATCTATTGTGTTTTGCATGGAAGTTAGTGTCATAGTATTCAATATAATATTTGCCGGGAAGGCCTATAAACGGTTGAGTATCAGAGAGGATTGTGACTGTGTGTGTGTACTGCATGTGTGTGTGTTTGTGTGCCTGTGGGTGTGTTTAGCGGGGTCTGCTCGCACCTCGTCGCAGGCGGAGCAGCGTGGTTTGAGTCTCTCTGCATGGTGCCGACCACAGTAGATCTTCCCTTCCTGGTAGAAGTAGATGAGGTCCACCAGCAGCTCATCACACATGCTGCACACGAAGCAGCCAGGGTGCCAACACACGGCGTGGCCCGCCCGCGACGCAAACACTGCAATGTCACCTCCGTTTATTTGCCCCCCACACTGAGAGATGGAGAGAGACATGGTGGAGGGGAGAGATGGGAGAGGAGAAAGAGACATGGTGGAGGAGAGAGATGGGGGAGGAGAAAGAGACATGGTGGAGGAGAGACATGGGGGAGGAGAAAGATACATGGTGGAGGAGAGAGATGGGGGAGGAGAAAGCGACATGAGGGAGGAGAGACATGGGGGAGGAGAAAGATACATGGGGGAGGAGAGACATGGGGGAGGAGAAAGAGACATGGGGGAGGGGAAAGATACATGGTGGAGGAAGAGATGGGGGAGGAGAAAGCGACATGAGGGAGGAGAGACATGGGGGAGGAGAAAGATACATGGTGGAGGAGAGAGATGGGGAGGAGAAAGAGACATGGGGAGGAGAGACATGGGGGAGGAGAAAGAGACATGGGGGAGGGGAGAGATGGGGAGGAGAAAGAGATATGGGGGAGGAGAGACATGGGGGAGGAGAAAGAGACATGGGGGAGGGGAGAGATGGGGAGGAGAAAGCGACATGTGGGAGGAGAAAGAGACATGGTGGAGGTGAGAGATGGGGAGAAGAAAGAGACATGGGGGAGGAGAGACATGGGGGAGGAGAGACATGGGGGAGGAGAAAGAGACATGGGGAGGAGAGAGATGGGGAGGAGAAAGAGACATGGGGAGGAGAGAGATGGGGAGGAGAAAGAGACATGGGGAGGAGAGAGATGGGGAGGAGAAAGAGACATGGGGAGGAGAAAGAGGATAGGCAGGGGAGAAGAAAGGTACAGGGAGTGGGAATGAGTGGGTGGAGACAGTGAGAGATGGTAGGGAGGGGAGAAAGGAGGGGGAGGGAGTGAAGGAGACAGCGTGACAAAGAGAGGAAGGTCAGGGAGTGCAGCAGAGATTTAGAGGGGTGGGAAAGAGAGGGAGATGAGAAAGTTACAATCAGGTTATCTAACTGGCACACAGCCCTGCTACGCATAGAGATCAGTCGGGGGAGGGGATTCAATCAATACACACTCTTAAAATAATCTGCTCCCCCACACACACACACAGTTCTGTGTATGTCTGTGATATGGTTGTCTGCTTAGCAAGAAACACAGCGAGTAAAACAGGGATACAAACAGGGCATGAACAAACAGAGCAGAACTGCCTCAGGTCTGTAAGGGAATGACTGGGAGCTGAGTGTGTTTCTGAATGAACACTTTCTAGTGCTTTCATTTATCTCATGTTATATTGGCTCCGTCTTAAAGATGTAGACTAAAGCAACATCAATATTTGTTTATCTAGGCTGTGATGAACCTTCAAGAGATCTAATCTGGAATGTGCATTCCAAGGTATTACATAAGGTGAAGAGAGAGTTAGGATCAAAAACAGCACAGCATCAAGGAACCTATAAGCTATCAGTTTGTTGGTGTGACATCTGTTCTGGTCAAGCTACTGGGATATATGAGGAGAAAGACAGACAGACAGACACACACACACACACAAACCCTAAAAAACACAAGACCCTCAAGTCTACCACAGTTGAAAGACAGGGTCATGACTTGAATGTGAGGCTCCATTATATGAGCTGCTTTTAAATGTCAGCTGAGCTCTTCACGTGGTGAATCACAATAAAAGCGAGAAATGTCACTGGGTACTTAAGATTCTCAGATTCTACCACAAAAGAGATGTGTATGTCCTTCGCCTTTATAGTATTTTCTTTGATAACCTGCTAACGTTTTTTCTTTTCTTGTGAGAGATCCCTCATAGTGATGTGACTATACATGTATTTCTAGCATATCTCACCAACTATGGCCACCGATGTATAACGTCTACCAGTCTGTCCTGCCTCTGCCCTACTCATTATGCGAGTGCCTGTGTGTGCACCAGTCCCAGTCCCGCAGGAGTTACTGTACCTGCTCACAGATCACTCCGGTCATCGTCACGGGAAACGGTCTCACACTGCCGCGGCCCAGATTCTCCCGTTTCCGTTGGTTACTGAAGAGTTTGAGCTCACGCTTCTCCTCATCATCCAGAGTGTTACAGTAACGTACCTGGAAAACACATACACATTGTTTAAATAAATGGCAGCAGAGACACACACAAACGCTCTAGTTTGTTATAATTTTAAGCTAGAGACACAAGTTACAATGTCGCAGTTACAAATGACCCCTTTCCAACCTCTGTGTGCCCGGGGGGCAGGGGGAGAGAACGGTCTCACCTCATTGTCGTGGGGGGGCAGCTGATGAAGGAGCTGTTTGATGCGGTGCTTCTCTCCTGGGCTGTTTACATAGGGCACTTTGTCCTCAGGCAGGGAACTGTAGTACTGATGAACCTGACGGGAGAGAGACACGGGCTTGTCAGGCCACCACTACCACTAATACTAGTGACATGGTACAAAGATTGGCCCACAAGTAGCAAATTAACATTTAATGGAATCATGTAGGCTATTTGAGAAAGGAGAACATTCATATCTGCATTGTGACCCTAACCCTACCACAGGAACACACATACATGCAGTACACACACACATTTACAATCACTTTGATTTATGACCCTCCGATACAGACTTAATGGAATCTGGCCTTTTACTCCCTCCCAGCATGTTGACATGAGAATGCAACGCTTTACCCCTCGCCCTTACACACACACACACACACACACACACACACACACACACACAACACACGTTACATGAATTAACCGTGTTTGTGACAGACAAAGGATTAATACTAATCACACTATTCTAATGACTGCGACATTCTTTACATTATGCCGGCCAACAATGAATGATACATTTTATATTTGAGATTCTTCAAACAGCCACCGTTTGCCTTGATGACAGCTTTGCACACTCTTGGCAAGGCAAAGGGTGGCTATTTGAAGAATCTCAAATATAAAATGTATTTGGATTTCTTGACATTTTCTGTATTGACTGACCTTCATGTCTTAAAGTAATGATGGACTGTCGTTTCTCTTTGCTTATTTAAGCTGTTCTTGCCATAATATGGGCTTGGTATTTTACCAAATAGGGCTATCTTCTACGTTGTCACAACACAACTGATTGGCTCAAACGCAATAAGAAGGAAAGCAATTCCACAAATTAACTTTTAAGAAGACACACCTGTTAATTGAAATGCATTCCAGGTGACTACCTCATGAAGCTGGTTGAGAGAATGCCAAGAGTGTGCAAAGCTGTCATCAAGGCAAAGGGTGGCTATTTGAAGAATCTCAAATATAAAATATATTTTGATTAGTTTAACACTTTTTTGGTTACTACATGATTCCATATGTGTTATTTCATAGTTTTGATGTCTTCCCTATTATTCTACAATGTAAAAATAAAGAAAAACCCTTGAATGAGTAGGCGTGTCCAAACTTTTGACTGGTCCTATATATATATATATACACACACACACAGTTGAAGTCTGAAGTTTACATACACCTTAGCCAAATACATTTAAACTCAGTTTTTCACAATTCCTGACATTTAATCCAAGTAAAAATGTCCTGTCTTAGGTCAGTTAGGATCACCACTTTATTTTAAGAATGTGAAATGTCAGAATAATAGTAGAAATAATGATTTATTTCAGCTTTTATTTCTTTCATCACATTCCCAGTGGGTCAGAAGTTTACATACACTCAATTATTATTTGGTAGCATTGCCTTTAAATTGTTTAACTTGGGTCAAACTTTTCGGGTAGCCTTCCACAAGCTTCCCACAATAAGTTGGGTGAATTTTGGCCCATTCCTCCTGACAGAGCTGGTGTAAATGAGTCAGGTTTGTAGGCCTCCTTGCTCGCACACGCGTTTTCAGTTTTCTATTGGATTACATTGAGGCTTTGTGATGGCCACTCCAATACCTTGACTTTGTTGTCCTTAAGCCATTTTGCCACAACTTTGGAAGTATGCTTGGGGTCATTGTCCATTTGGAAGACCCATTTGGCGACCAAGCTTTAACTTCCTGACTGATGTCTTGAGATGTTGCTTCAATATATCCACATAATTTTCCTTCCTCATGATGCCATCTATTTTGTGATTTTGTTATGTAACTGCACATGGGGACAAAGATCGTACTTTTTGGAGAAATGTCCTCTGGTCTGATGAAACAAATATAGAACTGTTTGGCCATAATAACCATCGTTATGTTTGGAGGAAAAAGGGGAAGGCTTGCAAGCCGAAGAACACCATCCCAACCGTGAAGCACGGGGGTGGCAGCATCATGCTGTGGGGGTGCTTTGCTGCAGGAGGGACTGGTGCACTTCACAAAATAGATGGCATCTTGAGGAAGGAAAATGATGTGGATATATTGAAGCAACATCTCAAGACATCTGTCAGGAAGTTAAAGCTTGGTCGCAAATGGGTCTTCCAAATGGACAATGACCCCAAGCATCAAATCTGGGCGGCAGGTAGCTTAGTGGGTAAGAGCGTTATGCCAGTAACCGAAAGGTCGCTGGTTCTAATCCCCGAGCCGACTAGGTGAAAAATCTGTCGCTGTACCCTTAAGCAAGGCACTTAACCCTAATTGCTCATGTAAGTCACTCTGGATAAGAGCGTCTGCTAAATGACTAAAATGTAAATGTAAATGATGTGAGACGACACACAACTAATCTTCTCCTTTCCCCCTTCTGATAACCAGGTGGCGAATCGCATCTCTGCATGTCTGGCAGACATATCAGTGTGGATGACGGATCACCACCTCAAGCTGAACCTCGGCAAGACGGAGCTGCTCTTCCTCCCGGGGAAGGACTGCCCGTTCCATGATCTCGTCATCACGGTTGACAACTCCGTTGTGTCCTCCTCCCAGAGTGCAAAAAGCCTTGGTGTGACCCTGGACAACACCCTGTCGTTCTCCGCTAACATCAAGGCGGTGACCCGATCCTGTTGGTTCATGCTCTACAACATTCGGAGAGTACGACCCTGCCTTACACAGGAAGCGGCACAGGTCCTAATCCAGGCACTTGTCATCTCCCGTCTGGATTACTGCAACTCGCTGTTGGCTGGGCTCCCTGTCTGTGCCATTAAACCCCTACAACCCATCCAGAATGCCGCAGCCCGTCTGGTGTTCAACCTTCCCAAGTTCTCTCACGTCACCCCGCTCCTCCGCACACTCCACTGGCTTCCAGTTGAAGCTTGCATCTGCTACAAGACCATGGTGCTTGCCTACGGAGCTGTGAGGGGAACGGCACCTCCGTACCTTCAGGCTCTGATCAGTCCCTACACCCAAACGAGGGCAATTGCGTTCATCCACCTCTGGCCTGCTGGCCCCCCTACCTCTGCGGAAGCACAGTTCCCGCTCAGCCCAGTCAAAACTGTTCGCTGCTCTGGCACCCCAATGGTGGAACAAGCTCCCTCACGACGCCAGGACGGCGGAGTCACTCACCACCTTCCGGAGACATTTGAAACCCCACCTCTTTAAGGAATACCTGGGATAGGATAAAGTAATCCTTCTACCCCCGCCTTACCACCCCCCCCCCCCCCCCCCCAAAAAAAACAAAACATATTGTAAAGTGGTTATTCCACTGGCTATAAGGTGAATGCACCAATTTGTAAGTCGCTCTGGATAAGAGCGTCTGCTAAATGACGTAAATGTAAATGTCAAAACTTAAACCCAAGCCCACTGCAACATGTTCTATGACAGCTGGAAATAGTCTGTGATTCTTGGAAATAAAACGAGGTGCATGTTTATTGTGGGTTATTCTAAAACTTTTATGCATGTCCAGGGTGAAATGTCCCCATTTTATAAGTTTGTTCTCCTTTAAGTGCAACTCAATTCCTCTGGTTGTGTTTTGGTTGGCTTGGCTCATGTCAGCAAAGGATAGGGAGTCAAAGAAGCAGCTCAGGGATCCTTGCATATTTCATGAAACACCAACTGTGGTCAAGCCCTGATAAATCACTGAACACACGTCCAACAACAACAACTGGCCGATACACTCCAGGCCCAACCCACACACTGTTGTATGGTAGAGATGTGGAGCAGGACACACACACACACACTCCCCAGAGCCAGTTAGGACGAGCAGATTGGGATAATAATAGTAATCAGGGGCATGGAAACTACATGTACTCTGATTAAATCTGCTTTCTAATTGTACGGAGAATATATTACTTTTAAAGGGTAAATCAAATGACAGGGTTTTGGGGATTATTTTAGAAACCAACAGAACAGAGTCCCCCCCCACCCCCCCACAGCTGTTTTTCATTGCTGTTCACTGGAAAGACTGACAGCATATATAGGACACAATCAAAGACCAGTCCTGAAACAAGCAACAGTGAGTGTTTATTGGACATACCGCACTTTAAACTAAACATCATTACAACAGCCCATCACCCAGGGGCAAGAAGGAAGGACTAGTAAAGAACAAGAAGGCCTGCACACTGTTAAAGCGCCCAATTCACCGCTTTATTGACAACGTTTTCGATCCGAAACTGATCCTTCATCAGGTCAAGAAGGAAGGACTGCCATTCCAAAGTACAATGAATGGTAACATGCTGCCATTTCCTTCTACAAAAACATTAAATAGTAAAAGCTTTTTGATATCATTTCCTCTTGGATGAGCAAGCAGATTCTTCCCCATCTCTTGTGACACAAGGTAAAAGCAACAGGAGACAGACTGCGTGATCTGCCTTTCCAACAGCAGAGACACATCAGTAACAGCTGCTTAGTAACATATTTGGCCTGAACTTCCCTGTATCCTGGCAATGTCCTGACATTTTATTAGCTCTGACATCAAGGGAGAGCGTGTATATTGGCTGGACCTTCCTGAGGCCAGAACCAATAACTTCTCAGCACAGTAAAAGCAATGTTCAGAAAACTCATTCCCTATTCAATAAAACCCATTAAACTCTGAACCTGGTTTCAGAGCTAAATAAGAACATGATTCTTGTAGTTGAAATGCAGTCGAGATTCTTTCAGTTTCACATTACCAATACAATTGAGCTACATACATGAATCAAGGCATTCACATCATTGCAGAGCATGGGGGAAATCATGTCTAGTTATCCCGGAATGGCTCCCACAGTCTTTGTGGAAAATATGTTACAGAATGGTGACTTGACACCAGTTGAGACTGAATAGGATGCTCCTCCTGATGGAGCAGTGGGACTGGGTCCCTGAGGAGAAACCTAAACCTGGAGCTCAGATTCTACAGATTAACTGGTATTCACCATCTCTTTCTCTGTGACTGGGCAGGGCTGGGGTTGGGCGTTGAAAAGTACCTCAATGGATAGCCTACCGCCACCGTGCAAGGTTAGAAAACATATTTCTATGACTCGACTGACTTGTATGTCAGGTTGGGAAAAGCTAAACCGTATACCTGGACACTCAATGTACAATGCAACCAGCAGTAAATCCTGCAAAATATAGCCTATTCCATTCCCTCAATGCAAAGCCACTCCTTTAACTGCAACACTCCCAGTCATATTGACCTACTGCTTTAGAAATCTATCAGTCAGTCTATCCTCTCCGGCTGGTGTTGAGCAGCTTTTAAAGGGGGGCTTAATTGACTGGAGGTCACATGTGACCCTTGGGGATGAAAAATGGTGGTGCTCAGCCTTGGGCAACTGAAATGGGGGACTAGTTAACAGAGTATTGACCCCCCGATTGCACACGCAATAAGGCTTCCTTTCAGTTCATCAAGAAAATGAAACTCACATCTATAGAGGTTTTATTGTCCAATAAGAAGCACACAGACACGCACACCTTTGGTACACAAGAGCCTTGTAAAGATGTTTTCTTGGATGCTCACAGGCCATGTAATATATTTCTGCATATCCCAGCTTAACAGAGTCAACAATGGGCTTGTGAAATCACGAGTAAACAGTTTGCAAGCAGAATTCATGAGATATTCATTCAACCACTGGCATCATATAATCCTTGTAAACCTATCGGCATAATTGAACACCACACACGCAATATAAGATGGCGAGTAGAACTTTGATCCAACACAGAGGAGATAGAATAGTGAAAGCAAACCATACTCCTGTTTGAGTCCCTGGTGTGTGTGTGGTGTGTGTGTGCATGTCTATCTATCATACCTGTTCAGGTTTGAGCCCCGGGGGCACCCATGCGTACTCCTCCAGTGCGCATCCTGAGTCGTCGTCTGAGGTGGAGTTCCTCTGGAAGTCGTACATCAGCTTAGTGATGGTCTTCTCCATCTCCAGAGGCATGGCTGTCACCACATGCTCCTCACGGCGGCACTTACAGTGGACACAGATCTTCCTACAGGGCACAGGGCAAAGCAGAAGTCAGTTATCAAAGCTTACAGTGGACACAGATCTTCCTACAGGGCACAGGGCAAAGCAGAAGTCAGTTATCAAAGCTTACAGTGGACACAGATCTTCCTACAGGGCACAGGGCAAAGCAGAAGTCAGTTATCAAAGCTTACAGTGGACACAGATCTTCCTACAGGGCACAGGGCAAAGCAGAAGTCAGTTATCAAAGCTTACAGTGGACACAGATCTTCCTACAGGGCACAGGGCAAAGCAGAAGTCAGTTATCAAAGCTTACAGTGGACACAGATCTTCCTACAGGGCACAGAGCAAAGCAGAAGTCAGTTATCAAAGCTTACAGTGGACACAGATCTTTCTACAGGACACAGGGACAGCGAGCAGAGGTCAGTGATGAGATATCAAAGCTTACAATGAGTGGACACGTCTTTCTTCAGGATGAATAAAAGTGAGCAACCGTTATCCATAGTCAAAGCTTAGTGATATAAAACACTGTCAGCAACCAACCAGGACTTATGCCATCTTTGTTTTGAGGGTTTTCCATTGCAAAGTAACAAAGCATGTGAAATCTAATATCCATGGCAACAAAGCATGTGAAATCTAATATCCATGGCAATGAAGCACGTGAAATCTAAACTCCACACAGTTCAAGGGCCAGTGTTCACGTCTCACCGAGAGAGCAGGATCTCAGAGACATTTTAGCTCCCACAATCCTCTAGGTAACGCCAGTGAGGACATAATGACAAACAGGTTAGGGAAATGATTCGCCGAGCTACTGACAGTGATGGAAAGCAGTACTGTAAATACACATTTCTCCTCCTGTCTTTACAAGGTTAGCTTCAGGCAGTTTCAGATGCTCAGACAGGATAAAACTCTGTTCTCATTAATCAAGAACCATGCAACAGATTAACACACCCACACTAGGTATTTGTTTGTTCGCATTCAGAACAAGGATTGTAAATGTTTGTAAGAGTGTGGCGCTTCCATTTTTATGTCCATTCCAATTTAGGTATAGTACATGTGACTAGTGCCTTCTTTCCCCCTCACCCTTAAAAACAGAATAAACTAAAGTTGTGAACTAGGCTACATACACTCTCACACACACACACACACACACACACACACACACACACACACACACACACACACACACACACACACACACACACACACACAGTGAAACTCGTCTGTCCAGGCAGCAGACCCTGTAACCAGTGGACACAGGGGGAGGCCTGTAGGTCATATCCGCTAACTTCTGCTGCCCCTCAGGCAGCCAATCAAAAACAAATCAAAGTTTATTGGTCACGTACACAGTGGGTTTGGCAGATGTTATAGCGGGTGCAGCAAAATGCTTATGTTACTAGCTCCTAACAATGCAATAAAATATCAAACAAGTACACAAATAATCGCACACAAAAAAAACTGAACAAATAATAAATAAAGAAATGTAACTAATCAAATTAACAAGCCAAATAGCACAGTAACAGTAATCAAAATGCAGTCTGTATATACGTATATAAACCAGATGTATTGACACAAGATATACTAAGAATGATATGTACAGCAGTAGATATAGAGTGAGTAATGTCAAGAATCCAGTATATAAATAAATATGTGGTGTGTATAAATGGTGTAACTAAAATAGTAAACATTAAAAAGAGCTATGTCAATAATTATTTCTCGACATATTTAAATACACAATACAAAACACCATGGCAAAATGGATAGAATTGCAGGAAATTAGCTTCTGGAATATAAATATATATGTGTGAATGGTTTATAATAGTGGCGGCCGGTGCCAATTTAGATGAGGGAGGACGATTCTTTTTAAATGAACATGGCCTTATTTCTATTACAGCACATTGGATGACTCATTCATATTCCATTCACCTAGCTCAATGTAACAACGATAGGTTTAGTCTACTACATGATACACACATTTTTCCTATACCCATCATGATGTTGCTACAACCTAGCGTACGAATGAAAGTTTACAACGTAGGTGCACAGGTCGAGATACATTTTTTAGCAATCAATGTGACACAGTGACACATTCAATAACACCTTTTATATATTTTTTATTTAACCTTTATTTAACCAGGTAAGCCAGTTGAGAACAAGTTCTCATTTACAACTGTGACCTGGCCAAGATAAAGCAAAGCAGTGCGATAAAAAACAACAACACAGAGTTACATATGGGGTAAAAAAATATATAAAGTTTAAAAAAATACAACAGAAATATATATACAGTGTGTGCAAATGTAGCAAGTTATTGAGGTAAGGCAATAAATAGGCCATAGTGCAAAATAATTACAATTAGTATTAACACTGGAATGATAGATGTGCAAGAGATGATGTGCAAATAGAGATACTGGGGTGCAAATTAGCAAAATAAATAACAATATGGGGATGAGGTAGTTGGGTGGGCTAATTACAGATGGGCTGTGTACAGGTGCAGTGATCGGTAAGGTGCTCTGACAACTGATGCTTAAAGTTAGTGAGGGAGATAAGTCTCCAGCTTCAGAGATTTTTGCAGTTCGTTCCAGTCATTGGCAGCAGAGAACTGGAAGGAATGGTGGCCAAAGGACGTGTTGGCTTTGGGGATGACCAGTGAGATATACCTGCTGGAGCACATACTACGGGTGGGTGTTGCTATGGTGTCCAATGAGCTAAGATAAGGCGGGGATTTGCCTAGCAGTGATTTATAGATGGCCTGGAGCCAGTGGGTTTGGCAACGAATATGTAGTGAGGACCAGCCAACAAGAGCGTACAGGTCACAGTGGTGGGTAGTACAGTGGGGGGAAAAAGTATTTAGTCAGCCACCAATTGTGCAAGTTCTCCCACTTAAAAAGATGAGAGAGGCCTGTCAACTATGACAGACAAATTGAGGAAAAAAAATCCAGAAAATCACATTGTAGGATTTTTAATGATTTTATTTGCAAATGATGGTGGAAAATAAGTATTTGGTCACCTACAAACAAGCAAGATTTCTGGCTCTCACAGACCTGTAACTTCTTCTTTAAGAGGCTCCTCTGTCCTCCACTCGTTACCTGTATTAATGGCACCTGTTTGAACTTGTTATCAGTATAAAAGACACCTGTCCACAACCTCAAACAGTCACAACTCCAAACTCCACTATGGCCAAGACCAAAGAGCTGTCAAAGGACACCAGAAACAAAATTGTAGACCTGCACCAGGCTGGGAAGACTGAATCTGCAATAGGTAAGCAGCTTGGTTTGAAGAAATCAACAGTGGGAGCAATTATTAGGAAATGGAAGACATACAAGACCACTGATAATCTCCCTCGATCTGGGGCTCCACGCACGATCTCACCCCGTGGGGTCAAAATGATCACAAGAACGGTGAGCAAAAATCCCAGAACCACACGGGGGGACCTAGTGAATGACCTGCAGAGAGCTGGGACCAAAGTAACAAAGCCTACCATCAGTAACACACTACGCCGCCAGGGACTCAAATCATGCAGTGCAAGATGTGTCCCCCTGCTTAAGCCAGTACATGTCCAGGCCCGTCTGAAGTTTGCTAGAGTGCATTTGGATGATCCAGAAGAGGATTGGGAGAATGTCATATGGTCAGATGAAACCAAAATATAACTTTTGGTAAAAACTCAACTCGTCGTGTTTGGAGGACAAATAATGCTGAGTTGCATCCAAATAACACCATACCTACTGTGAAGCATGGGGGTGGAAACATCATGCTTTGGGGCTGTTTTTCTGCAAAGGGACCAGGACGACTGATCCGTTTAAAGGAAAGAATGAATGGGGCCATGTTTCATGAGATTTTGAGTGAAAACCTCCTTCCATCAGCAAGGGCATTGAAGATGAAACGTGGCTGGGTCTTTCAGCATGACAATGATCCCAAACACACCGCCCGGGCAACGAAGGAGTGGCTTCGTAATAAGCATTTCAAGGTCTGGAGTGGCCTAGCCAGTCTCCACATCTCAACCCCATAGAAAATCTTTGGAGGGAGTTGAAAGTCCGTGTTGCCCAGCGACAGCCCCAAAACATCACTGCTCTAGAGGAGATCTGCATGGAGGAATGGGCCAAAATACCAGCAACAGTGTGTGAAAACCTTGTGAACGCTTACAGAAAACGTTTGACCTGTGTCATTGCCAACAAAGGGTATATAACAAAGTATTGAGAAACTTTTGTTATTGACCAAATACTTTTTTCCACCATAATTTGCAAATAATTCATTAAAAATCCTACAATGTGATTTTCTGGATTTTTTTTTTCTCATTTTGTCTTTCATAGTTGACGTGTACCTATGATGAAAATGACAGGCCTCTCTCATCTTTTTAAGTGGGAGAACTTGCACAATTGGTGGCTGACTAAATACTTTTTTTCCCCACTGTATATGGGGCTTTGGTGACAAAACGGATGGCACTGTGATAGACTACATCCAATTTGCTGAGTAGAGTATTGGAGGCTATTTTGTAAATGATATCGCCGAAGTCAAGGATCGGTAGGATAGTCCGTTTTACGAGGGCATGTTTGGCAGCATGAGTGAAGGAGGCTTTGTTTGCGAAATAGGAAGCCGATTCTAGATTTAACTTTGGATTGGAGATGATTAATGTGAGTCTGGAAGGAGAGTTTACAGTCTAACCAGACACCTAGGTATTTGTAGTTGTCCACATACTCTAGGTCACCATCGGAGTAGTGATTCTAGTCGGTGGCGGGTCCCAGGGGGGCAAAAGCAAATAAAGAAACAGTGAAAATTAAAACCCCCTTCACAACCCAACCGGGTTTTAGCCAAAAGGGGGGGGGCCCGAAAAAAAAAGGAAAAATTTTTCCGGAAAACATTTTTTTACCCTTCCCCACATTTCCCCCTCTAGGAACGGCCAAAATTTTGGGAAATTTAAGATGACAAACGGGTTGGGGAAAAATGATTCCCGACTATACGTGATGGAAACATACGTAATACCATTTCCCCTGTCTTTACAAGGTTACTTCAGGGCAGTTTCAGTGTAAAACAGGATAAAATTTGTTCTCATTAATCAAGAACCATGAAAACAGTTAACACCCCCCCCCGGTTTTTGTTTTTTCGCTTTCAGAAAAAGGATTGTAATTTTGAAAGAGGGGGCGCTTCCATTTTTTGTCCATTCCAATTTAGTTTTGTACGGGAAACTATCCTTCTTTCCCCCCACCCAAAAAAACAGAAAAAACTAAAGTTGTGAACTAGGCTACTCACTTCACACCACACACACCAGTGAAACTCGTCTTCCGCAGCAGACCGAACCAGGGACACGGGGGGAGGCCTGTAGGGCTATCCGCTAACTTTGCTGCCCCTCAGCACCCAAACAAAAAAAAAATCAAAGTTTATTGGTCACGTTTAAAAACGGATTTTTGGGAATTTTTAAAAGCGGGTTTTCGCAAATGTTATTTAATAGCCTAAAAAAGCAATAAAATACAAAAAAAGTACACAATAATCCAACAAAAAAAACTGAAAAAATAAAAATAAAGAAAAGTAACTAAACCAAAAATTAAAAGCCAAATGCCAGTAACAGTAAAAAAGCATCTGTATATAGTATTAAACCAGATGTATTGACCACAAATAACTAAAAATGATTGTAAAAAGTTATAATGAGTAAAATTCAAAATCCCGTATTCTAAAAATGCGGGTGTATAAATGGGTAACTAAATGGTTTTAAAATCATTTAAAAAGAGCTAGTGTCAAGAATTATTTCTCGACATATTTAACATACACAATACAAAAAACACCATGGCAAAATGGGTAGGAATTGCAGGAAATTAGCTTCTGGGAATTATAAATATATATGTGTGAATGGTTTATAGCAGTGGGCGGCCGGTGCCAATTTAGCCGATGAGGGAGGACGCGATTCTTTTTAAACTGAACATGGCCTTATTGGCTCTTACAAGCACACTTGGATGACTCATTCATTTTCCATTCACCTAGCTCAATGTGAACAAACGATCGGTTTAGTCTACTACCATGATACACACCCAACATTTTTTCCTATACCACATCATGATGTTGCTACAACCTAGCGTTACGACTATGAAAGTTTTACAACGTAGGTGCACAGGTCGCGATACATTTTTTAGGACTCAATGTGACAGGACAGTGACACATTCAATAACACCTTTTATATATTGGTTTATTGCAACTTTATTTTAACCAGGTTAAGCCAGTTGAGAACAAAGTTCTCATTTACAACTGTGACTGGCCAAGATAAGCAAAGCAGTGCGATAAAAAACAACAACACAGAGTTACATATGGGGTAAAACAAAATATAAAGTCAAAAGAAAATACAACAGAAATATATATACAGTGTGTGCAAATGTAGCAAGTTATTGAGGTAAGGCAATAAATAGGCCATAGTGCAAAATAATTACAATTAGTATTAACACTGGAATGATAGATGTGCAAGAGATGATGTGCAAATAGAGATACTGGGGTGCAAATTAGCAAAATAAATAACAATATGGGGATGAGGTAGTTGGGTGGGCTAATTTCAGATGGGCTGTGTACAGGTGCAGTGATCGGTAAGGTGCTCTGACAACTGATGCTTAAAGTTAGTGAGGGAGATAAAAGTCTCCAGCTTCAGAGATTTTTGCAGTTCGTTCCAGTCATTGGCAGCAGAGAACTGGAAGGAATGGTGGCCAAAGGAGGTGTTGGCTTTGGGGATGACCAGTGAGATATACCTGCTGGAGCACATACTACGGGTGGGTGTTGCTATGGTGTCCAATGAGCTAAGATAAGGCGGGGATTTGCCTAGCAGTGATTTATAGATGGCCTGGAGCCAGTGGGTTTGGCAACGAATATGTAGTGAGGACCAGCCAACAAGAGCGTACAGGTCACAGTGGTGGGTAGTATATGGGGCTTTGGTGACAAAACGGATGGCACTGTGATAGACTACATCCAATTTGCTGAGTAGAGTATTGGAGGCTATTTTGTAAATGATATCGCCGAAGTCAAGGATCGGTAGGATAGTCCGTTTTACGAGGGCATGTTTGGCAGCATGAGTGAAGGAGGCTTTGTTGCGAAATAGGAAGCCGATTCTAGATTTAACTTTGGATTGGAGATGATTAATGTGAGTCTGGAAGGAGAGTTTACAGTCTAACCAGACACCTAGGTATTTGTAGTTGTCCACATACTCTAGGTCAGACCCATCGAGAGTAGTGATTCTAGTCGGGTGGGCGGGTGCCAGCAGCGTTCGATTGAAGAGCATGCATTTAGTTTTACTTGTGTTTAAGAGCAGTTGGAGGCTATGGAAGAAGTGTTGTATGGCGTTGAAGCTCGTTTGGAGGTTTGTTAACACAGTGTCCAATGAAGGGCCAGATGTATACAAAATGGTGTCGTCTGCGTAGAGGTGGATCTAAGAGTCACCAGCAGCAAGAGCGACATCATTGATATACATAGAGAAAAGAGTCGGCCCAAGAATTGAACCCTGTGGCACCCCCATAGAGACTGCCATAGGTCCAGACAACAGGCCCTCCGATTTGACACAATGAACTCTATCTGAGAAGTAGTTGGTTCCTTGTTGCAAACAGGACGCATGTTTTGGAATATTTTTATTTCTTCTTTTCACTCTGTCAATTAGGTTAGTATTGTGGAGTAACTACAATGTTGTTGATCCATCCTCAGTTTTCTCCTATCACAGCCATTAAAAACTCTGTAACTATTTTAAAGTCACCATTGGCCTTACGGTGAAATCCCTGAGAGGTTTCCTTCCTCTCCGGCAACTGAGTTAGGAAGGACGCCTGTATCTTTGTAGTGACTTGGAGTATTGCTACACCATCCAAAGTATAATTAATAACTTCACCATGCTCAAAGGGATATTCAATGTCAGATTTTTTTATTTGTACCCATCTACCAATAGGTGCCCTTTGCGAGGCAATGGAAAATCTCCCTGGTCTTTGTGGTTGAATCTGTGTTCACTGCTCGACTGAGGGACCTTACAGATAATTGTATGTGTGGGATGAGGTAGTCATTTAAAAAATCATGTTAAACACTATTATTGCACACAGAGTAGTCTATGCAACTTATTATGTGACATGTTAAACTCATTTTTAATCTTGAACTTCTGTAGGCTTGCCATAACGAAAGGGGTTGATTACATATTGACTCAAGACATTTCAGCTTTCAATTTGTAAAAATGTCGAAATACATAATTCCCCTTTGACATTATGGGGTATTGTGTGTAGGGTATTGATAAACAATCTAAATGTAATCTATTTTAAATTCAGGCTGTAACACAACCAAATGTGGAAATGTCAAGGGGTGTGAATCTTTTCTGAAGGCACTAGAATACATTATATACTAGAATACAATATACAATATACAGTGAGGGAAAAAAGTATTTGATCCCATGCTGATTTTGTACGTTTGCCCACTGACAAAGAAATGATCAGTCTAAAATGTTAATGGTAGGTTTATTTGAACAGTGAGAGAATAACAACAAACAAATCCAGAAAATCACATTGTAGGATTTTTAATGAATTTATTTGCAAATTATGGTGGAAAATAAGTATTTGGTCAATAACAAAAGTTTCTCAATACTTTGTTATATACCCTTTGTTGGCAATGACACAGGTCAAATGTTTTCTGTAAGTCTTCACAAGGTTTTCACACACTGTTGCTGGTATTTTGGCCCATTCCTCCATGCAGATCTCCTCTAGAGCAGTGATGTTTTGGGGCTGTCGCTGGGCAACACGGACTTTCAACTCCCTCCAAAGATTTTCTATGGGGTTGAGATCTGGAGACTGGCTAGGCCACTCCAGGAACTTGAAATGCTTCTTACGAAGCCACTCCTTCGTTGCCGGGCGGTGTGTTTGGGATCATTGTCATGCTGAAAGACCCAGCCACGTTTCATCTTCAAAGCCCTTGCTGATGGAAGGAGGTATTTACTCAAAATCTCACGATACATGGCCCCATTCATTCTTTCCTTTAAACGGATCAGTTGTCCTGGTCCCTTTGCAGAAAAACAGCCCCAAAGCATGATGTTTCCACCCCCATGCTTCACAGTAGGTATGGTGTTCTTTGGATGCAACTCAGCATTCTTTGTCCTCCAAACACGACGAGTTGAGTTTTTACCAAAAAGTTCTATTTTGGTTTCATCTGACCATATGACATTCTCCCAATCCTCTTCTGGATCATCCAAATGCAATCTAGCAAACTTCAGACGGGCCTGGACATGTACTGGCTTAAGCAGGGGGACACGTCTGCACTGCAGGATTTGAGTCCCTGGCGGCGTAGTGTGTTAGTGATGGTAGGCTTTGTTACTTTGGTCCCAGCTCTCTGCAGGTCATTCACTAGGTCCCCCCGTGTGGTTCTGGGATTTTTGCTCACCGTTCTTGTGATCATTTTGACCCCACGGGGTGAGATCTTGCGTGGAGCCCCAGATCGAGGGAGATTATCAGTGGTCTTGTATGTCTTCCATTTCCTAATAATTGCTCCCGCAGTTGATTTCTTCAAACCAAGCTGCTTACCTATTGCAGATTCAGTCTTCCCAGCCTGGTGCAGGTCTACAATTTTGTTTCTGGTGTCCTTTGACAGCTCTTTGGACTTGGCCATAGTGGAGTTTGGAGTGTGACTGTTTGAGGTTGTGGACAGGTGTCTTTTATACTGATAACAAGTTCAAACAGGTGCCATTAATACAGGTAACGAGTGGAGGACAGAGGAGCCTCTTAAGAAGAAGTTACAGGTCTGTGAGAGCCAGAAATCTTGCTTGTTTGTAGGTGACCAAATACTTATTTTCCACCATAATTTGCTAATAAATTCATTAAAAATCCTACAATGTGATTTTCTGGAAAAAAAATCTCAATTTGTCTGTCATAGTTGACGTGTACCTATGATGAAAATTACAGGCCTCTCTCATCTTTTTAAGTGGGAGAACTTGCACAATTGGTGGCTGACTAAATACTTTTTTCCCCACTGTATATGTGCTTTCTTGAGCAGGGGGACCTTGCGGGCGCTGCAGGATTTCAGTCCTTCACGGCGTAGTGTGTTACCAATTGTTTTCTTGTAGACCATGGTCCCAGCTGCCTTGAGATCATTGACAAGATCCTCCCGTGTAGTTCTTGGCTGATTCCTTACCGTTCTCATGATCATTGCAACTCCACGAGGTGAGATCTTGCATGGAGCCCCAGGCCGAGGGAGATTGACATTTATTTTGTGTTTCTTCCATTTGCGAATAATCGCACCAACGGTTGTCACCTTCTCACCAAGCTGCTTGGCGATGGTCTTGTAGCCCATTCCAGCCTTGTGTAGGTCTACAATCTTGTCCCTGACATCCTTGGAGAGCTCTTTGGTCTTGGCCATGGTGGAGAGTTTGGAATCTGATTGACTGATTGCTTCTGTGGACAGGTGTCTTTTATACAGGTAACAAGCTGAGATTAGGAGCCCTCCCTTTAAGAGTGTGCTCCTAATCTCAGCTCGTTACCTGTATAAAAGACAACTGGGAGCCAGAAATCTTTCTGATTGAGAGGGGTCAAATACTTATTTCCCTCATTAAAATGCAAATCAGTTATTCTGTCTCTCACTGTTCAAATAAACCTACCATTAAAATTATAGATTGATCATTTATTTGTCAGTGGACAAACGTACAAAATCAGCAGGGGATGAAATACTTTTTTCCCTCACTGTAAAGTGGGTAAAATAGTATTTAAACATTATTAAAGTGACCAGTGTTCAATGACTATGTACATACTGCAGGGTAGAGTAACGGGTGGTAGCCGGCTAGTGACAGTGTCCAAGATTCAGGGCAGGGTACTCCATCCCATTACCCAGCCAGACGCCAGGTGGGCAGCACAAATCAAATCAAATCAAATCGTATTTGTCACATACACGTGTTTAGCAGATGTTATTGCGGGTGTAGCGAAATGCTTCTGCTTCTAGCTCCGACAGTGCAGTAATATCTAACAAGTAATATCTAACAACTTCACAACATATACCCAATACACACAAATCTAGTAAGGAATGGAATTTAAGAATATATACATATATGGACAAGCAATGACAGAGCGGCATGGACCAAGATACAGTAGAATATTATAGAATATAATATAGTATATACATATGAGATGAGTAATGCAAGATATGTAAACATTATTAAAGTGACTAGTGTTCCATTTCTTAAAGTGGCCAGTGATTTCAATAGGCAGCCGCAGCCTCTAATGTGATAGTGATGGCTATTTAACAGTCTGATGGCCTTGAGATAGAAGCTGTTTTTCATTCTCTCGGTCCCAGCTTTGATGCACCTGTACTGACCTCGCCTTCTGGATGACAGCAGGGTGAACAGGCAGTGGCTCGGGTAATTGATGTCCTTGATGATCTTTTTGGCCTTCCTGTGACATCGGGTGCTGTAGGTGTCTTGGAGGGCGGGTAGTTTGCCCCCGGTAATGCGTTTAGCAGACCGCACCACGCTCTGGAGAGCCCTGCAGTTACGGGCGGTGCAGTTGCTGTACCAGGCGGTGATACAGCCCGACAGGATGCACTCAATTGTGCATCTGTAAAAGTTTGTGAGGGTTTTAGGTGCCAAGCCAAATTTCTTCAGCCTCCTGAGGTTGAAGAGGCTCTGTTGCGCCTTCTTCACCACACTGTCTGTGTGGGTGGACCATTTCAGTTTGTCAGTGATGTGTACGCCAAGGAACTTGAAGCTTTCCACCTTCTCCACTGTGGTCCCGTCGATGTGGATAGGGGGGTGCACCCTCTGCTGTTTCCTGAAGTCCACGATCATCTCCTTTGTTTTGTTGACGTTGAGTGAGAGGTTATTTTCCTGGCACCACACTCCCTGAGCCCTCCCTGTAGGCGGTCTCGTCATTGTTGGTAATCAAGCCTACTACTGTTGTGTCGTCTGCAAACTTGATGATTGAGTTGGAGGTGTGGTTGGCCACGCAGTCATGGGTGAACAGGGAGTACAGGAGGGGGCTGAGCACACACCCTTGTGGGGCCCCAGTGTTGTGGATCAGCGAAGTAGAGAAGTTGTTTCCTACCTTCACCACCTGGGGGCAGCGATCAGGAAGTCCAGGACCCAGTTGCACAGGGCGGGGTTCAGACCCAGGGCCACGAGCTTAATGATGAGCTTGGAGGGTACTATGGTGTTGAATGCTGAGCTATAGTCAATGAACAGCATTCTTACATAGGTCTTCCTCTTGTCCAGATGGGATAGGGCAGTATGCAGTGTGATGGCGATTGCATCGTCTGTGGATCTATTGTGGCGGTAAGCAAATTGAAGTGGGTCTAGGGTGACAGGTAAGGTAGAGGTGATATGATCCTTGACTACTCTCAAAGCACTTCATGATGACAGAGGTGAGTGCTACGGGGCGATAGTCATTTAGTTCAGTTTCCTTTGCTTTCTTGGGTACAGGAACAATTGTGGACATCTTGAAGCATGTGGGAACAGCAGACTGGGAAAGGGAGAGATTGAATATGTCCGTAAACACACCAGCCAGCTGTTCTGCGCATGCTCTGAGGACGCGGCTAGGGATGCTGTCTGGGCTGGCAGCCTTGCGGGGGGTTAACATGCTTAAATGTCTTACTCACGTTGGCCACGGAGAAGGAGAGGCCACAGTCCTTGGCAGTGGGCCTCGTCGGTGGCACTGTGTTATCCTCAAAGCGGGCGAAGAAGGAGTTTAGCTTGTCTGGACTCGAGACGTCGGTGTCGGCGACGTGGCTGGTTTTCTTTTTGTAGTCCATGATTGTCTGTTGACACTGCCACATACGTCTCATGTCTGAGCCGTTGAATTGCGACTCCACTTTGTCTCTATACTGATGTTTTGCCAGTTTAATTGCCTTGCGGAGTGAATAGCTACACTGTTTGCATTCTGCCATATACCCAGTCACCTTGCCATGGTTAAAGGCGGTGGTTCGCGCTTTCAGTTTTGCACGAATGCTGCCATCTAGCCACGGTTTCTGGTTAGGGTAGGTTTTAATAGTCACAGTGGGCACAACATCACCTATACACTTCCTGATAAACTCAGTCATCGTTTCAGTGTATTCGTCTAAATTATTTTCGGAAGCTACCTGGAACATATCCCAGTCCGCGTGATCAAAACAATCTTGAAGCGTGGATTCCGATTGGTCAAATCAGCGCTGAATAGTCCTTAGCACGGGTACTTCCTGTTTGAGTTTCTGCCTATAGGAAGGGAGGAGCAAAATGGAGTCGTGGTCAGATTTGCCGAAAGGAGGGCGGGGGAGGGCCTTATAACCATCCCGGAAGTTCGAATAGCAATGGTCGAGGATTTTGGCAGCGTGAGTACAACAGTCGATATGTTGATAGAACTTCGGCAGCTTTGTCCTCAAATTTGCTTTGTTAAAATCCCCGGCTACAATAAATGCAGCCTCAGGATATGTGGTTTCCAGTTTGCATAAGTCCAGTGAAGTTCTTTGAGGGCCGTCGTGGTATCGGCTTGAGGGGGGATATACACGGCCGTGACTATAACCGAAGAAAATTATCTTGGGAGATAATACGGTCAGCATTTGATTGTGAGGTATTCTAGGTCGGGTGAACAAAAGGACTTGAGTTCCTGTATGTTACTACAATTACACCATGAGTCGTTAATAATGAAACACACACCTTCACCCTTCTGCTTCCCGGAGAGATATTTATTCCTGTCTGCGCGATGAACTGAGAACCCATCTGGCTGGACCGATTTTGACAGTATAACCCCAGAGAGCCATGTTTCCGTGAAACAAAGTATGTTACAGGCCTTGATGTCTCTCTGGAAAGAAATCCTTGCCCGGAGCTCGCCGACCTTGTTAACCAGAGACTGAACATTAGCGAGTAGTATATTTGGAAGCGGTGGGTGGTGTGCACGCCTCCTAAGTCGAACCAGCAGGCCGCTCCGAATGCCTCTCCTCCGCCGGCGATGTTTTGGGTCAGCCGCTGGAATCAGTTCAATTGCCCTGGGGAGAGCAAACAAAGGATCTGCTTCGGGAAAGTCGTATTCCTGGTCGTAATGCTGGTGAGTTACCGCCGGTCTGATATCCAATAGTTTTTCCCGGCTGTATGAAATGATACAAAACACTTTCTGAGCTAATAATGTAAAAAATAACGCATAAAAAAACAAAATACCGCAAAGTTTCCTAAGAGCTAGTCGCGAGGCCGCCATCTTCGTCAGCACCAGTAAAGGGTAAGAGGGACAGGAGCTTAGACCTCTTTGACAGAAAGAAAGAGACGTTGCGTGCGTGAACGTTGCAAAATAAATGTACACACGTTATTCAATCATTTCTCCTACTCCGCTCGTGCACGTGAACGAGCGTCTGTGTAGCCAAGCCCTAAAATAGAACTTGGTTCTGCAAGTCCCTTCTTTACTGGATATCAGGAAGATACAAACCCACGTGGAAGCTTGAAAGACAAACGAGGAGAGCAACAGCTAGCTAGCTAAATGTCCATGAATGTTTCATGTGTGTTTCGACCTGCTCCCAAATTAATATCATTGGTTCACAATTGGTTTTGATATTTTAACCTGCGTGTCATATACAGTACTTGACCTGGACTGAAATAGGTGCCGGTATTCATTTTGTGTGCCGGTACTGTTTACATTAATGTGCAGGAGCTCCACAATACTTTTGAGCTAATATTCTATAAGAGGAACAGGAGCTCAAGCAGTAGAAATTTGAGGTGTCAGTACTGAGCTCCTGCCCAAGTCAAGCACTGATTATATAAACTAGTGATGCATGTCTGGGGACTATTACATAAATCTCTGCTTCTTTACTACCCTTGGGCAAGGGCAATCTACCTGATCTCCTGGAGGCGATTGGCTTCAGAGCAGTCTGCATGAATATTAAAGCAACATATGAATGAATACTGAAATGCCAAGACATCTCATCTATGAATATTGATGGGAGTGGTAAGTAGTACATGGAGCCAGGCCTTGGCTTGCAGACTATGTCATTAGCTCTCTGAAAACCAGCCCGTCCGTACAGGAGAGGGGAGAATTAAACAGCCCATCCCAGCGGTAGGACACCTAGCCTGGGGCTACAGAGTCCTCTCATTACAATACAGCAGTCCTCCGTCATTACTAATGGATGTGGGATTAAGAGGATGAGACACACACATACGTACACACACTGTACAAATATTCTAGTTGTTTCAACTAATAATTATTAAGTAACTGATTCGAGTCTTTTTAGTATACTCAACTTTTCGATCAAAGTGGGTAAAAAAAATATATATATATTGAATATTAAAACATACAATCTAACTGCAGTGAAGCCGCTCAACATTTACATTACATTTAGCCATCTAACAGACTCCCATCCAGAGCGACCCACAGAAGCAACCAGGGTCAACGCCCCGCCCAAGGGCACGTTCACAGATCTCCCACAAGGTCAAAACTGGGACCCGAACCAGCGACCTATCGGCCACAAAAATCATAACAGCAAAGCCAACTGAATACGTTTTGAGTGCATGTATGGCACTTTTTACATGTGTGTATGTGTGTGCACGTGTGTGCGTTTGAACGCAAGTGTGTGTATATGTATGTGTACACGTGTACAAACACCTGCACGGCATCATCCTCAGGCAAACAGGCATTAGATGTAACAACGTTGCCCCTCAGTGTCATTCAAAGTTACTTTTTTTTTTTTTACTTTTATCTTTCGATCAAAGTGTTACCTGATCTTAAAATGTTTAGCTGGCCCAAACTTGGCTCCATCTTGTCTCATATGTTCATTCAAATAGAAATGATTATTTAGGCATCTTAACAAAAGGCTGTGGCACTGGATACACACACACAGTGCTTTTGACATGCAATGTTTTACCTTACATGATTACATTGTGCATGTTCATTTATACAATTATTATTATTCAACATGTCCTCACCTGGGATTTGAAATATGTAAGTTGAAAACATTGTATGTCAAAGCACCATCTGTGTAACTAGTTACACAGCTTTTTTTAGTGAAGATGCCCAAATAATATTTTCTAGTTGAATGAACATATGAGTCAAGTTGAGCAAACACATCATTTTAAGTTGACTTAATTTTTGCCTAAGTTTTCTCAACTTGGAGTTTATGCCAACTAAAAATGTTAAGTTCAGGTTACACTTTGACTGAAAAGTGAAACCAGTGGAACCAGTTACTTAATAATAATTTTACAGTGTATGCACACACACTAACATACTGAATGTACGTTAGAACACAGGAGAGATGATTCAGAGGGTACAAAAACATGACAAATAAAATATGCTACACACACTTATCCCACTCCTTTTCATGCTAGGGGTTCATTCTGCCTTTGGATAGAAAACAGGCTTGGAGATAGGGGTTTAAATTTAGCCTGGAGGAGTACATTGGGCATGGAGGAGAGTGTTTCACACTGCATTCCCGGTTAGAGTAGAGTGTCTCTGTTTTAAAATGATACAGACATAGGCCTTATAAACACCAACCCAATTGTTCTCATTGTCTTTGAACTGGACATGGGAGCAGGAGGGCTGGAGTCCCATGGGACCCATGAGCCTGTCTTTCTCCAGATGTATGGAGGCCATCATCCAGTGATTCACCTTACAAACATCTGATCTCCCTGCATCAGGATTAGCAGAGATATGCCCAGGGCCTGAGCTGCACATGACTGGGATTTCCATCCTGAAACACTACACAACGTTCCGCTGGTCATCTACATGACTTCAATTAGGGGGGATTGAGTGCTCTGGTTATACAAGTCAAATACATCACCAACACCTTGTAAAAAAAAAAAAAAAAAAAAAAAACTCCACAAAGTAAAAGGGAGGAGAATGAAGTACATTAAGTAGACTGGCCGTTCCTCTCCTGGGGCAGATAAAGCCTTCCATGGCCAGAGCAGAGCACCACAGGAAGCTTCTAATGACTGGAAGGTATTTGAGTGGACAGTAATCCCTGAGACTGATGTAAGCAGACAATCATTCACCACCACAGTGTTAATCATTGCATAGCTCCTCTACATCACCCTGGCAACAGCCAAGTTAAACAACTACACTCTGACACACTGCACAGTCAGTCTGTAGACACACCAACCGTATAGACTCAGTCCACTGGTGAAACTAACACCCAAGAAATGACTGACCCACACACAGACAAGTTCTTACTAGACTAGAGATACATATTGTTTTGTTTTCAGTATTATTCACCACTGTGGAACCCATAATAACCACCTAGGGACTAGTACAAATTCTTTGAGGTACTGGTATAAATCCTCTGAGGTACTGGTACAAATCATCTGATGTACTGGTACAAATCATCTGAGGTACTGGTACAAATCCTCTGAGGTACTGGTACAAATCCTCTGCCAACTCAGGGACATCTCAAGAGGTTGGGTTGAGTGGTGGTGCCATTCATTTAACTAACCCAATATTAACAGGTCCATTTGCCATAGGGTAAGGTGTCATCCGGGCTCTTAAACACCTCCTCTAAATTGTTCAACACATCCACAACCCTTGCCTTCCTGAAAAACAGCCATGGAGCTGAGTGGGCTTGATGTGGTATCTGAAAGGAGCCCCATTCCAGACTAATTCTGGAGCAGCTCCCAGAACCGGTGCCGCTTTTCCGTGTCATCATTCCGGACAGCATGTTTAAATGGCAGCTCAGACGAGAGGAGAAGGAGAAAATAGGTTCAGAGGAACAGCTGGATGCAGACAGCTGCCAAATTTATATTTTTTTCTGGTGCTTTTGTTTTCTCTGGACGTGCAGGGAAAATAGGAGGACAGATTCTTTGGCCATTTTTAACTGCCTTTTGTTCTGTGAGATCATTTGGGCATTTCCATTCAGTGTTATAAGATTGCATGTTCAAGGGTTTTCAGGAATGTAATGGTACTTTGTCAAAGGAAACAGTAATAAAGTATTTAGTCTTCATTTGTACTAATTTGGTCATTTATTGAAGCAGCCATGTTCAGCTTTAATCAGTGTTAAACTGGATTGCACTACATACCGAAGAGGAATCAAACTCAGAAAAGGTGTTTATTTGCAGCTAATTACTGGCGACTCCATCCAATATGTTCCATCTAATGGAGATTAGGTCTGCACCCACCTGCCGCAATAAATAATAATCCATAAACCATTATTCTTGTTCAACACACACACACACTGCATAAGATATACATAGACTGGACACTTTATTGCAGAATGTACTTTATCTCAAAAAGGCAGATTGGGGGAAAACGCCAATTATTTCTCTACACTGCATCTTTATGGGATTTGTACAGGTTTAGTGTCGGAAGTGCAGGAAGTGAGAGAGGACTAGAGATTTATGTAACATCTAACTGAGGATTATGCTTTTTAGTTATGGCAGCTTTATATCAGATGATCATGTTACTTATTCATAAGTGTTTACTTGTTTGGTAACTGCTACTGGGACATATGCATGGTATGTCACATAGGGGCAGGTTTTTCAGGCTCCTGAGACCTCAGTCCTCATGGAACTGTAGCTATGCTGTTCTCATGAGAGACTGTCAAGCTGTCATTGGGGAACCCATCTGTGCAAATGATCATCAAGTTTGAAATGCTGACAAACACAACTAGTCTAAATGTGGCCTAAAACAGTGGACCAAATGAAACAATTTCATGGTGTTGAAAAGGGATGGTCAAAAACTGACCAGACATTATTTTGCACATCAAGTCTGATAAAAAGGTTGGTTGCCTATGAACTGAGGCTACCTGTAGTCTAGATGTCTGTTTCAGAGCAATGCAGCCTGATATCTCCATTACCCCTGGACTCTCGGCCAGCTGCTGGAGTGTCCCATTATTCATTATTCCCCAGAAATCCGTTCATATGCTAATCCAAAGTGACCTATCCTGACTCAATCAATCCCACGGCCGGCCAGGGCCAGACCATAGAGGCAACACAACAAAGACTAATCCCACTGAAAAAAACTGGTTAGCTTGACCGCGGCGCCACGAAGAGTAGAAAGAGAACATTGATAATAACACATCCATTACGGAGGATAGCCTATGAGTCAGTGAGGTGAATATTAGTGAGACTATTAGTGCAACTATTGCGTGCAAGCAAAACATTTTAACATTAAAATAAAAAATGATATTACAGAATTTTCAGTGTAAATATTTTGCCGACTTCTAAATCATGAATAGGCCTACCTTGTCGTCAAATACATGTCAACTCATACCCCACTGATGTTGATATGATTGAGTTTAAATCGAACACACCATGAATGAGCCACATAAACTACATTGTAGCACACATCTTGCAGTCAGGAAATATCAAACCCTTTTTAAACACGACCTTTCAACGGCACTAAAAGTTCACTCAAACTGGCAATGTTGTGTAATTTATTCCTCGTAAACTTAGCTACAGTTTAAAACCTGAAATAGATCCTGTCGTGAAGGTCGGGACACATCAGTGCGCAAAGATAGCCGTGTCAGCTGTGCAAATAACAGGTTAATACAAAATAACGGATCCCGCAAACGGTAGAATGTAGTCTATGCTTACCTTATTACAAATTAGGTGTGAGGGAGAGCATGGCTATGCACCCGGTGATAATAGCTTTCAACCACACTTCCCTCATTGCAAGCCTTTTCATAGTCTACTATTCCTGCGCCACAGTTTTACGAATCCTGCACTCTCACTCTCTGGTCAGTGCGATGGCGCAATCTGTTCCTCTACCGTCCCTTTCGCTCCGCGAGCCTTTTTGTCAAGCTGCTCCGCAAACACATTCACCAAGCGCACGGATTGGTAAAGCGACACAAAACCCAATAAGCGGTTAAACACAAATACCCCTACATTTAGTCCACCTATGTTGAGATAATGCACTAGCCTAAACTTTGCAGGTTACGTTTCGAACGAATCCAAAACAATTTACGGAGGCAGCAACAGAATGCTAGAAAGTTGAAAAATGATCCATAAGGATCCGTAAGGAGCGCTGAGCAGGGGACTTGCTCGCCCCGAGTGCCTGGCTGAATAACGGAGTTGCCTGTCCTTGCCTGCACCACCGCCCCCTCCCCTCCCAAATGCTAATGACCATCCGTGATGTCAGCAAGTCACCGTCCTAACACTGGTATAATTAGCGGCTTGAATGACTGGTGTTTTGGAATCATTTGCATGCAAATTCGACAATTTCCCTGAATCAACTGCCCCAGGGCAACCAGCTAGAGAGTGAGAAAGGGAATAGAAGGACAGTGGGGTATTGGAGGGATAAGTCCCTGTAAACAAAATGCATAACAATTACCAATAGAATGGAGGAGAATGGAGAAGGGTCATATACAGTTGAAGTCGGAAGTTTACATACACCTAGGTTGGAGTCATTAAAACTCGTTTTTCAACCACTCCACACATTTACATTTAAGTAATTTAGCAGACGCTCTTATCCAGAGCGACTTACAGTTAGTGAATACATATTTTTTTAGTTTTTTGTTTTTTTATACTGGCCCCCCATGGGAATCGAACCCACAACCCTGGCGTTGCAAACGCCATGCTCTATCAACTGAGCTACATCCCTGCCGGCCATTCCCTCCCCTACCCTGGACGACGCTGGGCCAATTGTGCACCGCCCATGAGTCTCCCGGTCGCGGCCGGCTGCGACAGAGCCTGGATTCGAACCAGGATCTCTAGTGGCACAGTTAGCACTGCGTTGCAGTGCCTTAGACCACTGCGCCACTCATTTCTTGTTAACAAACTATAGTTGTTATCTACTTTGTGCATGACACAAGTAATTTTTCCAGCAATTGTTTACAGACAGATTATTTCACTTATAATTCACTGTATCACAATTCCAGTGGGTCAGGAATGTACAGTGAGGAAAAAAAGTATTTGATCCCCTGCTGATTTTGTACGTTTGCCCACTGACAAAGACATGATCAGTCTATAATTTTAATGGTAGGTTTATTTGAACAGTGAGAGACAGAATAACAACAAAAAAATCCAAAAAAACTCATGTCAAAAATGTTATAAATTGATTAGCATTTTAATGAGGGAAATAAGTATTTGACCCCTCTGCAAAACATGACTTAGTACTTGGTGGCAAAACCCTTGTTGGCAATCACAAAGGTCAGACGTTTCTTGTAGTTGGCCACCAGGTTTGCACACATCTCAGGAGGGATTTTGTTCCACTCCTCTTTGCAGATCTTCTCCAAGTCATTAAGGTTTCGAGGCTGACGTTTGGCAACTCGAACCTTCAGCTCCCTCCACAGATTTTCTATGGGATTAAGGTCTGGAGACTGGCTAGGCCACTCCAGGACCTTAATGTGCTTCTTCTTGAGCCACTCCTTTGTTGCCTTGGCCGTGTGTTTTGGGTCATTGTCATGCTGGAATACCCATCCACGACCCATTTTCAATGCCCTGGCTGAGGGAAGGAGGTTCTCACCCAAGATTTGACGATACATTGCCCAGTCCATCGTCCCTTTGATGCGGTGAAGTTGTCCTGTCCCCTTAGCAGAAAAACACCCCCAAAGCATAATGTTTCCACCTCCATGTTTGACGGTGGGGATGTTGTTCTTGGGTCATAGGCAGCATTCCTCCTCCTCAAAACACGGCGAGTTGAGTTGATGCCAAAGAGCTCCATTTTGGTCTCATCTGACCACAACACTTTCACCCAGTTCTCCTCTGAATCATTCAAATGTTAATTGGTAAACTTCAGACGGCCCTGTTTATGTGCTTTCTTGAGCAGGATTTCAGTCCTTCACGGTGTAGTGTGTTACCAATTGTTTTCTTGGTGACTATGGTCCCAGCTGCCTTGAGATCATTGACAAGATCCTCC